TATATCATATGTTTTTATTGAGGTACATGTATTTAAATATGTTAAGTGCAAACTACATTAACTGGTATACCATTGTTTTATGGAATTCACAGATCGTCAAAGTGGTGTAGGAGGTATGTGTTCAAAGCTGTCAAAAAATTATATACAGTTCTGTTTGTATTTTCTTCCACTTCCTGCATGCTACAAGAACCCTAGCTATCACCTAACTGTATTTATTATCAATATATGCATGATCTCTAGCTACAATATAATTTAATTGAAAGCAATGCTCTCAGTTATAAGGCAGAACCATTTAACTCTCAGATCAAATTTTTAATTCTCCTTATTGTCAACCACACAATACTTATCATGTTAGTTCAGAGAATTTAGTGTTGGATCAACTAATTACCCCAAAACTGATATCTTTCTTCATTCTCAACACCTATCTGGTTGGTATTGTATTGATATTGAAAGGAGAAATTCTGTCTCGGTCACTCATGGGAGTTAAAGGGTTAAGTATGAGAATTTGAGGTATACATTTTTTTTTACTTTGCCTTAAAAGCTCCATTTTATTCTAGTTTTAATGTGTCCTAAAGCAAATCGCCTATAGTTATTTTGGCATATATATTTATCAAAGTATATACCTACAAATATGGAGAGATGACTAGCAATAACTATTTAGAGAGGGGCTGTGGAGCAGCTATTGATGGCATGGCCTTTGCCTGTAATGATTGTTATACTTTGATGTATCAACAACAACAAATTAAATATCTTACAACTAGTCAAGTTGCTACATTATTCAGAGTAAGTTAATACAAACAGTCCCAGTATAACATAACTTGAATAATGGTTATTGAGTTTGATTTGTAGCATTTTTTCTCTTTTTCTGAAAAAGAGAGATGTTTCTCAACAAAGACCCTCACTGCAACATCTGGTGTGATAAGCTCTCCAAATTGGCCCCAAGACTATCCCTCCTACAGAGACTGTTACTGGAAGATTGAGGTTGGAAATGAGAGGAGCATTAAAATAGCTTTTATGGACTTTGATTTGGAATATGATATATCATGTGATGATGACAAACTCAAAGTTAAAGGTGGGAGGAATTTCAGTACTCTTTAAAAATGATCCAATTAACAAACAGATTCCATGTCGCCGTGGGTCTTTTACGACAGTAGTAGATGATAGAAGACATCAAAATGCAGTAAGAACAAAAAAGTAGCAGAAGAAATGCAGCAAAGTGTGTCATTGATGTTCCTGCCACATTTTGAAGTCTTTTGTGATCTATTACTGTACAGGCCCCCGGCAACATAGAATCTATTTGTTTTATAATTAAGAGACTAAACATTGTTAATAATGGTAATAAGACTGAGTGGAGTCCAACTCAGTCTGCAATTATACAAATGATTGACAAAATTGGACAGCTGTGAAGCGGGAGTCCAATTTGTCAATCACTTGTATGATTAACTGTTATCAATTAATCATAACCAATGCAATTTCTGAAAAAAAAATACAATTAGGACAAACATCTCCAGTAGGGACAATGTCTAAAGCAAAAAATTTGGAAATTTCCCAGTTTTTTCTTTTTCAGGGTAAGTGGTTTTTGCAATGGTTATTGTGATCAATTTCCTCAAATCACATTTGAGGAAATTGTAATGGTTATGCTTAATGGTGATATTGTCTTTGTGTCAGTTCTTCAATATGTGATTCAGTGTACGAGTAATTCAGCTTATTATATATAGCTTTAATTGTTATTTCAATGCAGTGCCACAGTCAGGAAGTCATACATCTCTTCTAACTCTGATTTTACTAATTGAACACATTAGGATTAGACTCCACAGCACTTAAATTTGTAACTTAACACTCTAGAACTCTGATATTTTTGTTTCCTCGTGGCTTGAAAACCCAAATTACATATTTAAGAGAATATATTTTCACAAGTGTATATGTGATAACCTCCAATATATTTCATGGAGAATGAGGAAAAAGATCAGAGGAAAACACATGCGTCAAAGTAAATTGTTGTAGCCATTAATTAATTGCCTTGGAGATCAGAACAAAAAGGGACAATAAAATTTTAATTCTTCTTAAATTGTGTTATTATTTTTGCCTTTTAGATGGAAATGATCATGATTCATATGACAAGTCTAAAACCCTCAAAGAGTCAAAGTGCGGTAAAAAAGACCCATTCTACTTTACATCATCAAAGGAGAGAATTTGGATCAGATTTAAGTCAGACAGGTTTACTAACCAGCGGGGGTTTGTTGCTGGCTACGTCATGTATGATAAAAGTAAGTGCTGCGCAAATAGTCTCTTAGGGCTCCGAAGAGTTTCCTGAATTGTTTGCTCTATTTTATAAATCCATTCGACTTTGCGACATCGTAAGAGAATTTTATTGATGGTGCAGTTGAAAAGTAATGTCAGCCAAGAATTAATCCTCTTATTCTGAAAATATGTAAGGAAAATTTTAAATTATTTGGAACTGACAAGCCAGTTGCATTTAGTTTACAAATTCAAAGGTTTTTCGAAGCTATTTCTGGCACGGTACTTTTGAAAATTTTTTACGTGACGTTTCACGAGACAATATTGTACGTAATGGTGTCCAAGATCTCATGAGGTGAGAACTGAACTTTTCCCTCTTCACAAGTGCTCCATACCTTTCTTTGCATCCGATAGGTAAGTTCCGATATCATTCTGTTTTGGTGCAAAATTTCGTAACTTTTGATCCGGTTCCATTTTGAAGGTCCATCCTATGTTATCAATCGCGTTCAGAAAAGTGCGACGTAGCGGCCGTCACTCCGTGGTTTGCGCAAGAAAACAAATCTTGTCCACTCTATATGCCCGCCATATTGCAGAAAATATCCCAGGCGTTATCCATTTGGCCTTCGCGGACTAAGGGAAACTAGAAACCAGGCTTCTTAGCAAGCTGACGAGTTTTGTCGTTGTTGAATATCGCTGTGAACTCGACCATAAAGCTTCAACACTCTTTTTAGCAAATTAGGAGTAGTATCAGTACTGGCGTGGTATTTTGGGTGTCGTTTTTTCCCTTCGAAGATAAACCGCCATTGTTAAGACCGAAACATCACATGATAGGCATAAACTAATCAGATATTTCGAAGGACAATCAGAGGGTTGACAGCCCATTTGATATTGCTGAGTGGCCCTGCGATCTTTGATTCGACTTTTCCAACGACAGTGTAGTAAAAATATAGGATAATGAAACATGTTTTTGAGTTACGTATATACAGGCGTTTAAACCTTTGATTGAGAATAATTACAACAGGTTGAGATGTCGCTATTTTGACCTTTCAGACTTCTTTAGGAGATTCTTAATTCTTCCTTCCTCAGTTAGGCAGTTCGAAAAAATATTATCTATTTCATTGAACAGCCCCCGTTAGCGCTAAGACTGTTGGTATCGTGATTGGCGTCTTGGTGGCAGTTGTTGTGATTGCCATTGGTGTCTTCGTCTTCTACAAATATGTTTACCAAAAGAAGGTCAGGGCACGGGCGCCACAACAGATGGCTGTAGCACATTCTACTTCCCAACCTCAGCAAGTGGCCATGTACCCTCCTTCTGCAGGGCCTCAGCAAGGTTACGCACCACCCCCCTACAATCAAGGGGCGGGAGTTCATTACCCCCCGCAAGGTAGGTTGGTTGAAACTGTTGGTCATCTCATTGTCAGGGTCCAACAGACGAGGTCAAAGTCTAGATCGGGGATAAAGGATGGTTTAGGGGCAAGGGTGCTTGCTTTCCACCTCTGTGGTACATGTTCTATTCTGGAACCTGGGGCCAAACGTGGGTTGAGTTTGTTATTAGTTCTCGTCCTTTCTGGGGGGTCTCTCTTCCAGCTTGCTATTTTCCCTTCTCCACAAGAAACCACGATTGCAAATCCCAAGAGGATCTTTAAAACAATGGATAAATAGGCACCGTGTGGAAGCGTCACTTCTTGAATCCAATTTATTTATCAATCATTTAAAAAATTTTTTTTTTAATTTAGAAAAGAAAAAAGTCCAGTCCACAAAACACTTGATTTCCCTTCCTAGAACCTGTCCGATATATAACTGTTAATTCCAAAGGCTACAATTGTAGTGACAGATCACTCTGCGTTGCAATACTAGGAGTAACAACATAACAACACTGTAAAGGAAGGCAGACGTTGTTACATGAACTTAAAGTACAATTAATAAGTACAGTGAATTGATTTAATGTCTAAGTGAACATTCAAAAGCTTCTGAGAATCTTTGAAAAAGATGCATATACAGAACTTCTCTGTGCTGTAGATGATACACTTAGACCTCGAAGAGCTGGGGGCCTTGAAACCGAACTTTACGCTTGAATTGCAGAAACATCTGGGGTATACCCTCCTCCAGGACAACCGTACCCACCTGGACCCCATGGGGGCGAGGCAGCATACCCCCCTGGACAACCGGGTGGAGCACCTCCTTACCCCACTGGACAACCAGGTGGGGTGCCACCCTACCCTCCACAGTAATCCGCGCGTCAAGTAAGTGTATCCCTCTCTTTGGAGAGGGTTTTTATTGCAGAAAATAATAGGACTCCGCTTGACCATAGTACTGACCTTGTAGCACTCAGTTATTTTTCTCTAGATCGAATATTCCCCATATTGCGCTAATAGACATAATGACAGGAATATTACAATATTACAATGTATGCACCACGCTCGACTGCATTATTTAAAGAACTTTACAAAGCACTGACAATTATGAACCAACTTTTCCTTTAATTTCTTATATTGCAGTGTGACCGTTGTGGACGGCTTTTGGGAATTTTTTTGCAGCTTTTAATACGAGAAAAGTGAAGGAGAAAGATCACGATCGCCATCTCTTGCCTAATTTTGCTATTTTGCCACTTGATTCGTGTTAAAAGTCGGAAAATAAATAAACAAAGTAAGAAGTGTGAATAAAAAAAAATAAAAAAGAAAAGATCTGGTTTATAAAATAGACGGTAACAATAACGAATATATTATTGATAATGAATATGATAATAGTGATTTTGTGATAAATTAAACTCCTTGTGTTGGATATAGAGCGAGTAGAAATTAGATAGGCAACAGTCAGTAACCATTAGGGTACTATGATTGTGTCCTTTATCGGAACTGGTTAGCTCACATGACCACCACAAACCGCATAATATCAAGTCAAGGTCTTATAATTATTCGATCTAAAAGAAATACATTTTCAGAACGAATGCAAATCAAGTCTTCATCTCGTAATTGAATTAAAAAAACTTCAATTTAAACTTTCTTCTGTGGCGGGTCGTTACAACAGTCTCACTATACTGATTAGCAGATTCTCCAGGTAAGCGAATTTAGAGACAGAAAAACAAAAACAAAATAACTTCTTTCTCACTTCGATTCTGCTGAAAAATGTGGAATCTATTTATTAGTTTCATAGTCTAATTCTAACAGGATACGATGGTTTCTTTCACTGTGGTTTCTTTTTCTCGAAAGTGAACTGCAGATTTGCAAACTAATGGGGCCGAAAATTCTCCAGATAACGTCATTGTGAGAAAACACTGTAACAGGAATTCATTAAAAAATCCGGACAGTTATCGATGAGAGGAACATTTCATTACAATACTTATGTACATGTACTTCCAAACATCGATTGATTTCAAAGTGTCAATTGATCGAGAGCCAAGGGAATTGAGACTATTAATCATCTGTGGGGGGAGGGGTTAAATAATTTATGGGGGTTCACATGGTTTTCAGGGGGGAAATAAGGGGGGACTTGGTGTCGCTACTCAGAGAATAAATGGAGGGGGGGGAGGGGTAAGAAAGGTGACTGCCAATGAGGGGAAGTCTTCAGAATACTACAGAGTCTTAGGAGGGATCAAGTATATTTTTTTTGCGACACGACCGACCTAAGGCGACAAATAACCGATTAGCAGACAGTTTCTTGCTCCAGATCTTCATTGCTGTATTCCTTTCCTGGGCTTGGCTTGCTTTCTGTTTCTGCTGTTTCAAAAGTGACATTTTTCACTGGGCAGTTGCCTGTTGAGGACCCTTTCCGACCTAAGAAGTCAGACTTTGCCGTGGATTCTCCCACTGAGTGGTCATGTGATATTGGTGTCACACTCCTAGTCCAGTAGCGTCGTGCTGATTGGTCAAGATTAGCCTTCCTTTTCAATCGTCTTTTCTCTAACATTTTTTTAACTAAAGCTTTTCCCGCAAAAAGCAAAAGAGTTGAGAATATCACGGCCAGCATGATGAGGACTTGAGGTTGAAAGTCGACAGTCTCTGTGTGTGGAAACGAATCACACATTACGATAAGTTTTCATTTGAAAAGTGCTTTAGTGCGATAGGTCTCTTAAGACCTACATACAACAAATAAATGTGATGTATAGATTTGGAAAATCCTGCCCTTGACCGCTCTTAGTACGGAGACTTAATATCAAAGATGGTAGTGGAAATCAGGTCGCTGGCTTCGAACGGGATCTCGACGAAAATAAAGAACTAAGACTGAAAATTAAAGTTAGGTGATTTTTGAAAGTGAGTCAAGACGGAAAGGCGAGAATCAGTATATTCAACAGTTTTCGGCTTACAGTTATCGATAAAACACTTGCGCCATTTTTAGCGTATGGCGAAGAATGTGTAGTGCATCAAATCATTACATTCGATATCTACATACCAGCACTGTAGGTTACAAATCCGGCCATAAATCCCCGATTTCCAGCCTCCGCATTACTTTTGAATTGTATGAATACTGAGTCTCCCTCAATCGTTAGTGAAAAGGGGTCCTTCCTTCCACACTGCTTGGAATTTGTCACTAACCTTCCTTGATTAAAGAAACAGTCGAGATAAGCGGGTGAAGACGCTTTTGCCAATTAAACTTGATTGACTTAGAGCTTTCAACAGGCCACAAAATTCTCATATGCTAATAGAGGCCTAGTACTCCACTTAGTTCTGTTTAGCTCTTTGTTAGAACATCGTATAGCTTACAGGTCTGAGGTTCGATTGCTTGTAGACGAATCAGTTGTTTTATTTTACCATTACCATTTTTCGCTCTATTTGGGATTCCAGTTTGCCTTTCATTCGAAAATACCTCCCCCATGGCTAACACCCTCCCTCCCCTCCCTCCCGCCCTGTGTATACTCACCAAACCAAACAATAAAACGAACTAAGACAAAGAAACTACTTTATCCATGAGGTACTTACTTCCTGGTCTCACTTCCACGAAGTCGGCTTCTGAGCTTGCGTTCGTTGATCTGACGTCAAAATCAAAGAACAGCAGCTTGATATTATAGTCTTTCCGCGTAGTCACGTGCCATACACAGTCTACGTACCGGGGGTAGGGTAGAGGCCAGTGTGGCGAGAAGACATTTCCATATCTTGCATTGGCATAATAATCCTTGCCACAACCGTCTGCAAATGAGAATTTGTAATTTTCTTTCTTCTTTAGTTTCTTATCAGTAAATTTTTAGAAATGTATAATTGAAGTCTTAAATTAATGTTGGCAGAATTAGTGAGTTTTATTTTAGATGTTCTCAACAATTGAAAAACGTCAAAAATGAGTGATTATTTTACAGCTAATCCAAATATTTTGACTTAAATAGAGAATTGGCTGAAACAAGGTGATAATTTCAAATTTGACGTGCTCAACCTTTAACTCCCAATTATTCATCATTCGCCCTAACGAAGGGCTAACGCTCGAAACTTCAACTTTTGAACTCTTTACGTTGGCCAATTTTCGTTATCAACTCAGTTGATAATACTAAATTACCCTGTTATACTCTCCCACCGACGTAGCAGCTCAGTTTCTTTAGAAACTTACCCCCTTTATTTGTTTGCAAAATAACTTATTGGAATGTTAGTAAGTTACATATACATAGCCTCTGGGAGTTAAAGGGTTACTCTATCATAAAATGCTTTTGATATCTCTTCGCAATAATCTGTTACATTTCGTTTATAAGCGGTTTACTTACTATTATGCCTAGATTTTCCTTTAATTTCTTAGTGATTCCATGTATGATAAAAAGAAAGAAATTTTCAAAGACCAAAACTTGTAAGATTGAAATCAATTTTCTCAGAAACAACGCTAAATTCAATTTTAAAAGAATATCATTTTGCGAATGATGACACTAAAGAGTAATAGTAAGGCAACATTGAAAAAGCGGAAAGATCTAAAAATCCTTGTTATCGTCCATGGAAAAATGTTTAGTCTTGAATTATTTTGAATTATTTTCTGCTCCTATCATTGCATGACTATTTGAGGAGCAATATCAGTCAACTCAGAAGAAGCATTTTTGTCTTCCATTTCACCTTGAGGGTGACAGTTAAACAAGAAGATCACAAATAACTATACTTACAATAATTCTGCGACAAGGCTGAGGAAAATGAAAGATAGCAGAAATTTTGTTAACTTTTATCGGCATCATTAATTAAGCATGAAGTACACAACTGTCTAAAGTAAAAAAAATATCAGTATAAAAAATATTATCAGGGAGCTTAGTAATAAGTGCACTGGAAGCCAGAGCTCTCATAAACCAACTTTCTTCCTTTGTAGTCAAACGATTTTCACACATGTGCTAACTAAAGGATTAACGTTTTAAACGGTGGGCATGGCACGGCAATCGCCATTATTATGCTAATATAATGGGAATATTTCATTAAACAGTTTTTTGGGGACAGTCATCCTCAATAGGTTTTCTCATCACTTCAGAATTTTCCTTTTTGCGATAAGACCTCACTGCTTTCAAATTTTAATCCTGTGGTCAATGTATATGTGAAATTGGTTTGACTGTGAAAAAAAATAAAGTTCTTTGGTTTATGAGCGCTTTGAATATAGTCGGGAGGTGTCTCGGAAAACCTTTTTGTAGTCATCTTAAATCTAAGTTGCTAATTATTTAGTTGCTGATTATTTAATTCGTGTCATACTTCTCTCAGTGCCTAACTGAATGCATATCAAACCTTATGGCTTTATGAATCACTCGCCTTTTGTTCGTAAGCGTTGGTTGAAAACAGCTGTAAAATAGGGCACACCATCGAGCAAACTGCTTCCTTCAAATCGGAAATCAGACGCGACGATGAGCCTTATTTGGAGACAGTGATCAAACGAATACACTACAGGCATAGACAACTTCCCGCAAAATTTACCGATAGACTTTGATGGATTGCAACCAAGAAATAATTCGATATAATTTCCACTGAAGCACTCTGGCATGATTCCAGCGATGTCAAATGAAGTGAAACGTAGCTCAACATGGCGAGGTGTGTCGACTTTCATAAGCTGAATGTTCCACTTGCAGGTGTACCCTGTGGAGTTCGTTTGCTTCGCGGGAGGGGTTAAAATGTTAATCGTTCCATTGAGACTGGTTATGTTCATGTGGCATGCTGTAAATAAAAAAAAAAGATGCATAGAGATGGATAAAGGACTAGTCATATAATTTAATGAGATATCATGGACCATACTTATTTTGGCGGATGTGAACTGCGAGCACATCTCGCTGAGGAAAGTATGTTTGCCAAAGACAAATCAACAGGATTTTTGCTTGTCTCTCAGGGCAGATGGGGTGAATTCAAGCCTGATATCCAGACCAATGATTGGCCTTTCTCTACAGGTGTGACAAATCTCTTAAGAGTCTGGCAGTTCTCCTGTTGATTCAAATCTATTTCAACTTAGTTGATTGTGGTAGGCTGAAAGCTAAGACTTTAAGTAGGGCTATGCTCTTACAACGACAGATATAGAAATAAACTCGTGAACTGTCAAACATGAAATTGGATTTGAGGAAAATTGTCATATATCTCGGATCGTAATCTAAAGTACATGGAAATTTGGAAGCCTCGATAAAACGCCTTACTTTTCATTACGCGTCACAGACACGAGTTGGGGAAAATGAGATATTGTTTGTTTCCGCACGCTGATAATACTAATTTGCCATCTCCTTTATTGTACAGTTTATTTTCAAAGCAACAGAAATATAAATTTTGTAAAACGTTGAATTTTTCAGCAGCTTACTTGTTTCGTTAGTAATATGAGCTACAATGAGCCGAAGCCCAGCAAATTCTTTTTGCAAAAGTGTAAATCAGAATCATTCCATGCCTAAAAAATCTTTCGATATTTTTTTGCAAAAATTAATAGCCAGTCGAAGATGAATAACCTTTTCAATTGATATGAGGCGAATTCATAGCCAATATCTGCTCCGTTTGTTAGAAAATAAAAGAAACCTGGCGTCAGATTATCTTAGGAGATAGGAAAAATAATAAATACCTCGAGTGTCTGTAAAGTGCCGTGTAAATACAACAGCAAAACAGATCACAGTGTTTATGAAACCCATAAGTGATTGCTCTCACTTGAAGCTATTTCTTTCATCGTCTTTCACGAGGCTGAAGTCCTCTTCTAGAAAAGAAAAGATAACACCACCATTGAAAATAAAGATTAAAGAGAGAGATTTGCGAGCGTTTCACGTGAGCTTAACCAGGAGAACATTTTAAAGCTCTGGTGAAACGAAATAAATCCCTTAAAATCATACCTCAATAACAGTTGATTTCCCAACATCTGAGTTTAAGGGAAATTAAGTCCTAGTTCAACAAATACATTTGCATTTGTAAACATTCAAAGCTGCTAAATTTATTCATCCCCTTAATCAATTTATTCCTTTTCATCAGTTTTCCTGAATCACTGGCAACTCTTGAGTATTTTGTGCCTTGGTATAGCGTCGTTTCTCATGAATTCAAATTTTTACGAGACATCTCTTAGTTCGACCCTTTCATTCATGACATTTAAGAGCGCTCAAATCAAGGAGTTTTGAAAAATTAACATCACCTTCAGGCAGTGTGCAAGATGGCTTAATTACGAGAAGCTTGCATCTTGAAAAGAAAGGCAAAAGGCACAAACAGAAAAATTATATCAGAGGAACATTTCTTCCTGTAAAAACAAACTTACCATCGTTAGACGAATCTCGATGGACCTTCACAATGTGTCAATTCGATCAGTCTACTTTTGTGTATTTCAACTTCACAAGGCGAGAGTTTTCCAAGTGACAAAATGGTTGTCTTCAATAATTTATCATTTCTTTCACTAGCTTCGTTTCAAAATTTTCAATAGTAATTTTTTTTATTCATTTTTTAGAACGTTCATGTAATTTACAGCGACAGATAACCAATTTTGTGATCCTGGAAAACAAATTTCCGTCCAGTCTTTTCGGTTTAGATCATGTAACATTCATTTTTGCTCTTTCCTAGTAAAATCGGACTTTCTTATGTGATTAGTCATTCCCTTTAGAGCTGCTTTCCGACACTAATAATATATTATCGGAAACTCGTGGGACGTTATGTGGGACGGTCTGTCTGTGTCACTATCCTCAGCCGGAAAGAAATCGCTTAAAAAAGTTTTGCCCAAAGTCAGTTGTTGGTCTGTCCACCGCAAAATGTATATATATTCAGAAATCCTTTTATTCATAAGCTGGCCGATATAGTTTAGTTTGACTCTCATTTAATTTATTTCAGAGATGAAGAGCAGAAATGCCTATGATTTTGTTTCGTGAAACACAAAGTCGCAAGCTGATGACGATTCAGTTTCACCATAAAAACCAGTAAAATAAAATTAAAAAAAACAGATTGTATTGACAGCGGATGCAGTCAATGTACTTGAAGAAAGCTTATTGTGGTAGAACGTTTTAAATTCAGTTACCCAGTTTATGCTCATAATAATGGTTTCCTTTTAACTCCATAAAAGTCACTGCGATATAAAAAGATCATTTTGGAGCCTACTGAGCGTGGGAAAATGCCCTCCGGCTCGAGTTTCATTTCATAAAGTGAAAGAAGCGAGGCTCGTTTGAAAAAATTGTCTCGATGGAAGTATTCAAAAATGCAAAACACGGCTGATTGCGTGGGTGCTTTACAAAAAAAAAAATGATATTTTAGCTCAGGAACCTAGCGCTGAAACATTACTCCTTTTAGCTGAACTAGTACTTACACGGCGATTGCTTTTCATTCAGAGGCAACTACTACGAACAAACTAATAGCGTAGCCATGGGTACTAAAATGGGACCCAGCTACGCCAATTTTTTCGAGGTTTTATCAAACACCAATTTTTTAGCCAGTACCACGGCCCCAAACCTGAACTCTACGGTCGTTACATTAATGATTGCATCGGTGCTACCTCCTCTACCGCCATTGATTCCTTTCGCCCGGCTCTTAAATATACTTCTAGACATCAAAATTTCAATTGAAGGCAACGGTCTACGCTCTAGTATTTACTACAAACATACAGATTCACATAGTTACTTGTTGTATTCATCTTCGCGTACATCACGCTCAAGAATTCCATACCTTCTTTACTGTTTCTCAGACTTCGTCGCCTATGTAGTGACGACTCTGATTTTTCCGAAAAATCAGTGGCAATGTGCCAGTTTTTGATAAACGTGGCTATCCTGTTTCTGTCGTTCAAGCGGGCCACCACTGCGCCCAACAACAGTCAGCGCTATAAACGGCTGAGAAGAAAAGCACTGATCGCATTCCATTCACTCACACATCTCACCCTCACAACCCCGCAGTTAGGTCTATCGTTCTTAAAATCTCTAAGTTACTCCAAAACGATTCAGAGACTGGTATTATCTTTTCGCAACCTCCACTAATTTAATTCAAACGTGACAAAAACATAGGCGACTTTTTGGTCACAAGTTCATTTCAAACCAATGGCCAACCTGAAACTTTCAATTGCGCTCGCTCACGATGCAAAACTTTTCCTTTCATTCATAAAGTAGAGAAAATGTCGAGACCCAAGAAATCCATTAAGATCACTGATCACTTTACGCGCACCACCGCCAATGTCATTTTCTGCATAACTTGCACTTATTGCAAAAAGTTATACAATGGTGAAACAGGAAGACGACTGGGTGACCGATTTCGAGAACACCTCCGGGACGTAGAAAGAAATGACAAGGACGCATCCAAACCAGTCGCTAGACACTTTAATCTACCTAATGATTCTAAGCAGCATATGGCAGTTTGCAGCCTCTCCCTACATCTAGGCAGTTCGGAAAGCCGCAAAACCATAGAACAAAAATTTATCTTTCAAATCGGCACTCTTAATCCCCACAGTATCGGCAAAAAGCGCTTTTCATTCAACTAGTTTATTCTTGTTTTCTCGTCACCATATTCCCACCAACAGCGTAGCTCCATTTTCTGCATATAAACCCACGCACACAACCCACAATTCCTCCAATTGCTCTGAAGAAGGGCTAACGCTCAAAACGTCAGCTTTTAAACTTTTAACAGAGGCCAATTTACGTTATCAACCCGGTTGATAATATTAAATTCCCCTTTTAACGAACGTCCGAACGTATCTAGCGTTAACCGTATGGGTGTATGTGATTTATCATCACAAACTTAAAGCAAAATAGACACTATTTAGCAAGAATATATATGTAAGGTTTGGATCTTGATAAGAATTAAAATTTTTATCCTTATCTTTATTATTATTAGAAATGAATACACATTTTAATTTTTTTAAGATAAATATGCCACGTGTCTAATTCATGCCAAAGGTGTGAATTACGTGCGAAGAGCTAAGTGCAAATTACGTGCGAAGATTTAAGTTATATGAACTAAAATAGCATTTCTCTTTTGGTAATACACCCACGTAATCAGCCGTGTTTTGCATTTTTGAATACTTCCATGGAAACTATTTTTTCCAAACGAGCCTCGCTTCTTTCAATTTATGAGATGAAACTCACCCTGGGGGGCATCTTCCCACACTCGGTAGGCTCCAAAATGATCCTTTTATATCGCAGTGACTTTTGTGAAATTTAAAAGGAAACCAATTTTTATGAAAACAAACTGAATGACTGAATTTAAAACGTTCAACCATAATCAGCTTTCTTCAGTTGCATTGACTGCATCAGCTGTCAATAAAATCTGTTTTTTTTTTGTTTTTTTTTTAAATTTTACTGATTATGTGGTAAAACTGAATCGTCATCAGCTTGCAACTTTGTGTTTTACGAAACAAAATCATAAGTATTTTTGTTCTTCATTTATGAAATGAATTAAATAAAAGTCAAACTAAACTATATCGGCAAGCTTATGAATAAAAGTATTTCTGAATATATATACATTTTGCAGTGGACAGACCAACAATTGACTTTAGGCAAAGCTTTTTTAAGCGATTTCTTTCCGGCTGAGGATAGCGACACAGACAAACCGTCCCACAAAACGTCCCACGAGTTTCCTATAAGATAATGTCAGTGTCGGAAAACAGCTCTAAAAGAAATGACTAATCACATAAGAAAGTCCGATTTTACTTGGAAGGAGCAAAAATGAATGCTACATGATCTAAACCGAAAATACTGGAAGGAAATTTGTTTTCCAGGATCACAAAATTGATTATCTGTCGCTGTATATTACATGAACGTTCCAAATAGTAAATAATAAAATTGCTATAAAAATTTTTGAAACGAAGCTAGTGAAAGATATAAGAAATTATTGAAGACATCGATTTTGTCACTTGGCCGGAAAACTCTCGCCTGGTGAAGCTGAAATACACAAAAGTAGATTGATCGAATTGACACATTGTGAAGGTTCATCGGGATCCTCCAAGGATGGTAAGTTTGTTTCTACACGGAGAAATGTTCCACCGATAGATTTTTATGGGGGGCCTTTTTCCTTTCCTTTCAAGATGCAAAACATTTAGCAGCTTTGAATGTTTACAAATGCAAATATAATTGTCGAACCAGGACTTAATATCCCATAAATTTAGACGTTGGGAAATCGGCGGGGAAAAAAGAGTCAGCGGAAATATTCATTGAATCTCAAAAAGACTCGAAAAAGCAGCTCTAACAGCAGATTAAGTGAAGCAATGATCAGCGTAAGTGAGCTGCAACTTATGCAATTTCAGAAAAGAAGCCTGAAAAAATTTCAGGCATCGACGTGTTTCGAACCCAGGCCTCCCAGATACTACCAATCGAGCTACGAAGCCACATGTTGAGAGCGCACACATTTTAGACGGTTCTTCTTTCTCGTGGAGGAATCTAGTCATAATATTAAATAAAATAAATTTAATTTGACCTGCTGATGAAAGTCAAATAAAGCAAGACTTACAGAACAGAAGACCCAGACATCTAGCAATGTAGTTGGTTGTAGCTTTGGACGTTCTTGAGAATTATATTCTGGTAAAGAGGACGGCAAAGCATTTTTACTTGACTCTCTTTTGTATGGAGCATCAGAAATATCGAAAAAAAAGCTTTAATTGAATAGTTTTACATACCTATTTAAACAAATGAGTGCCACAAGAAACGACCTAGTTGCAGTCATCAATCATTTTGTTACATTTGTTTCCCCAATAATCCATAATTAGATGGCTTTCGTCATCATCTATGCACTTAATCTTGATTGAGTCTCGATTGAATGCACTTCAATTCTTGTTTGTTTTCCTACTAATGATTTTTGACTCTACTTTTCAATTCCATTCAACCGAATCGATGATTAGGTGGCTGAGAGCCGGTTTAATAAACCAGATGACGTAGCTCCATGGACGAGATCTCGTCAAGACGAATATTTGCCATTCCTTCATGGTCGGATTGGTTTGTTGATTTTCAAAAACTGTCAAAGTAGACAAACGCCGGCAGTACTTTGCCGTCGCGACTGTCAAGATAAACGTAAATCGCACGTGTTCCGTTTCTTGGGCTTAATTAAGCGCCCGATCCATTAGGCCGCTGGAGATAAACTGCTCATTTTTGCGAGTTTGCAAGCATCGAGTCAGGTTGGACCGACCATGAGCTCAAACATAAAAACTGGACGTCGTTCTTGGTTGGTATGTCGCTCGAATAGAGCATCTTTAGTCGTAGAAAAGGAAGACGAATTTAAAAACGGAAGTTGCACTCGAGAAGGCAAGATTTCAGACTCAGTGAAATACGGTAAAGGCAGTTCATTCAGGAACTTGCAGTGCGGCTCAAGGTTTCTTCCAAAGTTGGTCTCCAGAAATAGGCCGATAAAGAATAAAAACGTTGATGGAGTTATCTGTTTGACTGTTGAGCGGGAGAAGAAGTACTTGTCGCGAGCTCAGATTGATCCCACCGCTCCAAGCGGCAGGACGATTTGCACACATTTCAGAACACCGTGGAGTCTTTTACCAGGTTTAAGTCACGGAAAAAACTCCAAAGTACTCTGTGATAACATTGAAAAAAGATCTTTTTGTGATTCTCTATCGAGCCTTGCTTGCTCTAGTTTCAAGTCCAGTGGTTCATCATCATCAAGTAATGAAGTGGGGAACTGTTTTATTTCCAAGCGCAGCTCGGTATTACAATGGGTAAATGCGCTCTACTGAGTTACAAGGAAAATCGCATTTTGGTAATGATTGTAACTAGGATGATCCGGACAGAGGACATACCGATTGAAGTATAACCACAAAGAAAAATATAAATGATATGGTTTATTGATGAAATATTTGCTAACAATTTGTATTTTTGGTAAACTAAAGTGTATAGAACGTAAAACTAGCCACTCAGTTGCCAACATTAAATGTCGTGGTATACATGGTTTACATATTCTGAAAGGCTCAAACTTTAGGTTACGAAATTTTTCCGTCTGTCCCTTCAAACCAGTCTGCTAATTATAAGTCTTAATGACGTAACAGCCGAGGGGCGTCATGGATCAGTGACACAACATCTTGTATTGCATGTTTCACTGGCCTTAGCCATAGCTCTTTGTTGTTGCACGTCACAATAAAAACGTGCCTTGATTTAAAAATTTAAATGCTGTCAAATCTTAGAATCTTTTGCATAGTATGAGACCTGTTAACATTGCAGAAATGCTAAGATTCTGTTACGTTATTAACAACTTTCACAACCTGAACGGGTTTGGAATCATCGACCAACCCCTCTTTCCACCAAAAGTATCAAATTCCTCAGCTTCTCAGGTTGTGAAAGGCCATTTCTAGTTTCCCGAACTTTTTTCAGCAATTGTGATGCTTATCTTTCGACAGGTATTGTGGTAAGAGTGTAGACAATGGAAATAACATCATGTAGTTGACGCGTAAAGATCCAGACTGAAGATGTGTGCTTACTTTCGTCAATCGATTATTTTGTTACTTTGAATATGTGTTTTGTCGGAGCATAGAGAGTTCTTTTATCCTGTTCGGAAATAAAGAAATTGAGTTGTACGTCTCAGCAAACGGCGGCCAACGGTCAGTTGTGTAGGGTGCAGCACTATACGTTCCTTAGTCAAAAGGCAATAATTTTTTTTCCTGTTATCACGAGGAAAACTCGTTTATCATTCAACCAGAATCACGCATGAACTTTTAAACGTTGTTGGGCACAAGCCAAATGCAGGATGTGTCTGACCAGGAAGGGATATTTTTTTGCGGTTTTTTAATTAAAGGAGAAGGCAATTTCAAACTGGTCTCCCACATTGCATTATGGAAAAACCAATCTGTTTTCCTGAAACATTTGCAGTTCCTGAGTCACCCTGAATAATTTTAGCTACACATTCTTCATTGATGTTTGAGATCGTAGAATAAAACATAGATATCTTGAGTGGTCATTGGAATGATTGTTTCCTTCCAGAACTACAGCTTTTTTCTTGCTTATTTATCCTTCCCTTACTTTTGTTTAGCATACAGTTTTATTAATTATCTTGTTTTTGTTGCAATGCCTCGTAAGCAAGAAGAAAAGCTCTGATTCTATTAAGTTTGCATGTGGTCTCGCTCTTTCCTCTCATCCATATATCAATAATGTGAACACGTTTTACTGAAAGATCTAAGATATTTAACTTCGAGGAGTCCTCCGGACATTTTAACTGATGCCAATATCTATTTCCACGACTTGTTTATAGTGTGTTACATTGTGAATCAATGACATATTCAGGCGAGTTGACGAATAAATAGGCTTCAAAGGTGCTATTGATAGTTTCTGCATTAACTGAGGGGAAAATATAGCTGTTTACTTTTGATTTAGAAAATCCTCGTCCAACTAATAATCCTTAACAAAGTAATAAGATGAGAAACCGCTAAAGACATTTGAGATTACTTATAATGAAAAAAAAAAGTTCATAGCAATATTATGCTTTGTTAGTCAAGAACCGTAGTACCCTTCTTTACATTTAAAAGAACGAAACAATGACCTTTGATATTGTATCAAATTTACTCTAATTGACACGCAGAGCGTGGTGGCTTACACGTGATAGCTGTGGCCTACTGAGCAATGACTGAGCATTTTCAAAAGGGTGAACGTGTTTGTTTAATTAACCGTTTCTTTACCAAGTTTAATAGACTGAAACAAGAGTGCAACTGAAGGATGTATGCAAATAGCCGCATGAAATTTTGGGAGTTTTTCTGAACTATATTTCAAAACAGAGGGAATCCTGTGACTACCAGTTTTGCATTACTTGAAGCCAAGAGGGGACATCCTCTCCTATCGAAGCTATGGATTTTTGTCAAGACGCTTCCTGTCGTCTTTATAAAGTACTTGCGTTGCATGCAATTTATGAAACGAAATGATCTCTGAAAGAGTCAAGAGAAGCAAAGTCAAAGTCTGATCAATGCTCTCTACCCAATTGTTTGTCTTGATTAAATTTCTTTACATATTCTATGAAAAGCGTATTGAATGAATAGTCGATTTAAAAGCAAGATTATTTCTCCCCCCTGGTTTTGCTGGTGTCACTTGGATCAATTGATGGCTTTGGATAAAAATCGTTAGCTTATTATAGTAAGATATTTCTCAACTCGTGTTTGAATCGCTTCAATTGGAACTCCGCTAATAGGAATAAAAAACTGTGAAAACTTTGAAATGATATAATGGAAACCAAAAGAGACTATACCGTTTCTGCATTTCTACTTTCTGCTTGAAGAAACTATCTCCAGCATGCAACAAAAATCCAAATTTGTAGTGTTCCGATGAGCATGGAAAACGTCAGCTGATGCTAGAAAAAATTCAAACGATATCTGATAAAGGTGTTCTCATAGAAATGCCGAGCCTTAAAACCGTTTGCGTAAATTTTTTAGCCAATTTTCAACAGCACGAAACTTTGTAAGTTTATCAACTGACTTATGAACATCCTTGATCCATTTTTCCGGTTTATCCACGTCCAATATGCTGCTGCAAGCAATGGACGAAACAGAATTACAAAAAGAACTTGCATCATCTTCATCTTCTCCATAAACATCTTCACCTCCTTCATATGAAGGCATCCGACGTGGTTTTCTGCCTGTATGAGGCCGCAGACTGAGTGAAAAGTCGTGAGCACTTCGCATGCCGCGAAGCTTGGAAGCTTGAGTTTGCTTCAGATCAATTTTGTCGTTTCCTGAGCTAGTCGACTGTCCTTTCCTCTTCTTCCCGTCGTTTAATGAGCCACAGTGAGTATTTCCAAAGGATTTTGCTGCTCCAACGGTATTGAGTGATTGTATCGAATTACCTCCCAGTGATGCTGAAGGCCTAGTTACAGTGCAGAGATGTCTCGAGTAGTCTAATGACTGTCTCCATTTGGAGAAGCGGTCGTTCCTTGCTAACATCTCTCTTGATGTCATCTCTTTAGCTTAAGATGTTAACAGACATCTCTCTGCTTCCGCAGTTAGGGAACAAAGTTAATCTATTTGGATTTTTATGAATTACATAATCGATTATCATTAATTTTATGCAGTGTGACGAAGTCAGTGCGTCAAATTGATTCAGTGATTTGATTGACAGTCATATCACGCCATGGGGGATAAAATGAATATTCGCAATGGTCATTCTGGTGGTGAATAGAAAGCCTACGATTTATCAACTTACTTTGCTCTTAAGGGAAGACATATTTTCTAAAGGAAGAAAATTCGAGTGGCGTTTAGTTATCGTAAATGTGATCGAGCTATTTCTGTAAATCGACCCAGAATACTTCTGTATTTATCCGTTTCTTGGAGACATAAGGCTGATACAATTCTGAGCCATTCAGTCAAGAGCCATGTGTAGAGCAAGGAAAATGGGTTTTAGTTTTGTAAAACTGCTTCCATTTCTTCTACACTTTTCGCGGCGCTATTACTGTCTTGCAGCGGAAAGGCATTTTGAAAGTAAGAACAGAAATTCAGCTACCATAGAAACCCAATTCTTTCGCACTTTGGAAATCGTTGTTCACACAATGCATTTGTTTCCTTCTTGAGCGATTTTCTGGGGGAATTAACAAGAGACATAAGAAAACAGATGATCGTTTGCTGTGTTTGCATGAAATTTTACGTCAAATTTTGTAGCCCGGATGTGCACATGTTTTTTGTCACGTCTTCTTTTTAAAGTTGGTGATAAAATGGAGATTTCAGTTCGTGGTTAATTTTGTTTGACATCTTTGGAGCAGACCAAGATAGGAAAAACTTGGCCCTTGAAATACTAATCGCTTGTCTTTGAAGTCCTTTGAACATTCTTCGGAGGGTTGACCGATGTGTCAGAGTAATTTTCCGTGAGGCTAATTTCTGATGTTAGCTATGTCGTCATGGAAAACCAGAATATTTCAGGGATTGTCCCAGCGCCTCAGAATCCTTAGAGTGAATAAGATGTATTTAAAGTTAGGTCTTGTATCTGCTCGAACGTAGGGTCCCTACAGGAGGATTGTTTACAATGTTATTTTTCCTAATATAGTTTCAATTATTCTGTAATTATTTTTTTTTCGTAAGTTAGAAAACCCTTAAAAGAAATTTTTCAAAATATATTTCGTGTTCATCTTTTAATTGGCCATTGTAAGTATGTGCGTCACACATTCTCAGACGAATAATTACTTATGACGTAGTTGCTCCATTTGCGATCAACAAATCGAACATTTTCTAAATGTTTGAAAGCAAGTAGCGGTTTAAGCCAATTAATACATCGCAAACTAAAGATTCGGCTTTACACAGGGTAACCCTTTTTTTATCCATACGCAAAAGAAATATCGATTTCGATGAAAGATCAAGCAGATATGGTATACAAAATCTTTTCTTCCCTCAATTCAAACGGGAGACAGAGGGAGAGGGTCTTTCAATGTGTCGACCACAAGTCTCTGGATTTCCAACAAAAGTCACAATCGGGAGCGAATTGAATTTAGCTAGCCTCAGGAAGTCAGTTTTTGAACATTTCAAAAACAGTTAGGAGCACTCAGACTGTATTATCTTGTAATTGAATTATTTATCAATATGTTTTGAATGTCTCTTTGTTTTGATTAACAGCTGTAGCTTTACCTACTTTTAGCTTTTCTTTTAAGTTATTTTAGGGTTGTCATTTCAACATAGATACTTGATTAGGTTTTTAAATAATTAATTATCTGCGAGGTGCAGTGGCTTTTCATTTTTTATAGTGATATGTGTTCTCCCCTGTTTAACTAAAGTTGATTATACTACTATTATTAATATCTTTTATTAGTTCTTTATCTATTATTAGTACTAGAAGAGTGCTTGATGTGGAACAGGGAACACTCACCCGGCCGGATTTCAACGACAACGGGTGGGATGGGGAAAGAATGCCTTAGGTTTCATTGTAGAGTGGCATAGCTCATTGCTTCAAAGAAAGAAGAGCAATTTTCCACAGCCATCCTCTTTGCGCTTTTGCGATCTGCTCTTGTCTGTATAAGAGGCTCTAGGAACATTAGGAAAGTTCAGCGTGACATTAAGAACAATGACATTGATATTGACTTTATTGAAGGTGCCATCTCCTGGGTATTTTATCGCCAATTTTTACATTTCTCAATACCAGCCTTTAATTCTTTATTGTTGTATTTTAGCCTAGATAAATCTTACCTATTTCAATCAAAGTCAACAGATTTTTAAACATGTTTTGTTTTTTTTCCTTAGCAAACATATTAGTAGTGTATTTATATTTATATTTTTATTGTTATCGGCATATATAAAAAATAGAGAATTACAGATTCCATTGAAAATCGATTTTAGCACTTGAAATAAAGATATTTCTTATTCTTATTACTAACATCATCATCATTATCATTATTATTATCATTATTGTTGTTATCATTTTTATCATCATCATTATTATTATTATTGTTATTATTATTATGGACCTTAAGTAGTCAGGACGACAACGCTAAGAAAGGCGCCGATTTCAAAATGAATTCAAGCTCACCCAGAATGCTGCGACACATCCGGGACTTGTTAAGACTTACCGGGGGTAAATTTGAAAATGACTTGCCGGAACGTGCGCCAAACAATAGAGAAAACGGCCTTAAAATCATCAGAGGGGCGATTTTTATCTTAGTTTCATTTGAGTCACTTTGAATAAACCACTTTTACCATATGGCTTTTGAAGAAGAGAGATAATAGAGGCCCTTTGTACCTTTTCTAGGAACGTCGCTTATTGCCTCGGCTTTTCCGCTAAATTTGTCTTCGAAGGGCTCCGGTAGGACCTTTTTCAAAACTCCCGCGAGTACGTTAATTTTCTCTAAGCTCCGCCTCCTCTTACAATGCGGTAGACGATCGGCGATTGGTGCTGAAACTGATCAAGAGAAGCTGAAAGAAACGGTTTACAACAGCTTTGCGAAAACGAATTAATGATAAAAGCGACAGGTTTTTTTGGTGGAAAAACAACAAATAGAACAGTTCAGCATCGAAACTAACCAATGCCGCGTAAACATACAAAAGCTATAGAAGGCAGTACATCTTGTCCCTGATTCAACTCAACACAATGTGTGACATTTTTTTTCCTTTCGTAGAAACAAGTGTCAAAGTGACTTCTAAGACTTCATTTCGTCAATACTATTATAGAAAAATCGTGCAGGTTGATTTTTCCGATGAAAATCGAATCGAATCCGGGTAATGATAGAACCGAAGTGTTTGTTCAGTAAAATGTAGAAAGAGATGAATATGTAACCGTCAGTATCAAAATCGAACTCTCATCCAGCTTGTAACACGAGCACGTAGTGTGTGATTTTTCCTAACAAGAGCATAAACAGAGAAAGATGATTTTCGTCTTGTCACGAGCGTAAAATTTCTGAAAAGAACGTAAAAATTCTGAGTCCCCATAGGGAATCGAACCTCAGACCTTCGGATTCCGCGCTCCAATGCTCTACCACTAAGCCACAGCAACTCTGCAGCGAGGGAGATCTATTACGAAGTTCATATGACACGCGTCTTGTATACTGTTAGGATCAGCAGTGTCGATAGCGTCATGTTTGTAAATAAAATTTTTTCTTTATCCCACGCTCGTGACAAGACGAAAAACATCTCTCTCTATTTCTTTAGCGAGCTCAAAACTTACAATCTCTCTAATTCTATTTACAAACATGACGCTATCGACTTTGCTAATCCTAGCAGTATGCAGGACGCGTGTCATATGAACTTCGTAATTGACTTCGCTCAGTGGTAGAGCATTGGAACGCAGAATCCGAAGGTGAGATGTTCGATTCCTCATGGGGACCCAAAAATTTGTTTTTGTCCCACACTCGTGACAAGACAATAAACATCTTTCTCGATTTCTTTACCAAGCCCAAAACTCACCATCTCTCTAATTTTATTTACAAATAGCATAAACAATAACGTTCTAAGCTATTGTTTCTTAATTCCGCCTTGAACAGTTAATGAGCTAAAGCACTATTTCCTGAGTAGGAAAGCCCGCATAATCTTTGTCTCCAGATTGCGCTTCCTTGCTCATGTTACAGATCTATATTTTCTCGCTACTGTTAGTAAATGTCGCGAGAACAATAGGTGTTCTGCGCAATGAATTTTTTTAGTACGAATTTCACGAATGGCCGATGAGTTTACCTTCTCTCAAAGCGCTACACCTCAATTAATTTCAGCATAACGCTAATGTACAGGGTTGATTCCAATGGTAACTTAAATAATCTGCCGTTGGAGATATCATTCTCGGACCACGAAAATTTTGGTGATTTCACGCTTTTTTTTTTTTTTTTTTTGCAGCAGACGACCAAGAAGTGTAAAAAGTTTTAAAACGCACGTGCTGAACTTTTGTTCTACCTAGAATCTACTCTTTTGCCGCGTCCCCATCGCCGTCGTCGTGGGCTTCAGATCCCTATCATCGATACTGAAGGATCTGTTTACCCATTTAAAATAATCAGTACATCTTTTCAACCGATTCTATGATGGATAACTATTTTGCCTAGATTGTTAAAGCTGATTAAACATTACGGGGTTAGTTTTGACTCAATAATACTGGTTGTAAAGTAAGCTTCATCTCTATGGGTTTGAAAGATGCAAAATCAGTTTGAGAAATTTACTCTGTTGTCTGCGTGCTCGTTTTAGTGCCATTAATTCGTCCAAACCGTTTCAGTGGAGCAGAATTTTAGGCAGTGGACTAAAATCACCTAAGTGCTTTCCCTATCAAATCATCAATAACAGTTAAACAATTAATTAAGTGTATTAAAGTTCACACGGCAACCAGGTGGACAATCAGACATAGTTTGATGCTGCTCTGGTTTGCAGATTTAATGAATGTAACCGAAGAAGTTACAATTCATAGTGCCTTCAATTTAGTGCCTTCATCAGGGCCCTGATGAAGGCACTAGACAGGAGTGTCGAGACGTTGGGTCTATGAATTGTAACTTCTTCGGTTACATTCATTGAATCTGCAAACCAGAGTAGCATCAAACTATGTCCAATTAATTAAGATTTTGTGGAACTAAGAAGGTACCAATTTCTAGAATTCTTTAACAAGGCTACGTACGAACGTTGTATCAATTTAATAAAATCGGTTTGTTAAAAACAAGGGGCAGGAAGAAGTTTTATTTGTATTTTATGACAATGCATTGAGCTTAAAGTTCTAATCGAATAAAACCAAAGTCATAATTGGAGAAATCATGCCGTCATAACTATTCTGCAATCAAGACTGTTGAATTGATTTTGTTAGGCGGCCGACACGATTTGCGGTGTAATGCGCCAAAAATGACCTTTCTTTCGTGACTTTAGCGGTTTTTATTTCCATAAATGATCTAGATGATTCAAAATGACCCACATGGAATTTCAGACTCTTAAACCAAACAAAAGACTTATCCGTTAGCACAAGGCCTGAAGCAAAAACAAATTCTATGGTTTTGTTTACAGTACTGTTCAGAGAGACATCAAAAAAAAAATTCGGTATTTCTCGGTGTAATGAAACAAAAATCTAGTTTCTGGTAAAAAGATAATTTCATCAGATTAACGGGATCTGATGCTACCCTTTTAAAATTTAACAAGTGACGACCACCTTGTTAACACGTGTTCTACTCGGGTGGTTTCAAGGATCTTTACAAGCATGCTTGTACCGTTTCTTTCAGCTTTTGTAACATACAAACTATAAAACTGGTCTGGGTAAGCTCTCAAGCCACGTTGTTATGGAATCAAACTTTTCTTTTTCATCCTGAAGGCCATTAACTTTGCTTTTTCTTTGTCCTTTCCCGTCAGGGTTGGCAAAGTTACTCGAAATGATCGACGAAACAGAATCACAACATGATCGAGTTTCCTCATCGTTGCTAGTTATTGTGAACGCGTGAACAACTGAATTTTTGCCCAAGCTGCTTGTATTTCCGGGACGTTTTGTTTCTGGTAGGCCGTGTGTCCCTACCCTTAAGTTCTTGTTTCCATACTTGTTAAGAAATGACTGGTCCTTATTGAAAACTTGTTGATAAATTCTTTCAGTGCTCGCCGAGTTAACAAACCTTGGATCCTTTTCATGAGAGTCAGAGCTTCCTTGAAGAGCTCTCCTTCTGATAAACTCGACGGCAGCAGTGTCACTGAAGGATCTAGAAGGCCTTTTAGTTAATACTGTCATTGAATCGTCGCAAAGATGACGAGAATAGTCCAAAGAAATTTTCTTTCCTATGGCATGTTGGTTGAAAGAATTCTTCATGTTGATATCGGTGATGATGATAATCCAAATATCAGACGAAGATTTGTTGTAGTTTGATAAGTTAGTGTTTTCGGAATATCTTTTAACCCTTTACCACAAAGAAGGACAGATACTACTTCCCACTGGAACTGAAATGTTGTTTAGTGTTGCTTCCGAACTGTTGTGTTCCTCCAGACCTCAAACTAGTGCGGGTTTATCAACAAAAGAAATGAATTGAAGTGAGCTCTCCATTAAACAATAGAACTGAGACAAAGGGGTATGCTATATTAGGACTCAGCGGTATAGGAAATCCGCAGCTTTGGCTGCGGGAGAGGGACGAGGCATGAATAGAATACCGAGTAACTCATATCATTACCCAAAAAAATGCCTGTATATTTTCGAGAATGTTCAGTGTTCTAGATCTTCAGATTACGAAGGTTTTCAAGGCTGTGCTGGCATAGTGGCCTGGCACTTTCCTTTAAACACTTAAAAAATATCTCTAAATGATGGATTTTAAAGATATCTTACATTATTCAACTTCTTTCCTCTCGCATCAACAGCTGCCTTATCTCAAAATAAAACTGATTTGTTTACTCTCTTTCTTTATTTAATTATTTTCTGGTTGCTAGCATAACAATACATTGCGTCATGAAATGAACATGAATAGCTCCGCACACACGGTGACACCACCCGGCAATAGTGCAGAAGCACCCCCACGCTTTATCTCCCAGAGCCAATCAAAAGATATGCAAGGAAGAAACGAAAAATGCTTCACTTTAATGAATCAATATATTAAATTTATTATTAAGATATTTGGAATATGGTGCGGTGTAAGCAATTTCAATGGTCTAGACCGATCTCTATTGATTTTATATCTGAGAACGTCGAAGGGATAATGCAACACAAATGCACGTTAGCGTCACTTTCCCGATAGGATGCTTAAGAGACTTCAATGTTGAGCGGAGACTCTCGCAGTGTTTGTTGCAAAACAGATACCTTGATTTGACTCACTAATTCGGTTATAAATAATAACTGATGTTCGTGACGAAAGCCGCCAAACGCTTCCTTGCCGTGGTTTAACCTCTGACTCCAATCAAACTAACAATTATTTTAAAGCTTAAAATTAAAAAACAAAAAACAAAAACGAGAAACAAAAAAGAATAATAATAAAAAAAAACATGGCTAAAAGGATACGAGCTGACCTCCGTTAAAAAAGAATACTTAACAGCTTACATGGTGAGTATATAACAAAAAGGCAAAAAACCCGACAAGTGAGCCAGGGAAATGAGACAAGAAGCTTAAAAATCGCTGGAGCGCATAGGAAACTACAGCTATAAGAGGGTAATTAGGAAACTTACATCTTTTGGATTCTGAGTTTCATGTTTGCACCAGACTAGTTCAAGGTGTCCCGTGATGTTTCTAGCCATCAAAAAGTATTAGAATATACAAAACTAGGTGTTAGTTCCAAGCATATTTCTTCCGTTTTTTTTTCATACTTTCCATACTTCTTTAAACAATGCGTTGTTATCCCAAGGTCATTTAGCATTGCCATGCTATCAGACAGTGGATTGTTTTGCAATCTACGCAACAAGCTAAAGCTTAATTAATCTAATACCTTTCATCTAGTTTTATTTACTTTGGCTTGTCATTTTTTTTCCTGGCCACTGAATAAGAGAATTATCATCGCGTAGCAGCTTGCTGCACAAGAAAACTGAAGACCATGTTGTACTGATGGAACGAAAACTTCCATGAGATTTTAGATTCGCTTGATAAGAATGCATTCCCTTGATTCCTTTCATAATCTAATTAGTAAATGTTTGGTAATTAGTAATCAAAACTCGTACTAAACTACATATTATATGCTAATTCGTAAAGACCAAAAGAAAAGACAGATTTTTTTCTTTTGTAGAAAATCCTGCGTTGGGATCGATCTCTACCTCTAATCTGGTAGGAGAGAACGGGCTCTTCTTTTACGCAGAATAGGGTAGCATAAATTATGCTCGAAAATTCGAGCAGTATGCTTTTGAACGGCGCCCCTGAAAACATGGCATTATGCCGAAACTTTAACTTAAAATTTTTCTTCATGCTAAATTTGATAAAGAAAAATAATAACTTTTGAGAGCCCCTCAACCTGCCACCCCTTCTATTCCTATCATTAACAGGTAAAACTTGTTAAGAATAAAAGTTTATCTCTTATTGAAATGTAACATCAAGGGAATTGGAAAGAAGCCTAGCCATTATACCGGCATTAAGCTCGATAGTTTAATTATAGCATTATGCCCAAAATTATGCCAGCATAATTCATCTGACCCTAATGGTGAGGTAATGAACCTTATCCAGTGTCTGCAAATGATATCAGTGTGTTATTACGAAATATCTACAATGTAAGTAAAATTTAAAATCTTTTCGCGATTAATTAAAGCAGTCGGAGTGTTCGCGCGTGACTAGTTGTTTCGTTATTCAGACTTTAGAAATCTCATTGGTAAGACTATCACAGGCAACTGTCTACCCCACGGTCAGGATTAGGTCGAGATCAGTCATTTTTCTGAGCTGTTGTTTGGTTAGATGAGATATTCGTAATTTATGTAAACTATTGTTTTGACTGATGTTTCATTTTGTCATTGATTAACTGGCGTTTCGCGCACAGTAAATGTAGTGTCTGGAAATATTGTACACCTTCCGTTAAACATTCAGAGAAGGTCTCAGAAATATACCCCCCTTCAAGCTTTTTCAAAGTTATCAAACTTTGGAACCAATTTGCTTTGCATGGGTGAATCTGTGTACAGTTTGCTCAACGAAACCTTTGAAAGACGAAATCACGATTGCGCCCAAATGAAATAATAGGATACAAACCAAGGAAAATGAAGGACGCTTCTCTTTATAAAAGGAATGCCATTTCTAATTCGTGGATAAGCTATGACGACTAGTAAGTTATAGGGCAAGCGTTTCGTTAGTCTAAGCTACGGTGCAATTGGTTCGAGGAGCCAAAATTAATTTATTCCATGAAAGCTGTCAACCACACGGTGTGTGCTCAGCGGTGTGGGCTAAAATTAGTTTAAAGGTTCTAAAGTTTGAAATAAAGTAATTGGCGAAATTAATTGCTGGGGGCAATGACTTCAAAATGGGCTTATTTACCCGTGACGAAATGAATTCGTATTTTTAATGCTGAGAAATATATCAACAAAGGCATTGGTAGTGTAATGGACTCGCACAATTTCCCTTCTCCGCAGATGTCAAGTTTTATTGAGCCTAAGGAACAAAACTGTATGGCTAACGACGCAGTGAACTTAAAAAATGACGAAGTTAATGGCAACGGACGTCGAAGACGCCTTTCATCTTCCAGCGGAAGCATTCCAAGACACGCTAAATCTCTTGGCTCGCTGGAAGCTGCTGGCGAGAGAAATGAACCTGTAAATTGTGTTCAAGATGCAACAAGCACGGCAGCAAATGGAGGTTTCGTTGGATTGCATCGTCGTAGAAAGATATCACTGCCTAGTAGACCCGTTCAGCTAAAACCTGATCAGTTTCTCGAAGGAGGACGTGTGGAGCTGGCAAAACGAGAAGTGAATCTGGATGCACATATGCCTGCGTTTTATGAAAACCCTTGTTCAGTAAAGAAGTATACAAGTACTCCCATTCGAAAAACTGAAGCAAACGGATGGATGTTTGGGGACAATTCTGTCTTAGGTGGAGTGAGTGTCAACCAAGGACCTCGGCAAAGACGGATTAGTCTGCCCGTATTGAAGGTTGACAAATCGCCGGATTCGCTTCAACCTTTTACAAGCTATGACTCTAATTCAGCCGGTGAGCTGAGTGACAATTTTCTTAACCCTTCTTCTATTCCTCAAGTTCAAAGAGGTCCATTAACAGGTAAAAAAGCGGAGACACGTCAGTGGAACCAAAGGCTCTGACTCATGAAAACGTCGAACAAAATTAAGAGATGGCCACCGTTAAGATCTCATTTTCTAGATTGGAATCTGGATACAAAATTGACACCCTGTTCCATCCTCCTGTAGTAAACACAGAGAGAGAAACGAATGTACGATATGCCTCAAAATATTTTCCTTGCGAACGATACTCTATATTTAGAGATGCACATCTGTTATCACACTTTGCGGGTGAAATTAAGTCGGCAACATATAAGGTCGAGTCATTAGCTACGGGCAGTGACTCATTCTCAGTTCTCGTGAAACTGATTGAAGAAGAAGCTTCAGTTATATGACATATGTTGATGTGAAACAAAATATTCAGTGATGATAGTATGCTATGTGTTTCTAAGCGCAATTTTAAAACCTTCCCATGCAAGTTTATTAATAGTTAACTTTATGGTAATTGATATCAGAGGTTATTGACCTCGCTATTTTCCATTAGAGCCCACAGTTTCTTCTTATGGCACCCTAAGCCCGTTCTTCCCAATCGCAACAAAAAGCAATATTTAACTTGACTCTTCTGATACGTGCCGTCCTCTTTAATTCGCCTGTCGCAATGTTAGTTTATAACTTAAGCTTTTGGAAGTGACCAGTTTCTTTGTCAGGATACAGTAACAACGTACGAAAACAAATAGGTTCAATCAAACAATAGTCAATCGAAAGTGCAGTCACGTGCATCTGAATTGAAAATCAAGTTGATCGAAATAAGACTGAATTTCAACATTTATGAGGGAAATTCCTCGAGAGTAAAATATGTGAGCGAGGAGAAGATTGCTAAGGTTATTCCTGCTGTCTGTTTTTTTCACTACTGCTAAGTAGTGGTTAGTTTAGTAGTTTTTTCCACTACTGCCTAATAACTAGTGTCCATTATTGCGAAGATCGCTTTCATATTTACTTCTTTATCTGCAGTTTACATATATGATTTTCATTTATTCACCGTCATTTGTTTATCACTTTACGGGTTTATTTGGAGCGAACATAACAGCCTAGTTAGCTTGGTTGGTAGAGTACTGCACCAGTATCGCTTGAACATGCGTTCAAATCCTGTACAGGCCTGAATTTTTTTCAAGCCGTATTTTCACTTGATATGTAGTGTTAGCTTAGACACTTAAGTCACTAGTCACTCAAGTAGTATTCATTATTGCGAAGATCACATTCATGTTCAGTTTCTTTCTCTGTCCACACAATTTAGTATCATCGAGATATATTTTTAACTTATCCCTCTGCTTTTTAAACGGTATCTTAGTTAAAACAAATACAGAGTAAATTGCACTCGAAATAACAGATTTTTTTCACTTCGATAAACTTCCCTTTACACAATGAATTTATTCCCTGCGTGATACATGGCTGCAATACATAGAGCCTCTCTCGATTCTTGAATGACTCTTGAAATGTTTCGTGGATCATTAATAGCGATTCAAGGATTGTCTCAGGAAGGAAATATCTTGATAGAAGAGGTTCCGTTTCCGTTCCCGTTCCTGATTATCCCGCTGAAGCAGGTAATTTTGGGAAATTTTTCAAACGTTTGATAATTATGCAAAATGTTAGTCGAAAGACAATTTGTGGATAATTGACATATTTACACTATGTGCCTAGAAGAGGTTTGGTCAATAAAGTAAGCTTCATTTTACCCTGATTGATGAGGTAAGTTCTGTGCCAACAACCTTTAGTCCTTTGGGAGAGAAAACATATCCATTACATAAGTTCCATAGGCGTATTTAATTCATTTTGTTTGTTTCTCTCATTGTGTTAAGTTAAGTCGATAGAATATTTATGACGTTCAGCGTATTTTCAAGATGTTACTTTGTTGAGTTACGAGTTATTTTTGTGGCTTTGCGTTACGTACCGTTTAGAGCCTCAAATTCTTATCATAAAGCTGACATATTTCTTCATAAAGTGCTGGTAGAGAGCGTAGAATTCATGTTTTTTCTCCTTTAATACGCATCGAGGTTTTGCTGTTTCGAAACGAATGCGCAATTGACCGTCAAGAATGTCAAAAGACCAAATAAAAAGAACAAAGAAACAAATGTCGTTCTGGAGAGCTATTAAAGAGAAATAGAAACTTCCCGAGTTCCTCGCTCCCTCCCCGTTACAGTGCCTATAATTGATTGGGCTTTCATGATCACGTTTCGGAAAAGTTGGTACTTATACTATGTGCATACTCAAGTTGCGGTCATGATATCTTTTAGATAATGAAGAGCAATTGAAAGTACCCATACATATATTTTTCTTTTCCTGATGGATAGCTATGTGGCTCATTTGGTGTTTGCAGGGTCTAATCGATATCAAAGTCCCGCCAAAGCCTCCGTGTTTCCGTGAGGAGGAATCGGTCGTTGCTAATCCATAGGTCACAAATGGGTCCTGGAAAGTTGTAAATCTTGGACCACGCGTTTTGTACGTGATGTCTGGATAATGGGCGTTTACCTCTATTTTAAGACACAAAATGTTTCGTGATATCTACTGCGATGTTCAGCCCGCCGTTGTTTGCTTTCCAAGAGCTGGGCTAAGTTGAAAACAAAACCCAAAATCCACCATGACAGTTGCACAACATACTGCCAAAAGCAATTTACAAAAATCAATGAGGCGAAGTTGTTATGGCAATCAAAAGATAATCTTTCTTTGCTCCATGCCATGTTATGTAATAAATTTTGATCCTCAAATTTTATCTAAGTTGGCGTGAGAAAGTGAACCCTCCCCCGGTGCAGACAATGGAGCGGAAATTAGTAAAATTGTTTCGTCTTACGTGAGTCACAGCTTATATGAGTTCCTTTTTTTTTTTAATTAGTTTTATAACTAAATCATTAAGATCGACCACAAATCGTACTATTCGTACCTTTCAATAAACAGACAAACGAAGAGGTTTGTCAATAATTCCAGTCGTCGTAACATGGTCAATTGAGATCCATAAAATGGAAGGAGCGAAAAATATGGCGCTTTAGGGTGTCAGTTTATGTTATGGTTAAATCATTGTTTAGATGTACTCTGCGGTAGCAGCTGGTGCTCCATCTTATTGACGGTTCCTAAGGACGCCTAGTCATTGGATAGTGACATCCTCGCTCAAAATCCAGCATGCAAAAGGCCTAAGTGGTAAATGATATGAAGTTCCGCTTTGTCTCCAAACCTCACTTCTGCCCCTCAACATCTTGACATAGTGTAACCAACTAGCTGGGTTTTCCATGAGTAAAAATTTCCCTTTGCTCCTACAAGGCGAATTCGTCGAGTTTAAGTTAAAAAGAATCAGAGTAAACCAAACGGAAGCGGGCGAAATCTTTCTTTTACTACAAATTTTCAGTCCCCGAACGGGACAAAACGTTTGAGCAAATCATGAATTGTGGCAGTATTGATTGATCAATATCGTGAAGGCGCAACGCCAATGACATTAAAATAAAACGGTTCCAGAAATCACGTGGCGAAATATGTAGCTATTCCAAGATTTATAATTTTCTGCCGAAGTTTTCTCTTTCAACTCATTTTCTTAAAATTACGTTTTATTACTTAGTAAAATGAAGCAAGGTTGGGTAAGCTCGGATTTAAGAATAATCTCTTGATTCTTTTATTCTACTTCGCTGAGCCAGCGCTTTATGCTGTCACTTTTTGCGTAATATGCCATATGTTCTCCTCCACTTTTTCGTAAAGAAATACTCGAACCTCTTAGCGTTGAAACGGAATCACAATATGATCTTGATCCCTGCGTTATCGCCGAGCTTTCTCGTCGAAATATCTGTTCCCATGTTTCTTCTTTTGGCAATACGCGAATCTTTGTTGATACTGCATCATTTTTCGCAGCGTCTTTGCCAGGGTTTACCTCATTCATTTGCTCTTTGCTCTCCGGGTTTTCAGTGCTCCCAAGAGAAGTAGAATACTTGCGTAGCACTTTCGGTTCCTTTTTTAAAACAAAAGGTACAGAAAACCCCGAGCAACTTGGAATTTTCTTTTGCCCAGTGGGAAAGTAATTAGGTAAAGAACTCCGGCGAGATTTCCATAGGTTGTACGACATAATGTCTGTTGATTTAGTCCTCAATGTGATACTCTCACGACGAAAGGGAACCGACGTGTCGAGGTCAATTTCGGGCGTGGATTCTCTCTTACCAAGTACATAATACTTCGAACCTTCCAGAAGGTTGTGGGTAGATATCGAATTCCTGGTGAATCCTGACTTGTGGATCTTGGTCATGGGTTTACTGCCAGTTGCTTCCATTTGTATTTTCATGCGACTCGGTGCTATTTACTTTAGTGGATAATTACTTCGGGGGCTTGTTCAACATTAACATATTTAGATACGTGTTACACGGTAGTCATGGCCTGGATGGCTCACGAAACTATCACGTATGTTACTGTACGCGTATCTTATAATATAGTGACGAAAGAAATTCCGGAATTACAGGATTTCTCTCGACCGACAAATTGAATTCAATAAACCCTGAATGACTGACACTTACTCTTGGAGGCTTATTTGCATTTTCCGTTTCCGCGACTTTCTTCATAAGTGACGGTAGATTAGAAAGGATTAGTTTGTCATAAAAGTGAACACGTTTTGCTTTTCAGCAAGCTTACAACAGTGCTAGTTCTCTCTTTAACTCTGTTTAATCCTTGCGTACCACTTTGGTGAAAAAAAAAATCCTTTAATTGTCGCTTTTAGGTAAGTTTCACTGTGATCGTGCCTTGTTCAAAGCTTCGGCGTTAAACAAACATTAACGGAACAAACACATAACTTATCGAAGTGTTGTTATTAAATCCTTTAAGTAAACAGGCTAGAAATGAAGAACAGTTAATTACAATTTCTTTCGGCGAAAATTCGTTGTCCGTCGTCGATTTTAACATCCAGATCTGGTCCTTTGAATTTCTGAAGAAATCTTTGGCTTAAAATGATTCTCAGTGACAATGTTTAGAAAGTGTTGGCTATTTCTGCAAACTAAAAATAGCTTATGCTCCCTTGAGAAATAATCCCTCCATTCGATAACTTTGTTTATGTTATTGAAGTATTGCACGATTTGTATTCAGCTACATTTCTAAAACAAAGCCGGTGGAGATTGTTCATCAAGCAAGTTCTCCTTTTGCCTGTCAAAAGCAAAGACCCCTTTGTTTTCTTTAAGATCGTTTTCCCTTTACTCACTAAGTAGTAAAGGCGACTTCTGTTTGATCGCTTACGCGGGGAACAATACAACACATTTGTTGAAAAAAAAAAAATAAAGAAAAGAAAAGAAAGAAGCAAAATTTCTACCAATGTAACATATACTCGTTGTCCGGTAATGCTCTGATAGAACGTGCCATATGACCAGTTATTCCGAAAATGCGTTTTTCTGATATGGCCCAGTTCCATTTCATTTAAAGATTGCTCGAGTTAAACAATTGCAGAATGAAACAACTCAGATTCCAAAAAATATATTTTCACAATTCAAATTTATTGTTATTCTTCACTGTATTCCACTAGTTCTTTTGAGAACACAACGAAAAACATTGTAACTATAAATGAAACAATTCACACACTGATACACTTAATTAAAAATATAACACATGTTAATAACTTAGGATTCCATTTCTAAAATTGTAATATTCTCGAGCTCGGAACATTTTTAATATTATATTAACTCCACCACAAACATTCGGGGCAAGAGTATACAATGAATTGTCGAAGTACCATCACAGTAGAGTAAATCTGATGGTAGAACTCTACATAAGTTACAGCAGACACTCCCGTGCACAGGCGCAAAGCATGGCCCGCAATTTTTCTTCCAACATCTACACCAGCATTTTGAAAAATTTCGGAAGATGTGAGCGCGGAACCAAGCGTAATACAAATTTTATCCTCGATCAGTGACTCCATTCAGCCGAAGACAATACATTTGGTATAAAATTTTTTATCTAGAAAATTATCCTTTTCCCAACAATTAATCCACTAAAAGCCATACCTGGCTTTGAAGAAGGAATCTTACATGGAGACCATAAAATTAAAAGGTCATGTGCTGTTAAGTCACCGCATTATGATTAAACTTTTTTTCAAAGATTTGCAGCTAAAACGCCTCCACGTCAGTATCGTATTCCTCAGCCTGTTCGCCTGTCAGGTCAATCCTGGCGTAATCATCAGAATCTATTGACTTGCAAAAGTGGATAGCGTACTTGAGCTTCTCACAGAGCACACGCTGACACGAGTATCTCGGCATCTTCAGAAGGAAGAAGCAGGTGTAGGATTCGGGCAGATAGTGGTCTGGGGGAGAGTATTTGTCAAGCACCTAAAAACAACACATATGTTAGCAGATTTGAATTGGAATCCTCTACAACTCCACTGTAAGCGCAATTTAACTGGTTGCACTGAACTTTATTGCTCTCTCTTGTATGCTATGCTTCATCGCAGTTGTAAGGTAATTTCCTGGGAAAATCCCGAGGATGAAATCAGTTAAATCGCCCTCAAAATACTTCTATACACAGAGTGCTGTGATAAGTTATTAAAACTTCCTTCAAAACAAGGCCGGAAATACCAATAGGTAATGTGTCACGATCGTTTCTAGCTACAGCATTAGAGTCTTATCAGTTCTTCATACGAATAAGGTTATTAAGTATTATCAGCTGAGTTTGTAACGTAAACTGGCCACCGAAACTGACGTTTCGAGCGTTTGCCCTCCGTCAGAGCGATTGAAACGCTCGAAAAGTTAGCTTTGAGACTCTTTACATTGGCCAGTTAACGTTATCAACTCAGTTGATAATACTTAATTACCCTGTTTTACTCTCCCACTAACGCAGCTCCACAATTTCTTTAGAAACTTACCCCCCTTTCTATATACGAATAGTTAGCTTACCTGAAACACGAAGTCCCTGCCTCGAAAATCTACAATGGTTCTTGGTAGACGGGTGCGCCCCCAAACAAACCGGAGGAACAAAGAGCGTTCAGCATTCGAGAAACTCTCCAGTGTCTCCCAGAACCAACGAACCAATGGTGCATTAGCTTCCACGCCTTTATACGTCACCACGGACTTTAACAGGTCCAGAGGAATGTCGGGACTGCCGCAAACCATTGTCTCCAATTCTGGACCAGTGAACAATGACAGCAAAGGAACTGGAACCACTCGTGCCATGCCTGCTCGAACTGCAGATACCTGATGTTAAACAAGAAAATCAAAGCTACTTCTAAAATAAAGGAAAAAATTCCTTCATTGAAAGCCAAAGAACGCGAGTTTTTACTCGTACGGTGTCGTCAATCAAATTAAGGACTCGTTTAAATGTAGTAGAAGTTGCATCTAAGGAGAAAAACGTGCCTGTCTTAAACTGTAGAGTTTATGGTCAACTGAAGTTATAGTAGAAGTTAGGGACCTTACGTATATCACGAAGGCGACGGCAACGAATGCGTGGCAGGTACTCGTACGTGTATGGTCTGAGAACGAAAACCCCGTCGAAAAATTATTTTAGTTTTCCTTTGGAACTCAATGATGCTCTCTGATACGCCATATGAATTTGAGATTCAGCGCCCCTAAGAGGTAGTAAACACATCGAGCCATTCGCAAAATTCCAACTATAAACTATAAATTAATTCCTCGGCAATGCCACTAAGGAGTACCTCAGGTCCCGAAGCGAGAGAGAGACCAAAAGGTCCAAGCTTATTGTCAATATCATTTACATTAAACACGACAAGGGGAATTAAAGGATTCTCTCACGAAAACAATTCAGAATTCCATGACGTGGAAGGAAACAGAAAGCACCTTTTAAATTGAGTACAATACCTGCAGATCAAACTCGTGCAAGCGGTAATGTAGAGCGAGCCTGACATATTCCTCTCTGTTGTCCAGCGTGATGCACTTAATCTTGTTATGCAGCTGTACCTCATGACCGCTGGCGCTGGGAGTACTAAATGGCATTTCCATGGCTTCAAAAGCCTCGCGCTCCATATCCCGGATGCACATAAGACCTGGAACGTAATCCTTGTCGATTTCAGCCAAGTCAGTCACTCGCAAAGACATCCCTAAGGGGATAAGGAGGTCAAGAAATTTTTATGAAATTAGTCGTCACATCGCTACAGCAAAAGTTACACAAGAGAACGTGAAAGTTTCTGAAGGATAACTATTAACAGCAGCTAAAAAAGGACACTAAAGAACGAGGTCAAACCTCTTACGCCATACTTAAACCTTTCACTCCCCGAAAGATCTTCGTTCACACTCGTATAACAATATTAACGCATATTACTGAGAAAAAAAATGACGAGAATTGATGAAATCATCACTCGGACGATGATAAATCGACTTTAAGCCAGAATCTCCACATCAGCAAAAAATAAAGTGTACGGTATTCGCTTAAGAGAATGTTTAAGCTTGCTCTAGGGACAAAAACAAGTACCTGCCAATTGCTGCCAAACAGGTTCAGCGAGATTCAAACTCAGCGGACTTCCCGTCCGGATCGCAATACCAATCAACACTCCCAAGAATTTGAACATATTCAGATGAACGGGAGTAGCAGCATCCGGGTTGAGGATAAAGCAGTCGCGATTAGCTCCAGACTCTTCACGTCCGTTTGGCGTCACAATCAACAAGGGGAGGGAGCCATTCTGGAGCTCGTCACACATCTCTGCGATGGATTCAGAGTAACCTCCGCCACAGTCATCCACGCTCTCGCCGATAAACTTGACTTTCCACACACGGTGCGGAAGGTACAGGCTGTCAGGACCGAAGTTACTCATTTTAGAACAAGCTTGACCAAATACCGACTTGGAGCCGTCTGGACCTGTCAGTCCACCTTTGGAGCGGTACTTCTTGATCTGAGGAGATGAGATGTTTTAATCAGAAGCAAAGGCCCCACATTAAACATTGTAAATTTAAGTAACATGAAGAAGCTAACGTTATCTCTAACCGACTGAGTTAAATAAATCTCTCACTTCAATATGCCATCTTCACTTTCATCATGGCACTAAGGCATCGCAGGCATTCAAATCTAAGAAATATGGGTTTCCCTCATTTTTCACCGGAACTGAGTAATGACCTTTTAATTTTCTAACGAGACGTCATCAGATTGGGAGCTGAGAATCACAAATCGTAAACGAATTTATGTCACAATGATTGTGAAACTCGTTTACGATTTGTGATTCTCAGCTCCCAATCCTTTCTACAAGCTCGTGAGCTCAATTTGTGACGTAGAATGCCTCGTGAACAAAATGTCAAAAGAAAGTTCGTCACAAAATCCTACTTCAAAAGCCTGACTACTTGTGGTCGCCAAAGTGCTTAGTGGGTGGTTAATGGTTCGACTTCTGTCAGGGCATTGAGTTTACGAAAATAGCCTTACCTGTATTCTGTTCAGTTCTATCACAGGACCATGTTGCCGGTCACGGACCATAGTTGTTTGAACAACCTTACGAAAAGCAGCCTCCTGGAGTTAAAAAATATATTGGGATCAATACAAGGTCTTTTTTAAAGGCTGCTCTTGGTAAAACGTTTCGTAAACATTCCTCCGGTAACCAATCAGAGAATGCTTCTAAGTTCCTGTGTACTCTTTATTTTCAACTTAGACCTCATCATAAATCAGTTGTGTGCTTCTGCATTTAAAAAGGCAAATGTTGACACTCTTAGTCTAGATAATTTGGTTTCATCAACTGAGTCGATTATTTAAATTGGCAACCATAAAGAGTTAAAGCTGCTTAGAAACTCTCTACGGTGTCCAATTCACATTATCAACTCAGTGGATAAAACCAAATTATCTTGTTAAACTCACGCACCGAAGCTCACCCCCTTTAATCATACTCTTAAACTACCCTTGTAAAGCCTTTATACGGGCTCAAGTGGCCCATGGGGCTGATGCTTAACTCCGGTTTTCTTAGCGGAAGCGGCTAGGAGTATTGCTACTTCTCCCTGGATGGGATGCTAGTCCATCTCAGGGTTACCCCCAGCACATTTGCTGGTATCCATTTGTACACCTGGATGAAGAGAAGCACTGTGAGAGTAAAGTGTCTTGCCTAAGAACACAACACAATGACTCCGGCCAGGGCTCGCACCCGGACCACCCGATCCGGAGTCGAGCGCACTAACCATGAGGCCACCGTGCCTCCACAAAACTACCCTTGTATGAGGGTAAAATTTACTGCATGGCGGTTTCGAAGGAGAATGGAATAGAAAAGAAAAGAAAAGGAAGAAAAAGTTATATCGCAGGATAACCTGAGAAGAAAAGCACAAGTGATTCACCGTACCTTCCCAGATGGTATTAGGACACCTCGAAGAGCATCCAGGGCCACAGAGGTTCCTTGACCTATGGGTTCTTTCAAACGGGGTTGAAGATCAAATAAAGCGATAGAAGAACACACAAGCTCGGAGAAGTGATGAAGAAGCATGAGACGATTTCTCAAGGCCCCCAAGGGGATATGCTGTAGATGGTTAAATTCCATAGGAACTTCCTTTGGAAGGCGGCCGGCATTGGCGGGTTTCGTAGTGGACCAGGCGATCGTATGAGCAGAACCACAAGCAACCCGGTTTGTCTGTTTTCCCTACATAGAGACAAATGGACGGTATCAAATTAATCCTTTCTCTGTATAATATTCTTACACCTTCTTAGCTCGCAAAATCTCAGAAGAGCCACCTCAAAGGCTCAAAGGCAAACAAGAAATGGAAGGCAAGGAAACTGTTTTGAACGCACTTGAACAATCGTGTTGATCAGTCCACGGCTTCAAGCTATGGCAAAGAATGAATAGAACATTCCCGAAAATAGCTTTTGTTTTGTGTTTGCAGTTTGCGCCACTTTTGGGCTTCCAGTAACCCAATAGACCTCCCAAAGGATCATTACAGTAGACTGACTAAGACATTTTACAGTCGACTTACCTGTAGAGCTGTTACCAAGCGCGGTCTCTGAATGGCATTGGTTGATCCATCTCCCAGCTGACCTTCGTCATTATCACCCCACGTGTAGACTTCTCCCGTGTCCGTGCATGCCACGCAGTGCAGCGAACCCGTTGCTATAGCAACTACTTTCTTGTTTTGCAGGGCTGCTACTCTCTTGGGACGTCTCACATGATCATCTGAGCCATGCCCAAGACGGTAATAGTCACCTTTACCCCTAAGTATCAAAATATTAATTCAAAATCATACAAATTGTGGCTCTGTTGGAACAGATCTTCCACAATTTTCCTGATACAACCCTAGAATATATTTGTCCACAAGTTTGCCATGTTGCCCGCGTTTCGACTTCTTTCATTCAATTCAAAGGAATAATGGATACATCTGCTTGTTCTGTTGATCAGCCTAGCTAAAAAAACGGGGAAAAGGGCAGTAGGAATCCATAGCCTTGGGTTTATCAGAGAATGCAAACATGCAAACAGACATGCAGTGAATTCCTAGCTCTCTGAATTACAGGCCAAGATCGTGTGATTAAAAATGTCCAGTTTACTGTTAGCTTGTCCGAGATTGGGCGCAATAAAACGACCAATGACTCCTCTGAATCTGTTTGCTACTCTTACAAACACTTCTACCTTTGACAACTTGCAATGTTATGGACACTTACCATGTGTAAACAGCACCAGACTTTGTCAGAGCCACAGAGAACTGTGATCCACACTCAACTTTACACACGCCAGCTCGCATCAGCGCCTCTACCTTCATCGGGATCTTACAGCCGTCACTACCTCCCCGACCTAGCTTTCCGTAATCTCCGTCACCCCAGGACCACACACAGTCGTTATCAGTAAGACACAGTGTCTGCGCATCACCGCTTCCGCATGCTACGTCTATGACACGTTGGCCACGTAACGCTTCCACTAGTTTCGGTAGCAGCTGGTCATCGCTGTCACCATGGCCAAGCCGTCCGTAACGGCCCTTGCCCCAAGTGTACAGCTCCCCAGAGGTTGTGATGCAGGCGCTGTGTGAGCCACCGCAAGCAATGTCAACGATAGATTTGCCACGCAGGGCTTCTATGACTCGAGGGCGATCACATGAGCTGTAAAAATATAACGCATGGCATAAGAATAAGATCAATTGGAGAAGAACTGTGCTCAGCTCTGATTGACTGATTTACAGGTTACCCTGTAAATGCAGTTGAGTGAGACTGAAGACTGAAGACTGAAGACTGAAGACTGAAAGGACTTATGCGAGAGTGAGTCACGGAGGATGACTGAGGTACCGAACCGAGTTGTATTATTTATCGACCGACTGGGGGAAAGAAGGGGTTGAAGGATTATTTTTGGGAGGGGGGGGGGGCGGGAAATAACATGGATTTTAGAAGGACCGGAGGGGGATCGGTCGTCGCAACAGAGTACAAAGGGGGGAATACTGAAAACTGACTGCCAATGGGAGAGGATCATAAGAATACTACAGAGCCCTATGGGGGGATCAGGTACATTTTATTGAGACACATTTGAAGCATTTGCAAGGTCCCTCAAACTTGACGAGTCTCTGACACTCGATTTGAGCTGCCAAAGTTGTTGCTGGTAGCTTACCTCTAAGGTGCTGAAAGTCGAAACGTCGCCATCCTCATCGAAAGCGTCTATATCGTGGGGAAACGATTATACCTCACTAATGCATTCGCCGCGATGAATGACCGCAATTTTTTTTTTTTTTTAAATCAATAATGACTTCCGAATGTTTTTTCTAAGAGAAATACTCACTTCCGATTACCATGTCCAAGTTTCCCGTCGTCCCCTTCTCCCCAAGAGTACACGTCACCGTCTTGGGAAAGAGCCATAGCGTGTTTTCCCCCAGAATGCACAGAAACCTTCTTAATGACCACGTGCTGGAGCGATTCGATAAGTCGCACTGACGTTACCGTTTCTGTTCCACCGAGACCAAGACGCCCACCATGACCGTATCCTGTCGCATAGACCTATACGAATACAAACGATATCAAAATAAATACAGGCAGTTGCTCTGCCTCTTGACTTTGATGCAGCGGTTCTGACAGAACCGCCCAATTCTGCCAAACCCGCGCAATAACGCACAATAGCAAAAATTCTACAAAATCTGGCGGAAACTAAAAATCATTATGTAACATTTTTAACAGTACAGGCACTCCTTTTGATTATTTAAGATTACTAGCAAAATTTAAAACCGTCCTCAGATCATTTACTTCGATAATTTATTAAAAAAAAAGCACGTGGGAACAATCAGAGACAAAAACGAAGCACACATATAGAATACTCATCAAACCTTTCCCTCTGCTGTCACGGCAAACAGAGTCTGTTCACCTCCAACAATCTGCACAGGCCGGATAGCACTGAGTGCTTCACATGGTTGAGGGAACTTGACTTTGCCACCTTCAATACCACCCAGCTGTCCACGGTGGTTATGACCCCAACCGTAAATAGTTCCACTGCCGCCCCAGGTAACCGTCCAATCAGATGGTCGCCTGATTACAATAAAAATAAATCAAAGAGTAATTGGACAGAGGCGCAAACTTCTCAGAAAATTCTACAAGAAAAAAAAAAGAAAAAGAAAAAAGAAACCCTAAAATACAACGTTGAAACGAAGGTTCCTTTGTTTTCCGAGGAGAAGTAAATTTTTTCGACGAAATTGTCGAATTAAGAAAAACTCACTTGAGGGAATACCTCATGAATGTTGGCCCTAGTTCAGAATTTCAAGAGTCTAGGTTCTAGTTACGGGCGTAAACATGTGTCTAGGTTCTAATAACGTCCTAGTCACCTACGGGCCAGGAGCTGCTCAAACACTAGCGCTCATAATTCTGCCACGGCTGTCTAGCGCCTTCACGCCGGAATGTTACAACCCGACTAAACACCGAGATTGTCAAAGAAGACCTTAAATTGTCTTGAAGGTTTCACTCACTTGGATGGTTGTTTGGTTACTTGGTCCCATATTTTTTCGCCCGAAAAGCAGTTGAAGAGGTGAGAAAAAACGAAGGTACAAAACGGGCAGGAAAATCAGATTTGCATCCTCTCTATTCCCTCCCTTCCACCTTCCTTTGCAACTTTCTTACACAACGTCTACACAATGTCAGTATCTGAGCAACTGCACACCTTCCCCTCCCCTAACCCAACATTAGCACTAACTTTTTATCGGTTGACTGTCATTGGGTTAGAGGAGGGGGTAGGTGTACAGTTCATCAGATACTGACATTGATGCCTGGCATAGATGAATCACACTCACTGATTGAGCCACAAAAGCAACTGTTCGTCGTGTTCCTTTTTAAACACCTTATGATCATTGTACTCTACTATACAGTCCTGAGTTGTTTCCAGCACCATTTCTGTTATTTTCTCTCCCACTTCCGTCAAGAAGTCATACGGCAAGGGTGACCTTAATTCCAGTGAAGACGCCACCCGAGAGGCCATGCAAAAGCGTCGAAACCAGGCCCACTCGTGCCCATCGGCACAACATGGTAAAAAGTCTAGGGTAAGATCACATGCAAAGGCCACAAGAACCTACGATTGACCAAACAAGAAAGAAATAGAAGAAGAAATGAGTAAAAAGAAAAAAATTATAATGGCATGAAATACAGAATGAAAACAATAGAAAGAACGGGAAAGAAAAATAATTGAAAGCGTGTATTCCGTTTCAGTCTTCTCCCAGTGAGTTAATCCATCCATTTTTTTGAGCTAAGCGTTTTTTGTTTGATGTTCTCCTCCTTGAAATTGCATTTCATTCTATGAGAAGCTGGTCACTACTGGAGCTGTTTACAACTAACTGTACGTGACAAAACTCTTTTGACGCAAACCCATGCCAGAAATATTTCGTACCGAACATTTTAAGCAAAGCTTAGCACGCGCAGGAGAGAAGCCTGAAAGAGAAATCCAGGCTTCGACATGATTCGAACCCATGCCTCCCCATATTAGTTGGGCGCTACTAACAACTGAGCTGAGAAGCCACATGTTGGGAGCGAAGTCAAATTTAAGGAGCTCCTCTCTACTTTGGAGGAAACAGACACAACTTGTAATAAGGTAAATTTCATTAGACTTGCGGATTAAAAACGAAGTACAGTACAGATCGTCTCAGGTGTGCTGCAATTGAAGCATTTGCAAAAAAATGAAGCCTCAAAACGAAATTAATCCTTTACACCCTAACATCATTACGCATATTCTCCACACTGTTCTCATACATTTCTTAAGGTGTCACAAGGAGAATTTCTTTAACAATCAAGAGCTTCTTTAGTTGGTGATCATTTCCTTTATTCTCATGACCTTAACGTATGATTCAGATGTGATATTGTAGGGAGAAAGTTGATGCTAGTCTCTCTTAGAGACTACACCTGCAATGCAATACTCACTTTAAAGAAGTCGCTGTGAAAAAGGTGCTTTCCACCTCGAACTAGTGGTTCTTCGTATTCATATTGTCTTCTTAACGTGTCTGGAAGACCTCGCACAAGCTTTCCTAAAGCCGAGGAGGCGATGCCCTTAGGAAAAAAAAAAACAAAGATGAGGTTAGCTAAAACAAGTCTCGTCATAATAAACCAAATTACTAATTATCGTTTCACCCTCTGTATTCTCTTAAGTATGTAACTACAAAAGTTTCACTAATTCCTTTCCGATTGTCTGTAGTTCAAGTAAGCAGCTTTGAGGAAAACTGGCACTCTACCAGCTAAACTGGATGCAAACAAATGACCATCTATTCACTTGAAAACGCACGAAGAATTCACGCAAATCACTACATAAAACACCACCTAATTATAAAAGCTGTCCTAGTACAACTCTAGACCATTGATAAACCAATCTGGACAGAATCTGAAAACAAGTCTAGTGTTCATTGTTCAAAAAACAAAAGCAAAGCTTACCGCGCTCATTCGCTGGTTACCAGTGTTCTTCATTTGGACAATAGGTTGGTCGTACATCAGATTGTAACCAAACAGGGCAGGAACATCAATGACCGGACCTACTTCTGACATAAGAAGTTTTCTTAAGCGATGCAGAGCCCACGTTCTTTGACCAGCTGAGAGAGTGTTCAGTTGAGCGCATGCGGATAAAGATGCGGCTAGGCGAGGAATTTGAGCCTTTTCTCCTAGTGTTTCTAGTTTGAAGTCTGTAAATGGGTAAACAAGGACACAACTTTCAATGCCGCTTCCTAGGACAAAATATTAGAATTCCGTCCGTCTTTTTGTCTGTCCGCCTGTCTGTCTATCTGTCTGTCTGTCTTTCCATCTTTCTAGATGATTTAGTTTTAACCTGAGTTAAAATTGATGATGGATCACCTTAAAAATGTTTCTGATCTGAGTTTTCGCGCGTTAGCCCCTCGTCAGAGTGAAAGGGTTAACACTCGAATCGTCAGCTTAAAGTAATAGTTACGGCGGCCGATTTTCATAATCAACCCTGTTAATAAAACCAAATGATCTTGTTGTACTCTGTGGCAGCACCACAGTTTCTTTTAAAACCTACATTCTTCACTTCCATCTATCTGTCCGTTTGTCTGACTGACTGCCTGTTTCATTGTCAACAACGCGGCTAAATGTCTGCGCAAGTGCGAACTTTGGAGAGGCTACTAGGTGGTGGGCTTTAAAGCTGGCATAGGCAAGTTGTCTTCTAAACAACCAGACAGCCGAGTTAGTCGCGGTTTTTAAAAACCGTATAACGTATACGGGAAAGCTCAAAACAACAATAAATGAATCAGTAGGAGACCCACGATTAAATAAGCCTTGTGTACGAAAAGTCTCGATTTTTCCATTTCCTTACCTTTCTTTCCTTTAACAAATTTACATGAACGTTTCCATGATTTTTTTACGCATATGTTTGTCTGGCAGCTTTTGTTTCTAACGTTTTCCAATGAAATTTCAAGTGGGAAATTAGCGTGCGGCCGGTAAAATTGGACCCCCTTGCGCATGCCTTACGTTTGACCGCTGTGTTCTCTATGTCTGTCTCTCTACCTCGCTACTGTCTTACAAAACCAACTCTAACTGTTTATTCTTTCCTTACCCAGGAGACAGCGCACCAAGTCTATAGACGGTCTCGACTGTAGCGCTCTGTCTGATAACACGTCGCAAGGCGCCGCGGCCGGGGGAATAGGGTACACCGTAAACTTCCAGCCCCATCCATTCACTGAGCTGTCACTCATAAATTTCCAACGCAGTTCGTCACCACTCATGCGTAACTCGCTCGACCAATCGGACCACTCGCGTCCAGAACGGACCGAGACTACCCGACCAGTACTATCCATGATGGTAAGGGGATCATGCCTACCATATAACAAAAATAAATCATACTTGGTCATGCATACGTCAACTATTTAAAATAGTGCGTAAACATATTGCAATAAAAGACAAAAGGACCTAAACAATTTACAGTGGGTTTGTGATGCATAAAGGTTACCAACCTCTTTACACTCTCATGTCTATTTGGACTCAAACTGTTTTAGTGTGTGCACGTAAGGAAAATTAGAGGGACCTATGGCAAACTTCGACGGCGACGGTGATGAAGATGCGGCTGACTAAAAGATCTAACGAGCAGAACAGCACGTGCTCAGCACATGCGCTTTAAACTGTGTTCCTTTCTTAGCTGTACTCTGCAAAACAACAACGTGAAATCACCAGACTTTTGCATGGTCTGAGAACGGATACCCGACAGCGAAATATTTTAGTTTCTATTTGGAAATCAAAGCTCCTCAAATAGTTATGATAAAGTTGAGATTTGGCGCCTTAAGGGACGGTAAACACATCTAGCTATTCGCTTAAATTCTAATGAGAAGTATAAATTCATTCTTCAACTGCCGTGTTCCTCGAAGTTACCCTCCTGAATGCTCAAGGTCCCTTATTACGACGTACACACACTATGTCTCTCACACGCCAAACATCCCACGTGGCCTTTCACAAATTTGTTTAAGACGACTAACAATTTGCCTCAATCAATATATATCTCTTTGACGTCACTGCCAAACGAGTGAGAAAAACTGACCCAGTATCAGCAGTCATGCATTAACGCCAAAACCAACCTTCTCTCTGTGGAACACTGTTTGTCAAACTCCACCCTCAGCCCCTCCGCTCCTGGTATCTTGACCACTCCTGAGGTATTAGTATCATCAATATATGGATGACTACTCTCTTGTACCACCGGTTGGAAGCCGCTGTGGACACTGCTGTTATCCGTGGCAACATCCTCGAGTTCAGAGATGCATAATTCCAGAAGCATGGACGCAATCTAGACAGAAATACAATATGTCTCAGCTAAGATATGAGTTTGTTATTTTTTACATTCATCATTATTATTATCACTCTATAAGCATCACAATTAACATTGTCATTATAAATCAGTATCGTTTTATTAGCATCATAATAATCATAACCATCATAAATACAAACAAACAAACGGAAGTTTAGGCCCGTGTTCAAGACAAAAAGATCTCGTAACAGTTTTATCACTTTTAATGCCCTTTAAGCCTAAACTATTTCATTAGAATTTTCTATTTACCTGACGTATTTTATTTATAAACGTAACAGATACACACACAAGTTTTCATATGAACTTGCTCTAAGCCACTGATGGTTCTTTCTAAAGTTCTTACTGACATTATCTTTTATTATAATCGAGTAATTCAATTTTTTAATTGCAAAGCCAAAGCGATTATAAATCAACTATTTATCTTTATCTCTTATCTCCCAAATATCATTAACATCATCTTTACTGTTATCGACATTATTATTATCATTCAACGCATTTTTTAATGTTGAGCCTTACGCACTTTACAATTTTTATTCGGGGATTGTCGATCCTTTTATTTTCATTCATTAATAAAGTTGAGTTTTTTTGTCAGTAAAGGGCTATTGTGTTTATATGATAAGCAAAATAATATATGATCGCTTGTATATAAGAAATTTCTCTTCTCGTGTTCAACTCGACATCTCACTCGTTCGCTGCGCTCATTCGTGAGCTATCGAGTTAAACACTCGAACAGAAATTCTATATCTACGTATGCCCATGTATTATTCTCTATTTAAACAAATATCCACCTATGGAGAATTCATTTCAAAGAGATGAAATTCGGCTTCCACAAACATTTTGAGCGCGTGTTTTTGTTTTTACTGGCAACACTCACAATTATACAACATTACTTACAGTTTTCTAAACTTCTAGCCCTAAGCAACTACTTGCAAGACGCAACGTTTTCAAAATAAAATACTTTTTGACAAACTTGTGCAAACTAACTTTAGATTGTCAACGTCTAGAATATTTGTTACCAGCGTGTGAAGTGGATTCATCTACGCTGATGATCATCTACTTACTTCTGGTTTGGTTTCAGCCAACGCCCTCAGCACCCCTGACAACACTTCTTTGCCATTTTCACCGGCTCTATCTGCAACAGCAAGTTTCAATAGCTCCACAAGAAGCCGAGAGTCATCATGTCCCAGACTGGTAGTGAATTCACCAAACTCTTCGATAAAAGACGTCCGAGAAACACCTCCACTTACTACTTCAGGCAACGCAATGTCGTCGATAGACATTTCCGAAACAGAAGCTAGAGATACCGCTTCTTCATCGTCTGCTTCTACCGACGTGGGATCGCCCCGAATAAGAGAATGAGGATCCAAAAGGGCGCGTACCACTGCATCACGTGAGTAGATAATTTGGAGAGCAGTTAAGATGTGGCCTAACGCTTGCTGTCGTTCATAATTTGAATTGAGCGAGAGCACAATTTTCGCTAAAGAAGGTCTGTGCCTGTGCTCCCCGTACTCGTTAGTTTCGGCCTCTGTGGAATTACTCTGCTCCTGAGATTCTGGACCAATATTTGACGCCCCCAGTGGATCACGGGACGCGGGGAACATCACAGGTTCGTGCGCTACCGGTGCAGGGAAGTCCGACTCGGCCCAGGCCATGCTGTGCGAGGAGCCACAAGCTACACGAGTAATTTTGAATTCATCCAGACCTTGGACTAACTGTGGGCGGCGATTGACAGTGGTTGTGCCATTGCCCTGTTGGCCATGATCGTTGTCGCCCCAGGCGAAAACCTTCAGATCGGTGAAAAAGGAAATAACATCAAAAACAAACCATTCTCAAGGAAGACATTATACTAGATGCAAGCTCGAGGAAACAAGAATTCCAAACCACTCCTTGCCTACCTTGCCTTGTTCCGTCACAGCTAAGCAGTGTAACGCTCCTACAGCTACATCTACCACCTTATGACCTTTGAGTCCCTCCACAACCTGAGGCTTCCGAATATGAGAGTCATTACCATGCCCCAGGCGAAAATAGTCTCCTTTACCCCTGAAATACCGCAGATTAAGGTGTCAGTGACTATCTCTCTGCACACTCCTTTCATGATGTAGGGGATTCAACAAGTTTTAAGGTGAAAGCCATCTGTAGTTAATTTCGGGAAACAAAGACGGCAAATTTGCTGGACGTTCACAGCGAATTTGGCAAGTTGTTAGCTCTTACCTAAACCCGCAAGTCATAACAATTTAGCTTCAATATTAAGCATGATGGGGGCATCATTTCACACACGGCTTATATTACAGTACATTTTTGATCTTGGGTATCCAAATATCTACTGGATCCCGTGTGGTCAAGTGTTGCCTGCTATACGTCGGGGACTGAAGTTTCTAGTCAAAACTTATACCCACTCGGCAAGAAAGTGGTGTACGTATCTGTACAGCAGACGGCGTTATAAAGCGCATGTGTAAGACACGTAATATAGTTAATTTTTAGCCAAAGTTCAATAATCTTTTTTCCTCGTTTAAACCACGATATCGTGCGAGATGTACCCTTGATAACACAGAAAACTAGAATTTCAAATCACTGTTAGTTTTGCTAGGTAAATAGATGAGAAGTTTCGCTATCCTTACCAAGTCCACACTTGGCCCAGTTTTGTAAGAGCAAGAGAGAACTGGGCTCCACATAACACTTTACACACTCCCTGGCCTTTGAGCCTCTCCACCACATGAGGTACACTGCAACCCTCACTTCCGCCTCTCCCCAGCTTTCCGAAGTCTCCATCTCCCCACGACCAAACACAACCATCGTCTGTGAGTGCGAGTGTCTGAGCATCACGACTGCCACAGGCGACATCTATCGCATGAATACCGCTCAAGGCACGTACTTGTTTTGGTCTGAGTTGCGTCTGGTAGTCTCCATGCCCTAGCCGGCCGTATTCGCCCAGGCCCCAAGTGTAGAGCTCCCCAGTGGACAAGACTGCTGCACTGTGTGAGCTGCCGCAAGAGATTTCCTGAACAGACTTGGTCTTAAGGGTTTCAACCAGTTGTGGGCGGTCGAAGTTCCTAGATTATCCACACACATAACGGTTACATTAGGATCTACCATATAGATTTGCGCATCATAAGAAAACTTCAATGGTAATTAGTAGCTACTTCCAATTAAATACCTTTCAGGTGACGAGACATCAATGCAGGAAATTAGTTTAGGGATAAACTATTTCATGAGGGAAATGGGTTAAATACAGATGGCGAACTCTTTAATTTGTCCTCCACAATAGGACGCTAACTTAAATTGTCATAAATCTGAGACAAAGTTGTTAAAAAAATCTGATTCCCTAGGAAGAAGCAAAACAAACGATTTGGATCACTTATTAATGAGCCACAGTTAAATGTATGCAATATAAGATGTATGCAAGGTTAATCAATAGATGTAAAAAAAAAAAATTATAAGTCTATCAAAGATTAGGTATCTCAAGTGGGATGTATCAACGATTTAGCAAGTCTTTTAGGTTTTTGTTTTTTAAGTAAAAGAAAGAAGCAATTGAACACAAAGCTTTCAGGACTTACTAAACTGAACAGTAGATAGGCCAATCAAGAAGATTTAGTGCCCCGCGACTTACATTTTGTTTCCATGTCCAAGTTTCCCATCCTCTCCCTCCCCCCACGAGAACAGCTTGCCCTCAATAGTGATGGCCATAGCATGACGACCTCCAGAATGCACCGACACCTTCTTTACTACAAACTGGCTAAGGCCTTCAATCTGTCGAGGCACTAGCACGTTGCCAGTGATGGGGCCTAGCCCTAGGCGGCCGTTGGTAGATTCACCGCACGCAAACACTTTTCCTTCTAGAGTGACAGCGAATAAACTCTTTGAGCCTCCGCTGACTTGTTGAACTTTGAGAGCAGACATCACATCAGAGAGCATTGGTATTTTTATCTAAAGATAGAAAAAGCCCTTTAGCAAAGCCAACCTGTATTGGCAGCTCTGACTAAATACGCGTTAAAAGCAGCCAGGGTGTAATTTGGACCACACATCACAGTACAACACTGACTCACAACATCTGTCGACGCAATATATTATTTACTCTTCCCAAATAACCAAGTGTCACGTCCTCTCGCAACTTGCTATAATTGTCTTTACAAATTTATAGTGAATTTGAAGGTTCTTTATCTGGCAATATTGTTTAATCTCGTTAAACGTGTACTGTATAAATAATGAAATTGTGAAGAGAATTAAAAGGTTCTTCACTTCTGGGATATGAAAGCGTTCATCCCTACAATATAGCCAAAACAAAAATCATGGTTCTTTCCAAATAATGTAAAATTCCATGGTCAATCCGAAACTGCGGTCAGCATTTACCTTGGAACCTTTCAGCCCTCCCAGCTGATCTTTATCATTAAGACCCCACACGAACATATTGACTTGCCCCTCAGGGGTAGACTCAGTTGTTGTCGGCTTCCTTCTGAGCGCTCTCCTCTGTCTGGCTGCTTCGTCCTCTTCGTCTAACGCCAGGAATGAAAAGCTTGCCGCTATGTCGTCTTCGTCTGTCTTAGTGCGAGCCGTCAGGCTAATGCCGTGAATCTTGCAATCGATACCGCTACTCTTACATTGCCGAATTCCGATTTCCAGAAAACGATATTCCTATAGAGAGAAACAATCAAATAAATTGAGGGAAGACGACAGCGATACTGATAATGATAACTATAATGGCAATGGAAATTATAAACGATAACGACACAGATAACAATCACGATCAAGATAACGATCAAGATCGTATTGGTGACAGAGTAACAGTAATGATGATGCAAACTAAGTAGAAACTCACGTGTAACATAACGTTACCATTACTAAGCTAAAGAAAACAGCGGAACAAGCATGAAAAAAGCTACACTTCAGGCAAAACAAGAGAAATCAAAATCGGACACATGAGAACAAAATAACGGCCTTCACTAAGGAAGGCGTTAACTGCGTACGATAGACATGGAACTAGAAGCGTCTGATAAGATCACTGACAAATCTAGAGAGAAAAATGCATAACATACCCTCTGCACATCTTCCAGCAAAGTACACAGTGACTCAGTAGCACTGATGTGTACAGTCTTAACTTCTTTCAAAGACTGGATACTGTCGCCAGCTGATACTACCACCACGGACGGCATGTAACTACTGTCTGAAGGATCCACTGTCATGGTCAACCGCTGGATTAGCAGATCGGGATACAACTCGATTCTTATCCAGTGCTGCAAAGGGAAAAAAAAGGGAACAATGACGAGACAAGAAAATATAGAAATCTTTCATATACTTCTCTTCCTTTTCTTTCTTTTCCTTCTTCTTCTTCTTCTTTTTTTTTTTTTTTTTTAATCAACATTGTACACAGGCTAAGTGGCCTACACCGCCGAAACTTATTCCAGATGTCACAGCTAAGGAAACTTAAGGTTAATGCTCCCTCTTTTGAATGGGACCCTAGTCCTTCACAGGAAACTTGCTGATACTTCTTTGTTAAGCGAGAAGCTTATAGAAAAAAGCACCTTGGCCAGCATATAAAATAACCCAGAGTAGAATTTGATCGTCGAGTCCAGCACGGATTTATACTCTGGACTTCTGCTTCGTAAGATCCTCACCTTCCCTTGTGACCCCGCTGATTGCCAATAAGATTCTGTACCGTCAATCAGTCGTCCAGCGTGAGTCTCCCGTGACGACACCATGAGACTCTTTACCACTCGGTCCCATTCTTTCACTATGTGCTCCGGTCCTCCCAAGCCACCAGACATAATTTTCTTTTTCCCTCGGCCAGACTTCCCAGCATTCACCGGGATGCTGCTTGGTTCTTCAAAACGGTGGAAGGAATGCCGGTGGCTGCGGCGAAGTCTGAAGCATGTCTCGCAGTAGTTGAAGTTTGGACAGGTCTTACATTTAAAGCGGGAACCTTCAATGGGTTCCATGTGACAGCCATCGCACCTAATACGTAGAATAAGATCGTGCAGTTTAAATTTAAGAAAACGTGTACTGTTTAATAAATGGATTTCATGTTGCCGTGGGTCTGTATATTAAAAGATCACAGATGATGTAAAAAAAAAAACAAAACAAAAATAAAAACGTGGCATACGAGGCGCAGCCGAGTGTATCACTGATGTTCTTACGAGAAACGTATTTACCCTTTACACTATAAAATTTGGAGAGACGGACAGGGAGTATTTGTTGAACAATCAAGAGCTTCTTTAGTTGGTGATCATTTCCCTTATTCTCCCAACAATTTACGCCTGAATCAGACATCACGGTCACGAGAATTACGGGAGTGATAACCAACTAAAGAAGCTCTTAATTGTCAAACAAGTTCTTCTCGTCCGCACCTTAGGAAATGTAAAGAGAATAGTATGAAGGATATGCATACTGTAAAGTGTTAATGATGGTGTTAATCCAACTTCTCACCTGGTGCGAGGATGAGTAGCGGGTACCACCTCCATCTCAGAAATCAGTCCAGTCCAGTTGGTTTGTTGAGGAAAGTCCACCTTGACATCTTTCCCATTAGGACTGATTGACACCACCGTGCCTACACTTCCGTGGTTAACGGATCCCCATTTGTACTTGGGTGTGGTTACGGAAGGTTTCACACGTACCCTATCACCCACTTTGATCATTTCACGTCGGGCTGAAAATAACAAAATTAGGGAAAAGGAAAAATCGAGACTATTCGAACACAACGCGTATTCAAGAGCGGGTATCCTGTTGATTTGAGCTTTATCAAAACGGATATACGCTGCTAACATACCGCGACTTACTAGCTCTTGTGGTTGTTCGTAACTTGTACGAGACAACATGGCAATAACAGCCTGAAGGCAAGCCATCAAGTCATTACAACTGTGCACGTGCGCACACGTTTGACCGTTGTGTTGCACGCAACCGGCCAAAATCGATTCCCTTACGAATGTCCGACGTTTTACCACTGTGTTCCACAAAGCCACCGTGAAGCGAGTCAATGAAGAGTCACTCACATTTCTGCATCAGTTAACTGGCTTTAAAATCAAACTGTTATCTTACCAAAGGAGTCGTGACCTAACAGCTCGACGTGCACGTATCTGACCCAGTAGGTACCATTCTTTTTCTGCCAGTCTCCTTGTACGTTCAGATCGTGGAGCCCATCACGATCAAGCTGAAAGAGTTACCAATCGCACAGATCAGCGTATCAGCAGACAGAACAGATATGGGTGCATGAATGAACAGAACGGGCGAGCACAAGCACAGAGAGAAAAACAAAAACAGGCACAAAAACAAAACAGCAGACTCACCTTTATTACCCGACCAATGTCGCCTTCGTGGACTTCCTCGTATGTCCTGCAGCATCGAACCATCATACCGACCTGGATGTTATCACGCACATACCTTGCGTAATCATCGTTGGCGGTGAAATCGCTGCGTCTCTTGAAATCAGTGGGTACAGCAATGGCCTCCCCGTCACTTAAGCTACTTTCCGAATCGGAGCTGCTTACAACATCGCTGTCGTCATCATCCACGTCAGAGGATTCCTCACTAGATGACAACTCGGGTGGCACAACACGCCGTGTTTCATCTTCTGGCACCTGTTTGGGAGATATCTCATGGCTTAGAAAAACGACGAAATATGTTCAACACTGCCATAGTGCTTACCCGTTCACATTCTAACTTCAGTACGCAAGTTTTTCGTACTGTTCGCTATACATCCCCTATGGTACTTACAAGAAAAAATTGAAGGACACTCTAAAGCTGCTTTAGTTTGCTGTCATTTGCCTTGTTCACATGACCTTCATGTTTGATTCAGGGGTGACATTGTTAAGAGAAATAAGATATTTATCACTATCAGGGGTAAAAGGATTCACGTTGCAGGTAACCTTCTTTGTAACTACCAAAATAAGAAAACGAAAAACAATCGAATCAGCAAACCCAAACACAAACCAGGCGGTAGCCTACATGCAAATGAACAAAATAATAACAAAGAAAAAGCATTCCGAATACTTCGAATTAGCACCTCGCAACTTTCTAATAAACTACCAGAAAATAGGAATTTACCTTAGTGCTTCCACTTAAAATTTCTGGCTGTAACACAAACCGGTGAAGACTTGTGAACACTAGATTGAGGGTTAATATCCCGTAGATAAATTTCTTGGTTTAAATTCGCGTTGTAGTTGGCAGAGGGAAACTCTTAAGCTGTACCAACCTCGATATCAGGATGATCAATCAGCCAAGCGACAACCAATTCGGCCCGAGGTTCCTCTTCGTCCCCAAGCTCCTTCAACGCATACTCTGTCCTACTTCTGGGAAATCCCATTTCCACCAGCTGCTGGACTAACGGTGGAGCTGGCATGGGGGGTGGGGTCGGTCTTCGTGTGCGAGTCTTCTTTTTTTGTAGATGTTTTGTCTTTGGAGGTTTCTTAGAGGTGGTCTGGGGCTGAGGCTTTTCCTGCTCGGGCCGATCCACACGTTCTACCGTGGCCGGAGTAGGAGGCTCAGCTGGACGGCTGGCCTCGTTAGTGAGGAATTGACAAGCAGCGAGAGCAGCGGCCTGGAAACCAAGGAAACAAAATAAATTTGTAAATTTGGTACTTTGTTCCCCTTCCCTCTCATCCTTAATCCCCAGGTTTGACCACACACCGTTTCAAATTTCTCTCGGAAGGTCAAAGGCCTTCAAATAGCAATTAGCGACAATACATAAAAATGATAAGGATGGGGGAGGGGGGGGGGGAATAACAAAGAACCAAATTCACAAATTTCCTACCCCTCCCTGCATCAAAATAAACTCTATTAAAAATCTCTTTTTTCCAGTCTAAATTAATTCACCTTCCTTCATCGCTATAGATACGCGTCATCTGGCAGCTGGTGGTCATATTGGTGATAGTTGCAGCCGATCACATCCACACAGATTAAAAACCAAAGTGTAGTCATTTGTTGAATACGGTGCAATTTTTTACGGCTTGTCTAAAATCTTTAGGAATTCTTGGGGCTTCATATCAACATTGCGTGTGACAACAAGGTTTCAATAATGTTTTCTATAGGCGGCTGACGATGGTGTTCTAAGCAGCTGTACCCGAAAAGGGGATGTAAGGCCAAACTCAAACACAAGAGTCTGCTCACAGGCTAACAGAGGGCGATAGGAGGTCTTAAAGGTGGGAGTAGACCGCCGGTAAAAGGCTATTATAGAAACACTTCGGCAAACACGAAAGACTAGCAACTAAGCTGTACCCACCTCTAACTCTTCCCGGTTGAAGAGTGCCTTCACAGGTGATGGTTTAATGGCTGAACACATCAAATGCTGTAAGGAGAAGGTGCTGCTGCTGTCAGAGCTGTTTGCTTGATGGTTCAGAATCTGTCTCAGGTTATCTTGCCTACTGCACAACACACGAGCAGCTTTGAGGAGTCCCAAGGTTATCTGCTGTTGTCTCAGCAGCGATGTGTCCACTTCTTGGCCTAAACAAGAATAAACCTTAGAGCTACAATCTTGAAGGTATAAGGTTCTCATTAAAACGCTAGAGTAAGGAGACTTTTGAGGCAAACCAGCCACCGGGAATCAGTGTTCTCCTTTTCAGGCAGTAACCAGTAACATTTACCGCCTGTAGTACCTCTTAATACCGTTTAAAATTGCTTGGAATTCTTGAAAATTCAACAAGTAAAAGGATTGCTTTACCGGTTTGAAAATGTATTTTACCTGTCATGCTTAAAATAAGAGAGAACACTGCCGGGAATTATTACATCCTTTTAACAGGAAAGTTTTCAAAACAAAACGAAACGTGTTACTTAAAATCCATCCAAGAAGTCGACGACTGAAAGAAACAAGTGTTCACACACTGAGGTATTTCCACAAACCGAAACAACTTGTTATTGAAGCAATGCAAGAAAATCAAACCTCCTGTTCTAGGGGAGAGCAGTGGTCTAACCGGAGGGCATCTTGCTGTCCCCACCCCCTCCTCTCCTGGCACTGCTGGTAGCTGAAAGTTTTCTTGGTCCGCCGTACCAGTGGTCTTTTCACCAGTGCCCGCCAGTCGCACAAGTGATGCCCAGATTCCCAGAGCTGCATCCGACATTGGAAGATTATCCACGGAAAATGGAACGACTGGCACCTAAAGAGTTTACAATCGCTACTGGTCAAATAACAAGTCGTATCAACATTATCATAATAAACAACAACAACAACAACAACAACAGCATCGACGCGGAAAGACAAAAAGTGTTTAGCAACACGAACAAATAAAGTTCTGAATTCGGGCTAAATAAGGATACCAAATTCGAGAGCGACACTTTTGTTAAGTTCCTTTTCTATGTGAAAAAGAAGAATGATGTGAAAGCATGTAGGTTATTACCGGTTTGACTTGTGATATCGAGCATATTCTTGCTTTCTGTTGGCCTTCACATTGTAGGGTCACTTTTCCATTCGGAGCGATCTTACACACTGTTCCCAGTCCCCACTCCTTGTGATGCACCAGTCCTCCCAATCTAGGCCTGTTATCCACGCCACCAATAACTGCTAACACGGCCATTACCGGGCCCTGGTCAATAGACTGTGGTGAAGAGCCCTCTAGTTCCTGAGTGAATGGACAAGATACTTCATTATAACAAAAGATGGAAACGGTAAGTGCAGCAATGTAAGCCTTACAGCTGGAACAATTCCAACCCAGCTTTTGTTTCGACGGACTGACTACTGAGAGAGAGACCGACTTATTGAAAAATTGTCTGATTAATCAACCGACTGACCGAGAGAAAGACCGACGTACTGACTGTCTGACCTACCAAACGTATTACCAACTAATTGACTGTCTGACTGAGTAAGAGACTAACTGACTGATCGAAGATCTTACCGACTGATTGACAGACAAATTGATTAACTTCTGGCTGACTGACCGTGCAACAGACCGAAGAAGCGATAGCTCACAGACTGGCTGTCTGTCTGACTGACTGACTGATCCACCGTCAATCTAACTGCCAAAAGGACCCACCTGCGTCTCTCCATCTTCTTGAACTGGCTCAGCCAACGTTACCATAGTAACAATACTCTTCAATTGAGCGCTTATGAACTCATTAACAAGTGGATTCCAGGCCTCAAGAGTATGAAGCTTCCGTAGGAGGGCGAGTAACTCCTCTGCAACAGTGCTGCTGTAAGTGGCCGACACTGAGGCTGGGATTCTTGGCTTGCGTCTACTTCGACGACTTTTTTCTCCTTCAGGTCAAAAACAATTAGAAGAACTGTGTCACGTTTGCTCTAACCTAAGACCAAAGGTAAATTTTCCATGGTACGCTTTTATTCTCAGTACCTAGAGAAAAAATCACTTTCACCTATACTTTGGACATAAGTGCTTTATTTAGTCTCAAGAGATGTCTGTGCATAAAAAATGACGAGACTCTCTTAGTAATGTGCCCTCCCAAAATTGAAGTATTCTCTCAAACCACAGGCATTTATGTGGAAATCATTTATAATCATAGAGTTCAAACCCTTAAGGTTAAAATAGCCTTGAAAAGATGTAGGTAGACCAAGTCAGGATTGAAAAAAAGAAAAAAAAAAAGGAAAAAAAGAGAAAGAGAAAGAAAGGAAGTATGATAAGTAGAATGATACAGTTAAGACAATTGAAAGAAATTCAAGTACGGATACTCTGAATATTCCTCCGCCCATAAATGAAACGTTTCTAATACCAGTTGGTGGTTGGACCGGGAGGCTTCCATGGCAAGTCATCAATACTTTTCCAAGTAGAGCGAAAAGTCTAGCCACCACTTCTGACATTCTGCACGATGCTTTAGTCACATCCCACGAGGGTAAAACAGCTCTTAACAAACGCAAAGCCAAGATCTACCGTAACAGGAATGAAGTAAACATCAAAAACGACACTTAACTAAATTCTGAAACCATAGCTTAAGATGGTATTAGCTTCAAAATGAGGAATTAGGTCTCTGTTCTCGAAATGATGATACATAAATCGTGCTTGTACACAAATCTTACTTTCGAATATTTCCACAATATACTTGTGGCTGTCCTGTTTTTCACACATGACAACCCTTTTTTTTTTTAGTCTCCTACGGTTACTTAGGGCAAGTGATACACTCCTTATGCTGAACCAAAAATCTAAATCCAAGTTACAAAATAAGTTATTGATGTTGCTGTTGCTCAGTAGCTACACCACCTTAAAAATCACCAGCGAGTCACATATGAAAATTCGCATTAACCGCATTAGAGTTGAAATAAAGTGTATCCCAGATATCTGGGGGTCGCGTTCCCTGTGCATAACCCAATTAGCCCGTGAAAATTGACTTAAAAGCGTATCAAACCGCTTTCATGAAGACATTACCTGACGGGGCAGAGGGGCGGCAGACACATTAGAAGGAGGTAAGTCTCCATCAGGCAGCGATCCCTTCACCACCCTGAGGAGAAGAGACACCCACTGGGGGGTACTGAGGGAACAGCACATGACAGGTGATACTGCAATACCCCGTATAAAACCAAGCTTGGCCCAATCTCTATGTTGCTGTGCAACCAAAATATCATCACTTTGACCTTTACGCGGGAAAAGTTTAAAAAATGAGATGTCAGTATACTTCATCAACAATTACTTAGTTAAACTCGGGAAGCCAAATACGATTCTATCAAGCTTCCCTTTGAATACTACTCAAGAAAATGTTCGAGTTGACATTTGAACAAATGAAATGGAGGAAAATGTACTAAACAATTCAATCAAAAGTAGGAAATGTTTCGCTAATTTTAGTTTAGCCGTCAGCCTTAACCTAACTAAACACAGTGTATAAGTCGCAAAAACTACCATGAAAAGCCTTACATTGCATTTAATACATCCAGTAAAAGCAAACAACTCGTCTATCTGAATCCCATTGAAGGTTCTTACCACTTGTTGATGTGCCTACGCTTGTGCCTGCATCAAGGAGATTATGCAGAAGACTGCTGACTGTTCTGACACTCTCGACCTGTAAGCTGTTGGCATGGAGACCACAGCCTATTGCTAGGGCTTGTAATAAACAAACGCAAGAGTGGCGAATTAAAGCAGTAGGATGGGTGGACTGGATTTCTGTCTTCTCTTTCTTTGAAGCATCTGAAACGACGACAACAACAACACAATTGGCAACACGAGTACCAAAACGTTCTGCAACTCAAATTAAAACTTCCCGACGCCGATTTTACAGTTTGCCTATCTGTCCGTCTGTATGTCTAAAGGGGGAAGGTTTCTAAAGCAACTGTGGTGCTACGTCAGTAGGGCATAAAAAGATAAATTGGTTTAAGTTTAATTAACTGAGTTGATAACGTTAACTGGCCACAGTAAATATTTTGTAGAGCTAAAGTTTCTTTAGCCCTTCGTAATTCGCTCTAACGAAAGGCTAACGCTTGAAAAAAAAGTCAGCTTTAGAAATTCTTTACGGCGTCTGTCTACTTGTCTGTCTGTCTGGGTATAGAGGTCTAAGCCAGCCTACCCGCTTGACATTCCGTCCGTCTGTCCGTCCGTCCGACGGCCTGTTTACCTGCCTACGTGCCTGTTTTCTCGCTCGCTTGCTTGCCTGTTTGCTTTTTATATCATCTTGAGGAAATAGTTCACGATGCATTCTATTTACCTTTAATTTCCTCTTCCTCTTCTTCACTGCTCTCTGGGGCAGGAGGGGGCCCCGCTAGCTTCAAGTCAAACTTTCCTTCTTTGCCCATTCGGTAGGAATTGGTACTACCGGTGTCCCATTGAATGCGCACCCAGCCATCCTCTCCCAGCTCTCCTATAACACGGCCCTCGCTTGGCGGAGGTCCATCCTAATGAAAACATGTGTAAGTTGCTTTGCTTACTCAAAAATAACAGCTCTTAAGTAACAAAAATTTGCAGAGGATACACAAACAAAAACCCAACCTGATCACCCCACTTCCAATCTGGGCCTCTCACCACCCTTGTTCCTATCTTCATTCTCTTCGCCATATCCGGTCCTGTCATTGGTATGATGGGGGCCTTCTTTGCTGCCTTCGCCTCATCAATGATAGCAGCCAGACTGGCGTCCTCTTCTCCGGTAGCTTCACAAGGCCCTGCTAAGCGCATAATGGTTTGCGCCAGACCAACAGCACCTGAGTTCAATATCAGACTCATGTCACTCGCGTTGTGTTCTGCGGTCAGGATACCCAAGGTTGCCAGAAGAAACCGTGCTACAGGCAAAGCACCTAAAGACAGACCACCGTGAAAATCGTCTGGGGTAGTGTTAGGACTTGCTTCAGCTTTCTTAAAGGTGTCATTGGCATAGATGATCGCTTCCCGCAAAGTTTTGATGGCCCAACTGTTAATTCTACGGAAAGCTGTTTCTAAAATAACGCGATCATATGGCTGGATGAGACCGACATCAGCTAGGCAGTGAGGAACGGAATTGCTGCAAGATAGTAACAACACGTGGACGCGCATACTATAATGAAGTCTTATTGTAGGAAAGTTTTAGTATAGGGCGAGAAGGGGAGAGAATTATCTAAACGTCACGCATAAGTTCGAGACTCGCTAAGACAAAAGTCCAAACAATGTTTAGCTAGCTCCCTTACGTACAACTATATATATCAACATAAACCCATTTTCTGTCAGACATTGATGATGATATCTTCTGTGGGAAGGAAAGTCTGACTTTTTTTGCAGGGACATTACGGGTTTCAAAAGAAATAGAACTGTGTTCTTCTAACATTACGTTTCAAACTGGCAAAAACGTCATACCTTCAGCTATAGCTTAGCTAATCTATACTTACTGCGCTTGCGTGTGAGTGGACAGGAGACCTTGCCATCCGCACAAGATTGAGTATCGAACAGAAGGGATGAAATATTCTTTGGATACAAGAGACAGCAGTGTTTCTGCTCCTTCTAATCTGCGCTGGCCCCTCTCCATCTGTGAATGTGACAACAAATCGTCATTACAGTTTTAACACCCTCTTCAGCAAAGGCCAAAATAATCATGATGTAAAATCCCATTACATCTACGAAGGTCCCTATGAAGCCATTACAAAGACAATTATTCTACTGTCTCTGCCCACCCTAAGTGGCCAACAAGGAAAGATCTCGTTGAAACGCAATAAGTTAACGTCGTTAGTTATTGAAGTGCACGTAAGAGGTTACTTTCAAACACGTTTATAATCACTTCGGGGCTTTGAGCAACATTTGGCGCTATTGAAGAACATAGGCGGAAATTTAAAGCCTCCCTCATCTGTTCTCCGAACAATCTGATGCTTATAAAGCAACTCACTACAACACTTATAGCTGACAATGACAAACCTGTCTATGAAGACATTTGCGCAGCTTCTCCACATCTATTGGCTCATCGTGAAGAATAAACTCCTTTATGCGGTTCATCAACAAAGTCTCCGTAGACGAACCTATCATTCGCTCACGGAGCCACTTTACCTTGCGCGCACTGGTCAACGACGTATTGAGGGCGGTGTGGTCAATCTGCGTGAAACCAATGAACACAAAGACGTCAACAACATCTACTGTACCTCAGGTTGAAAAATGTAAACTGATGAATGTTATTAGCAGTTCTATTGGACCACAACGAATTTATTGCATGATACGGAAGAAGCCATTCTTATCTATTCAAAAAGATCTTCAACAAAAAATTATCGTCCTTAATTGTTTCTCTGGGAACTCAAACAAATACGCTACAGCGATAAAATACATGCTCTATCCTCATCTTGAGGCTCTCTCGACACAATAATGAGGCGAGAGACAACACCTTGCAAGTGTCCTCTTTGATTTATTACAAGGACAAATGAGCCGCTGTGAAACTATCTCCACATACTTTCTGTTTTGCCTTCTGTTCCAAATTCTCTTTCTCTTTCAAAGCTTTTTCTTCAGAATGATCCTCATCTGAACGGACAAAATCTCCTCCTTCGCTCACGACAGGTTCATCTTTTCTCTCAGACGTCTTTTCTTTAATCATTTGTTGCACAATCCTAGCCCACCTAGGCCGAGTGCTCCGTATCCTGAGACGAGAAAGTGTGGACACCTCACTGGACATGGCAGGGTGTAGATCAGTGAAAATGAACTGGCATCTCTCCAGGGCTGGGGAGCAGACTTCCTCATAAGAGCGAGATGATTCTTGTCTTGCCTTGAAGAAAGTTGGAACAATTACGAGACTATGACTATGAAGCCACTAGAACAGCAAATTAATATTAATAGTTTTAACATGCGACCCCTCCCCTCCCCCCCCCCCCAAACAAAACAAAACAAAACAAAACAAAACAAAACAAAACAAAACAAAACAAAACAAAATCTACTGCAAGTAAACGACGATAGTGATAATGGTGGTTTAAAGTTGGAAACGACGCTCACGGTTTTCACTGTACGCTCATAAACGTCTCAAAAGACCCTGTGAAACAGCAAAGTGGTGAAGCTTACCCTAACAAGGGCGCACTTGGTCTGATACACAATTTTAAGGACTTCAGCGACAGGTCTTGGCACCGTAACAACAGGTGAGTGTGTAGATGGGCTCTGTGGAGGACCAGAGGCTATGTCTTGACCTGATGATGAGTGAGGTGAGGGTGGAGAGGAACTCTCACCCTCTATGATGCTTAAAGCTGCATTACCTGGCAAAACAAAGCACAAAATTGTGTGAAATTTGACGACCTAGGTTTGATGCCCAAAGGAAATGTCTTCTGGATCATTCAGCGTGCACTACGCCAGGCGCATATCCCTTTTGCGTCCTTTGCTTGGTCGTTGGCACAAGAAAACGTTTTACAAAAAAAAGAAAAACAAAAAAACAACAACAAAAAAAAGGGTAAAAATATAAATAATAATAAAATATAAATAATAATAAAATATAAATAATAATAAAAAATAAAGCAACTACAACGACGATTTCCCCCTCCCATCTGCTCCACCAACTGTGATAAAGCAGTAAGTGTCTAATTCTCCGTTCGTCAACCCTTCTGATACTCCATTTCCCCGTGTTATCATTTGCCCGCTAGCTCTTCGTTTTGTTCGTTCCTTCTAAGTCAGGTCATTTCTTCATCTCCACGTTCGATTACTGATTTACTCGAGCGTTTGTATTAACTTGCTGAATGATACGTTGACCCAACTTCATGAAAACTTACCAAGCTCTTGGTGTTTTAAGAGGCAAGCCATCAACATTCTTCCCACTTTCTCTACCGGGTGATCAGCTGGGAATTCAACTGGCAATATAAAACGCTTCTGCTTACAAAACCGTTCAACGGCAGCAAGGAATTTCAAAGCTGTTCCATCTTCTAACTTGCTGGAAGTGAGAGACTGCAGGAAAGGTTTGGCCGGATCACTATTTGATATTTGACGCGTAAAAGGTTCCTGCTTGTCTTCTGAAGACTCCTTTTCTTTCCTGGAAGAAAAAGGCGGATTAACTTAAAATAACTCATCTTTTTAGGAGTTCTTCCTCTGCTCACAGCCTCAGAGCAAACTAATTTCAGCGGAGGTGGATTAGTTGTTGATCAATTGAGCTTGTTTCATCTTAATAAATTGGATTTCTACTTCCCATCAGACACGTTGTTATTTCACTTTTTGATTCAAGTATTCCAAATCGACAGACAAAACTTAGGACTGGAACCTGCACGAAGTTTGTCAGTTCTTTTAAAAACGTATAGTTTATTTCTCAGAATTTTGAACCCCAAGTATCACGCAAGATAGAGAATGAATTAGATTGCGACAATAATCCACTGAAGAACTAAGACTGTTGTCGAAAATTTACCTTCCAACATTGCCACCTAGTTCAGCTGACGCCGCCATTCCACCCGAGAAGAAATCAGAGGCCAGCCATCTCTCATTTTCCTCTTCTACTGCACTAACAGGAGTGCTGTGTGCCAGATGACAGGCGTAAAGACCCAGTAAGAGACCCAACGTACGCTCACAGTCAATCAAAGGAGACGACACAGACAACGCACTGTCCAGCGCTAGCTCTTGATCAGGCTGCAACAGAGATGAGAACACAGTATCATATCCATTTTTATCTTTGGCTAGGTAGAAATAACAAAACCATGCTCGTTTGAGACGCGTTTATTAGTTCATTCTCCAACTATTTGTTGTATCTGTGGTTAAGTGCTTTTTAGGACTTGGTCCTCATTTGTTGATCGGTTTGCACAGCTTCGACCAGTTTACCTGTCCTTCTATTTGGTGTCCTGGAGACCCGGGACTTCAAGAGAGAAAATTTGTTTTTCTGCAGAACAATAGCTCCGCATGTGTGTTTGATCGCTCTATGCAAAACAGCCACGTGAAATCACCAACTTTTGCGTGGTCTGAAAACAGGAACCCCGATAGCGAAAAAGAGCACGTTTCTACTTCGACCTCAATACAACATTCATATGGTAAACAAAAACTTTGAATTATATATAAGCGGTTAATTACCTCCACAAAAATACCAACAAAGAATGCTTGCATCATTTCCCTTGCCTCGACAGAATGTTTAGTCTCCTCAAAAATTTGAGTTGCATCAGCAGCTGGATACAAAATTGATTATAAAGTCATATTAATCACCATTATCAAGCGAAGTCAGACCTACATGGTTTGACTGCTTAGCCGAAATAGCAAGAATTAAGGAACTAGCTTATAGATATGGGGGAACACTACCGCTCTAGGGCTGTTGTTGTGCTTCCTTAGAATAAATAGTTCTCAATAGTTTCGAGTCGAGACTGTAAACTTAATTTTAAGCGTTATTGTACCTCCCAACCTCGTCTGGCTCATGGGCTAGTCTCAATGGCAAATGCAAAACTCTCTCTAGCCTTTTTTTCCTTCAAAAATTTAATCTAATGAAATAATAGTTGTTCACTCGCCATAAACACACTATAATTGAAGGCTCTCTCAAAGACTCTTCTATAGGATTATCACCGTACAGTTCCTAACCTGCATAAGATTGCAGCAGTTCTTTCCCGCAGGGTGCCTAAAACGGTAACACACTGTCATATATAAACTCACAAAACGTAATAACAGAATGAACAGAACCTGACACCACACAACACGCAGTCTTCGGTGACCAGTTTGAGAGAAAAGAGCCTTTCTCTGCTTATTTACGTGAATGCACAGAAAGATAAAATCTACGAGCAAACTCAAACATACGTGCTACATGTATGTCGTCAACCTACTACAAACCCGACCTGCTATTACACGTGAAACTGTGGCTTCGTAAGTCAAACAAACATACCTGATCCTTAAAATCTTGAAGATCATAAACTTTGCCATGAATAACAACCCAAAGTCCGCCATCTTTGTTATGATTGTCTAAATCTTCCGGCCTAATAAAAGTGACATCACCATCAGCTTTCCGCCGAGCTGGAGTGGGACTGCCGATCCCACCCGGCCAGGCTAGGTCCTCCTCGTCCTCTTTCTGTACACCGGGAGCGAGCCGGTTAAACTTGTCCAACAAGTCCAACAGACCACCCACCAGTGGTACAGTTCTGGACGAGTCCATGACACTTGGCATGCAAGTTTGTAGAAGAACCATCGACGTCAAAAATTCAGGCAGTAAAACTCCTGTCATCTCTCGTTGCAATATTTGGGAAGAGACTACGAAATGGCGTGGGCCATTGGATGCCAGGGATGAGGCTACTGGAAGGATTTCACCAGCATGGGAGCAAAGCAAGGAAGCATACTTGTGAAGAAGCAATGCAGCACCTTGTTGCTTAGTACTGAGGTCTCTCTCCTCACCTGCAAGAAAGTAGTTTGAAATTAGTCAACTGGAGTATTGTTATCAATCAAAGAATTAGAAAGAATCCAGAACATAGGAAGGGCATATCATTTCCATGTATGAATCATACAAACTTTATCATAGTAAAGATAACGAGGCCGGGAGGGAAAATCAGCATCATTTTATGAACGATTTTCCAAGTCTACCTTGCTCATAAAATGTGGGAACGCCCCAATCTTCAAACACAGAATAGTTCTGTACCTTTTCACTTGACAGCTAACCTTGCCCTGTAGCTTACAGGCTTGCTTTGAAGGGGCACAGTTCTACACAGAGTAATTTCAGATCCTGAGCATTCACTTGCCAAAACTACACCAAAACATCAGGCTACAATTACCTTTCACCAAATACCAGGGTCGTTCATCCTCATGATACAAGAAAAAGCTCCCGATAAGAAGCCTCTGTAACTTGAGTAGTAGCTCTACTGTCATGGGTCGGGGCGGAGGGGTGTAAGGCCACTGTAACTTTGGTGGCTTCAGAAACAATTGTTGAAATTCACCCAGCACCTGTGCTGATGATGTCTTCAGCAGATGCTGGGCCAGATGAAGAAGAGGAACATCAGCAATTTTATCTTTGCTTTCTGTTGTTTTCTCTTTGTCATTCTCCCCAGCGCCACCTTTAATTTCACTGTCAATAGTTGTCTCCAGAGCCGACTCAAGGCTCCCCTCTGCCATCAAACTCTTGATTAAAAGATCCAACATGAACTTCTTCCCAGCTGGTGAAGAGGTCGGCTTGTCACAAGCTGAAGATGTTTGTCCAAAACAAACAGGAAATAAGTTACTACTCGCAGTAAGCAGTGTATATTAATAAAATTGCACCGCACTAATGTTTCCAATATTTTTATTACATTTAATTCTTTTGTTTCCAGGTGTAACCGATACATTTTCTTCATTGTATGATCCATGAATGTTATGAATCTACAGAACGTTTTACCCTGGTAGAGTAGACAAGAACTTCGTAAAGAAAACCAAGAAACGGTTTTGCTACGCACATCTTCGCTGATTAAGATACATGTAATTATTCCGTCAGGAAATCCAGGGGGTAGTAAAGGAGGAGGAGTTAGGGGGGGGAGGGAGAAGGGGGGGGTGGATACTTATTCGTTTCATAGTAGGTATCAAATGGTACTTATATCTGATCTTTTTCCGACAGCAATCTACTCTAAAAGAAGACCATTATCAAAGGCAAAAGGTGGCTAATTTGAACCACTCACTTTCAATCAAGAGCTCTGTCAAAGCCCTCGCTCTTTCCTCTGGCGTGGGCAACAACAGAACCCATCCATTGCTCAGAGCTCCTTGAGCTGCTGCCTGTACAGTCTTGAGCACTCCTTTGTTGCTGGCCAGTGACACTACTTGTTGCTTTAGTGACTGCAGCAGCTTACTCCCTACTCCCAGCCCTAAATCATCAGCATCTACATTTCCCGTGATGGCGGCGTGAAGCTGAGTTCAAAATAAAGGAGGGGAGGATCAAAAAATGAAAATTCCTTGAAAGTCGTTACGATGTCCGGTGGACAGTCAATGAGTAATGCGACTGTTGCACCGTATTTCTGAATTCTAATTGTATTTCTGTTCTCCAATGATACAACAACAACAAGGTTAAATAACTATCATCAATTATTGATTATACGATAAGCTGAATTATGCGTGCACTTTCAATGCTTCTTACCAACGATTTAATGAAAGGCAGACGCATAAATGACGTCTCCATCAACAACATCCTGCTATTTTTTCATGCAAAACTAATGGATTCCATATTGCCGTGGGTCTGTTTAGTAATTGACCACTTAAGAGTCAAAATGTGGAAAGAACACTTATTCAGTGACACAATCTGCATCGCCTCGCGTGCCACTTTTGTTGTTGTTCTTACCACATTTTGACATCACATGTGGTCAATAACTGAACAGAGACACGGTAACATGGAATATATCTGTTGAATAGATATTAATTAACATATAGAGAGGCGTTGACTGTGCTCTGTTCTGTTGTAAAGGACTATCCACTTCGTTTTCTCTTTGAGGATTTTCGTCTCTGCTCGCGTTATAATAACGTTAATTGAGGCGCCTGGCATGTTTACAAACCTTTGCTTGGTTCTTCTGTTGCTACTTGCTGGCTCGCTTGTTCCGAAATTTGTTCACTTTCAATTAACGAAAAAAAAACTAGAGAGAAGTCCCGGAAAAGATCGGACATAGTACACTTTAGCAGATGGCGTGACAGATTTCGCTCAGCTCTATCCTCTATACTCTCATAGCGCACGCTCTTTCAACTAATGACAGCGCATGTTATATCCGAACTTTAGTATAAACGGTAATCTTCTAAATGACTAATAACCAAAACTCACCTGAAGTCTCAATAAATTCAATGTCGCAACAGCAATGCATTCTTTCTCCTGTGGGGGAGGGGGCCAGTCGAGGGCGCCTGTCAGGTCTTCACTTACACGTCTTAGCAGTGCATCCAAGTATTCGAATGTCTTCTTACATACATCCAGGCAAAAAGGAAGACGCAACCCTACATTCCAGTGTCCAGCGGATGACCAAGCAAAACTCTGATAAGTAGAGAAAAATGCACACGGAACTCAGTACCTTATAGGAGACAAAAATATAAACTGTCCTTCCCAGGGAATTTTCTTACAATAATGATAATAATAAACACTTTATTTAAGAGTCCAACCATGTAGCCTGGGAGAAACTCATTCTAATTAGGGGACACAGACTAATAAAAAGTACAAAATTAAAACGACTAAAATAAATACACTCCTGAAATATGAATTATACAAAATGCAGTCTAAAATGTTTTAAACATAAAGCTAAACAATAAAGGTAACCATCGATAGTTAATTTAATGTAAATAATAATCTAATAAGATTTAAGAGCAGAGGATACAACATTTGCACTCATTAACCCTTTAACCCTTGAGAGTGACTGGTATCTAATTTCTCCTTACAAGATCACCCCTGAATTAAACATTAAGGTCATGAGAATAAGGGAAATGATCAACAACTAAAGAAGCTCATGATTGTTCAACACATTCTCCTTTTCAGAACCTTAAGAAATGTATAGGGAAATTATGGAGAATATGCATACTGATCAATGTTAGGGTGTAAAGGGTTAAGTGTTTCGGCTGATCTGTTATCCGTAGACACCTACAGTTCGTTACAGAGTTATTCCTAGGAGTGGAATAATCAGATTGTCTAAAGTTGTACTTGGAGTTTCAGTCTCAGCTTGACTTTCTGACTGAGTCAACACGTTGATGGACATCGCCTACCTGTGCAGGACCACAAGCCACCCCTGTGATCTCCTTGCCAGCTAAGGATGATATGAGAGTAGGCTCAGCTTTGTTCATGCAGGAGGTGTCACCCAGTTGTCCCTGTTCATTCCATCCCCAGCTGTACACTTCACCGTCTTCCGTCACTGCCAGGCAGTGGACTGAGCCAACAGCAAAGTCAATTATCTTCTTTCCACAAAATGCTTCAATGACTTTTGGATAGCGCACGTGATCCTCTGTCACATGACCAAGGCGACTTCCATCCCCTTTGCCCCTGTAAGATACATATCCAGGTGAATAATGATTACATCTGAACCGTGATTATCATTTTGCACATAGACAAGCTGTGCAAATCTTTTAAACTGCAAGCACATCTTCCACAGTAACTGACAAGTCTTATTTTTACAGTAACTGTAGTAATTCTCGAACCATTGTTGATAAAGTTATAGATCATAAAAAATGACGAAACATGTAACACAACGCTCAGAAACTTGTCGTGGAGGAAGAAAAGGGGAGGAAGCTTTGCCGGTTCTCGGTTTGCAACGTTGAAAGAAGACGACATCGTGGAAATACCTGCCGATGCCAAATTATAAGGCATAGTAATTAAAACCAAGAGGGCAATAAAAGCAATTCAGGGTAACCAAGTCTATTGCCAATCACTACTTCTGGTATCCAAATGAAGAAATCATAACATAAGACAAATTAAAGCAACAATAACAGGCCAAACAACAAAGCAAGGATCGATCATGTCACGCGCGCGTGACTTTCAGGACACTTTGACGCAAACCTCCTTCGCAAAACTTCATATCTGAACCTGAGTTAAACACATGAATTTGGACAGCGTGTTTACATGTGTCTCCTTCCACCCTACTAAGAGAATTCACTTGGAGGGTAATATATGTCCTGTGTGTACACATTTCAGTCACTCTGCTGCATACGACAAATTGCAGAATTTTACCTGCTAACGAAATTATTATATACAGTGTAATCTTAAATTGGTGACAACAGGAATGCAAAAATGTCATAAAACTAAAATGAATGAAATGGAAACACTACGAATACATGAAGATTAAAAAAATTACCAAGCCAACAGCTGTCCATCTCGTGTGAGTGCTACTGAAAACTGTGATCCACAGAATACCCGCACCACACCAAGACTCTGCAATTTGTCAATAACTTTAGGGGCTTTGTAACCATCACTTCCTCCGTGACCAAGTTTACCATAGTCTCCGTCTCCCCAAGACCAAACAGTGCCTGAAAGCAGAAAATACGCATTTCTATGTAATTAACTTTACTCTATGCAGCCATTGTTGGTTAAGGTAGCATTAATAATAATTAATGTACATTACATAAAATGAGTTCACTGTAACGATCTCAGTATCATATGAACTGACGACGTTTGCATCATTGAGAAAACTAGAGTTCCTGGCAAATTATGGCAAAAATCTTTAGAGACAAAAGGATATTTCAGAAAATTCAAGAAGTTTGTTTATGATAATACAGGCTTTGAATGAACTAGTTCTAGAAAGTGCCAGTGTAGAATACCAATACACCCACCGTCATCAGCTACAGCTAAGCTGTGTGCATCACCACTCCCACAGGCAACATCTATGATGTGGTATCCACGTAAACCATTTACCAACACAGGAACAAGGTGGTCTTCGCTACTTCCTAAAAGCAAAGATAAAAACAAATTTAGGATGGAAAAAAAGAATTTAAATATTGAAAATGCAAAGGTACAGTTTTTAAGTAAATACTTGTGAGTGCTGATTTGACGTTTTGGAAGTCATTCTTACATACAACGTACTCTGTGAGATCATAGGCTCCTGAATAAAACATTGTTTCTATCTTGAACAGTTGTAGAGTCAACTGGACAACTGTTTATTGCCCTCCTTACTACCCCACAGCAGATACAACACTGGATTATCCTGAATGTCATTCACACACAGACGAACACACAAAGTACTCGATTATTTCAATTTTATTATTACCGTGCCCTAGCCTTCCATAGTTGCCTCGGCCCCAAGTGTAGAGCTCTCCTTCAGATGTTACAGCAGCACTGTGACTACTTCCGCAAGCAATCTGGATGACTTGCTTGCCAGCAAGACCAGTGATCAGGGTTGGCTCGTCATAGAAACTAACACCAAAGGAACATTAACAAGGTACTGTAAATATCAAAATTATATGATTCTCCCAAATCGTAAAGCTACAGAAGAAATTATTACTCTACTTCTGTGGTGAGAAAAACCAGTAAGAAGATCTTTTTAATTATAGTTCTTAGCATTATCATTGAATTTAATCAACATGTTTCCAGTGCTTTCACAGCACATCTCAAAGGGTAATGAGACAGAGAAGGGCAGTGAACTGAACCAAGCATACTGTTGCAGGTCAAGGTTTTCTTAGACTAAGTACCTTCTTATTTACTTACATTTTCAAGCAAAAAAACAAGCTTTTGTTCAAAATTCTTAACCCTTTTACTCCCAAGATCCAATTGTTTATTCTCCTCTCTAGCTTCTACACATTTCCTTGTAATTTAGTTACAAGAATTTGGTTTTAGATCAAGGTGACAACTTCTACACTTCTTTGAGTATTCTCATTACCTGTTTGCCAGATAATGTATGGATATTATTGGGAGAAGTTACATTTTAATCACTTCTGGGAGTTAAAGGGTTAAAAGCATTTTGGAAGCATTTGCCTCTGACATCTGTATTAAAAGCAAGTGACTGCCCTTGTGTTCAAAATCATCAAAAGTTATAATCACTTATCAATGGAGTTGAAAGAATAAAGTTGCACAATATATGTCATACTTATTGTCTCCGTGACCTAACTTGCCACCATCCCCAGATCCCCAGGAGTAGACTTCACCCTCTCTGCTCAGAGCCATGAAATGTTTACATTCCGGATTTGTTGCAATTTTGATTATTTCACACTTGTGAGCAAGAGATTCAATAAGCACTGGACCCTATAAGAATAAATTTCCAACATTGTAAGATCAATAAAAAATAAATCATCAAAAATAATAACAACAGTGACTGTGTAAATGATTTTTACTGTGAATGCAGGAAACCGACATTTATAACATGTAGTAACAGTGATTAAAAGCTTTTTTTTTTTTTTCAGTTTCTCTCACCTGTCCCTCTGTAGTGTACAGACAAGTGTAAACCTTGCCAGTTTTGGTAACTGCAAGAAAACACTTTTCAGCACAACAGATCTGAGCTATTCCAATTTCCACAAGGCTACCCAAGGTTGTAGGACCCAAGGTGTGACCAGCATTTCCCCATGATAGCCAGCCCCATCCTAAGACTTCTTGAACAAGGCCAATACTGGGAGTCTAAACAAATTCATTACAACACATCATCACTTACATGATTTGAGTCAACATATATGTATTTGCCTTCTTTGACATCCATTTAGACTTGGCACTAAGGAAGGGGAGATGTGTGCCACTAAGGATCTTCAGGCAAAAAAGGGCTGATTTTCTGCAGGTTTGCATGTCATTCAACATGCAGTAGAACTCTCAACTTTGTGTTTGTATCATTCAAGCATCAAATTTGTACAAAGGACAAAAAAAGAGGGTAGTGGGGAAGGGATTTCATTTGATTGATGTACTAAGTATTAGTCAATGTAATGTTATCAATTTTGAAGTCACCATTGTTGAAATTAACTAAAACACTGTCCCTAAGTTTTGGGAGACAAACAAAGTGAATTAAGTCTCTTTCACTCTCAGAAGTGATTAACATGTAACATCTCCCCATAATCTCCATACATAATCCAGAAAGCAGGTAATAGGAATACTCAGACTTATCAGGTAGAAGATGTCATCTGGATCTAACACCAAATTCTTGTAACTAATTTACAAGGAAATATGTAGCATCTAGAGGGGAGAATTAACAATCAGATCTTGGGAGTTAAAGACTTAAGCAATTTGAAAATACTATTTGGAATAAAACTGGTAAAGAGGAACATTGAGGCACTTTGTGTACCTTTTGATTTGAAGAAAGTGGCAGATACGGAGCAGCCAACCTATCCAAGTGTGATACCAATACAACAGCACAATGCTGCAGCTCAACAAACTCTGCTTCGTCTTCAGGAAGAGCCAGGTAGCGTAAGAATGACTCAGTTGGGCTCACTTTGGGTACACTGGATGACATAACCTAGTACATGTACAAGTCAAAATAAACAAGAATATATAAATAAAATTAAAAAATGATAAGTCAAGAAGAGAAATGGTTGCATAAGTACTGTAGAGTATGCAATACGATTAAATTGATAAGCTGAATTATCAACACATTTGTATTGGCTATTACATGTATTTACATGTATAAATTGGAGGACTGATGCAAAGATTATGTCACCACTGACAACATTTGCTATTTTATTATATAAAACAAACAGATTTCATGTTGCAGTGGGTCTGTACAGTAAAAGACTGATTTCAGACGACATCAAATGTGAAGTGCCACTTTTCTGTCCACACATACATGCCATTTATGTATGTAAATGTATCAATATCCTTGCCACATTTTGACATCAGTCATCTTTGATCGATAATTAAACAGACCCACAGCAGCACGGAATCCATTTGTTAAAAAGTTGATGTGTGAAAATTTTTCAAAATGTTTTAAATATGTATAAAACAGCATCCTGACAACATGAAACATTTATGCAAGAAATTTTACCAATTGTCAGTTAATTGTTGGTGACCTTTTTTTAACACAAGAGTACATGTAACCTCAATAAGCAGAGGTGTTCTCAGTTGTGTAAGCTGCTCACAAAAATACAAGTATGGTTGCAAGTGGGGTAAGTTTCATAAGATCCTGAAGAGAATGGAAATCTACCTCTTCTGCCAACTTATTTGGTTCCAGTGCCTTATGAGAAGCACCTGTTACTTCCTCAAACCGTCTCAATAAATGAATTAAAGGAGCTGATGTGAAACAAGAGTCGGTGTCATTATCTTGTCCACTATCCCACAGCTCCAACAGCAACAAGATGACTTCCAACATGTGCTGTAGGGTGCCTCGCTGTACACCAAGTTCTAAAAGGATCCCCAGAGCCACATGTTGATCGGATACAGGAACAGAATCAAGAGGTTTGCAGTATACTCTGTCTTCATTTCCTTTCCTAATGAGACAAACAGTATGTTGTAAGATTGCATACTGATCAAACTTTTAAGTATTTGAGCACTCAAGTCTCACCCATTGAATGGGAGGTTCATGCAAACAAATTCAGACTTTTGTTCTCACCAAAAACTATCAGTTGTCATACATTTGTGGTTTCAGTTTTTAACTGTTGATTTTGAGAAAGCAAACTTTTCATCAAGTGCCAATCAACCCATTAACTCCCAGATCAAATTTGCCATTCTCCTTACTGACAACCATACATTTCTTATAATGTTAGCCAAGAGAATTTAGTACTGGATTGACTAATCATCCCCAATTTAACCCTTCAACTCCCAAGAGTGACCAAGACAGAATTTCTCCTTACAATACCAATACAATATTAACCAAACAAGAGATATGAATAAAGAAAAATATCAATTTGGGGATAATTAGTTGATCTAATACTAAGTTCTCTGAACTATATGATTGACAGTAAGGAGAACTACAAATTTGATCTGGGAGTTAAAGGGTTAACTGAACTGTTTAGCCTGGTCCCCAAGTGTCTGGATAATCTGGGTTTGTCTGCACCAGCACTCAGTAATAATTACAATGGGGATTGTGAAGAAGTACTACAGAACAAGCCATACAAGTTATCACATCCAAGACACCTTCAATGTATTATCACTTAACCATAGATTAAGTCATCATTGTACCCTGACACTCACCCTGCCACAACTGATCGTAAAAACTTTGTTGCCCGTTCAACCACTTCTAACCAAACAGGAGACACGGAAGCTTCATCAAACAAAGTTGCTTCTGGAAGACACTGCAAAGCCTCTAATGCTTCATCAAGAAGCTCACGACACAAGTCTGCATCTTCACCTGATCGCCAGGCACGACGTAGAAAAGCAAATGCAAATGACAATGCTGCCCTGGCACCAATTCTAGCAAGGCCCAGTGAAGCCTGTTCTGTATCAGCACTGCCCCGTTTCTTCCTCTTTTTACCAGTTTCTTGTTTCTCCTTCTTCACACCCTTTTTAATACTGGTCTTCATTGCATTGGATGCTTGCTCCCTCGAAAGAGCGATAAAATAACGCCCTAACACAGCTAAACGCTGCTGAAGTCTCATTGCTGACAATGTTGTTCCTGCAGCTTGGCTTGCAAGCATTCTTTGATCAAAGACAAGTCCTTGTAGTACTTCTTTTAATTGTTCAGTGTTTGGTTGCTCTCCCCAGGTCCAAGAGTCCATCAAGGGACCTGCTGCAGGAGGGGCTCTCTCCTCCTCTTCTTTTTGCTCCCTGTCTTCCTGGTCCAATTTCTGGCAAGGCTCACAGTTACAACCTTTGTCAGGGCCACATTGACCCTCACAGCAAGTACATTTAAGAATACAACGACCACAATAAAATTTGCCTGTTTCTCCTTTCTGAGCAGGAATGCCATCACAGTTCATCTTTACATCAGATGCCATCCTCACAATTTCTCCATCTTTAACTAGCTCATTCCATAGCTTTTTTAAACCATCAGGCAAGAAGGCAGTCTGAAAAGTTTGAAAACATTATGTTTATTTTAACTCTACACAATGAAAATTCTTGCAATTATAGACTGTAGATAGTTGTGGCCAACCTGCATTATTTTTTCAATTGTTCAACTGAAATGATACTCCTATGATTGCATCTAAATAAGATTTCATTGTACAGTAAACTTTAGAAAGATACATGCAACCAAACAATTGACCTCTTTAGCTCATACCAGTTGTTTTCCTAAGGGGGCTCTCAAAGGAATTCCTACTTATGTCTTAAGGAAATTATGCACTTGAAAAAGGATGAAATCTGAAAAAAAAAAAGCAGTTCCCTGAAGTATCATAAAGTACCATTGCATGACCTCTATTAAGAAAACAAAACATACAAGCTAAAGAGGATTACTGCCAAAGCAATATGAGTTGTCTGAAGAAGGAAATTGGCAAATGATTTCTACTAGTTTGAGAACAACAATCCACTTCAAACTGAATTTGGAGAGATCTCAGGCTGAAATTTGACCAAACATACTGATTAGACAATCTAATTTCTTTGTGTGAATTTTAAGAACTCATTTACCCAGAATTTTTGGGGATCTGTTTATTCAGAAACATTCCAATTCTCTTAGGAGAAAATTCATGCATTGATAGGGCATTTCCTTCATGCACTGGGTCACCCTACATGTATCTATGTTGTATTTGAATATTGAGATGTCTAGCTGTTCAAAAAATGGAATGACAATATAAGAGGCAAATTATAGCCTGTCTACTCAAAGATTTAACTCTTTAACACTCAGATCAAACTTGTAATTCTCCTTACTGTCAACCATACCATTCTTATAATGTTATTTCAGAGAATTTAGTATTGGATCAACTCATTATCCCTTAATTGATCTTTTTCTTTATTCTCATCACTAATCTGATTGATATTGTATAGATGTTGTAAGGAGAAATTCTGTCCTGGTCACTCATGGGAGTTAAAGGGTTAACAGATGCAGGATAAACACCTTTGCTATATCAATTTTCATATGGAGTAGGTGTGATATGCCTCATAAATGAGGTAGTCAAGATATTGTTTTGTATTTAATCCTCTCTCTCCCAAGATCCAGATCTTTTTTGTTCTCTGTACCATCCCTCATGGTTGCTTATCATTTTAGCTCTGAGAATTTCCCCTTAAATCAAGTGTAACCTCTAATTGATATTTTCCTCCTCATTGTCTTGCTGCTTTTGGATATTGTACAGATAAATTTCTTGTTGGTCCCTCCTTGGAGTAAAAGGGTTTAGAGGAATGCTTTGTGTAAGGGCTGGTTGGAAAACCACCGAGAAGGGTTAACATTCAACCAGGTTCTTCCTAATCCGTATAAATAGGGTGAAAATATTGAGCAGTTCTTTCTGAACAAAATCCTCTGTAAAATATGTTTCAACCACAGAAAAAAGTACACATTTCCATCCACCTGTATGTACTCATGTTATTCCAAGTAATAAAAGCATTACTCTGCTTAACAAGTGTATTTCACAGGTGCATATCAACCCTCGAACATAGTCGTTAAACAACTTTGTAACGACCTTCAGCGAAGCGTTTAGCAAGTAAACATCACACCTGCAATACTCTCACAAGTATCGATTTTGGAGATACACTTCAAATCATGGTTTCAGTTAATTTGATTAAAGGCTATATCATGAAACCTGGCAAAGAATATAATTTGCGATATAATGATAGAAATAAGAAAGCGAATTATTGCCGGGTATGAGTACACATAAATAACAGCTTAGCGACGGTAACAAATTGATAACAAAATAGCGTTTGCGGCTTGAAATCAGTTCAAATTTCAAAACATGCATGCATGTACTGTATTAGGAGTGAATTGGTAAAGATCGAATAAATCTTGAACTTTAATTGCCCAGTATGAGTCAAAAAGAGGTACTGATGAATCTAAAACTAAGATATACACTGAAGGATTTTGAAATAAAGTTTAAAACGCAGGCGCGGCGAGAGAAAGAACTGATCGATTTACATATATTGCTTCCCACAAAAATGAAGGTGAGGCTCGTGCCAAGAAAATTTGAAGTCAGCACCGGTTCGAAGAACTATTAACCCTTCCCTTCTGATATAATCTTGCCATGAGTTAGCCCACCACCTGTTTAAATCTTACCTGTATGTCAGTTTTCAACCACTTCGCACCCAGCCTTGGCTGAGGTCGCAAACAAGACACCGGGTTTGTTAGATTGGGCATCTTTCAGACCTTGTAAAATTTCACCAATAATTACTTCGGAGGATGAAGATATCGAGGTGGAGCGTGCAGCATCTCTTAGCCGAAAGAGTAGCGTCTCGTTTTTAAGGCATAATGCGGAACAATCAAGCTTTCGATATGTACAGTAAACTTTGGCCGCAATTCAGCACACGTAAAAAGCGTGTGTTGTCACCGTTAAGTCAGTAGAAAATATTGCCTGACATGTAGGAGATGGCAGCGACCGCTGAACAAGATAACTCGCCCCAGTCTACCGAGCGCGTCTTGAGTGGTACAACAACGTTCGCAACGGGCGCTTATCAACATAAAATTAGGGGCTGGCTGGCCATTTATATTAGAAACAATACTGGAAAGCATGCTTTCATTCTGGATAGACCACTCACTCTGAACATTGTGATTAAGTTCAGAGTGAGCTAGCACAATTTCTGGAATAATTAAGGAAAACGAACATAATTTTTGCTCTTTCTTTGTAAGCAGCACTGCCAGGACAATCAGAATATTTTTAGTAATATTTAAGGGATCATTACCAGAGTTATAAATTGTTTGGTGTCTAAGATTTATCATCATGGTTCAAGAATTTTGTAATATCTTGGAAGAAGAAAGTTACCTTAACATTCATTTTCTATTGGACTTGGCAAACCAAAAGTAAATATTTTATCAGGTTCCCGTGCTCCTAACCGATTCCTGCGTGCTTTACAATAGAACAGAACACAGTCTAGGCTTTTTTTTTTTTTAGTATAGTTTAAATTTGAAACTTGATAACTTCAAGAAGCTCCAGGAAAGAAAAAGAGGGTTCAACAGATGAACGAAGTTAGTTGAAACCAACTGTGTTTCGGTTTTCAATAATTTATTCACGTTCCTCTCTCTTACAAACCCGTTTGATTAAAACGTTTTAAAATACTAGAGCAAGACATATCTGGAATTATACGATTTATTAACTCCAGGTCTGGATTACACTCCTATTTTCCCACGATTACTTGATATTTTTTAATCGTCAGCTTAAATCCGGGGGCAGTTCCGACGTAGTTGGATGTAAATATCAGGTACATCTGGCCACCTGAGACTTGTATCGGTGCAAGGTTGAACCTCTCCCCGTCGAAATCGAATATGAGATCACTCGCTGTTAACAGAAGCAAATAAACAAGGGTTAAATGAAACAAGAGAAATTATGACGAAGAATAATCCAAAACAGAAGTAAAGAGAGGCCATGAGGGGTTACCCTCATTCCCAGGGTTCTTTGCCTCCTTCTTCGAGGAACGGAAAGAGAGGAACCCTGAGAACGCGGTTGATGACTGGGAAACAATTTCGCGTATTACGGGCTCTTTTTAGTTTCCTAAAGATAAACAGAAAATAATCTAGTGGCAATCGATAATCTGAAACTGAAAAAATAAAATAAACGAAAGTAACCATAATCGATAACTACTTACAAGTAAAGGAGCTAATTGAGCTGTATCCTTTCAAAAGATCATAGCCAGACTGTGTGTGGAAGCTCTCAAATTCCAGCTGGAAGGGTATGCCAAGGGCGAGTGTCCACACACAAGTGGCACTATTCGGATAGTCACTGGGGAAGTTGGGTGACATTACGGTCTGGTCCAGCGCAGTAATTACACCTCCACATGCTGATAAGTGGTAAAAATTGTCTTATTAGAAGGATATATACCGAGAAACTCCAAGAAATTGTCAGAATGATACCACGTAACAAAAAACGTCGCGTGACATTCCCCACTTTCGAATAAGACTATTAACATGTAGGAAACAGAAAAAAAAGCGACATCAACCCGCCTATTTTAAGGCTTTTGTTCCAAATTTCATCAAATATCAGTTAAGAAAGGTGAAGAGCACTAAAATGGAAGGATGGAGAAGATTGTTCTCAAATTCATAAAGTATGCTCAAGGCAGGCAGCTGACATATTTCTGTGCGAGTACAAAACGTCCTCGGCCCGTGTTGGAACGAGTCGCGTTAAGGCGAAAAATAAGGTGCTAATCATTTGTCTAAGACTTTATTTTCCATAAAGTCTATATTAGTTTAATGCCCTATTTGATAATATTAGTTTATTAGATTTTTTTTTCAGTAAATAGTATTGCCTATTATGTTGTGTTGTATTGTACTGTATCGTTTAAGCACTACAATGCCAAAACGAATTATGTCGCTTGAAACGTGATTTTATGAGAAATAAATGATTTTAGAACGCTAGACGAAAAAGAGTTGTGGCATATAATTTTCTCCTGGAGAAAACGGTCGTTGCAGCACATTTGGTGTAGGATTAAACACTTACTGACTTGCTGGAACGATGCTGAAAATCCTGCCGAGTTTTCACTACCATCAGACACAAAACGTATATCAATTGAGGTACTTTCGGACGTGAATGAAACCGGTTTGGAATAAACGCCAGAGAGTTTGGTGATAAGTGCTTTGGAACCACCGTCATATATTTCTACCAGATCTTTGTTCTTTTGGGTTTTTAGCGAATTGAATGTAACCATAACCTTCTTGCCGGCTGGCACGCTTATTTTCCAGCGGCAGTAGGCATTGTCTGGGTAGCTGTTGGGGTTGTTTGGAGAACTAAAACTCCCGGAGGGCCCAACAAGTTCTGCGCCACATGATGAAACTGTTAAGAAATTAATTAATTTGTTCAGTCAGTTCAACTTCACAGTCGTTTTTGAAAACGATTGTCAAGGTAATCTGGAGGAGAAAATGTAAAATAGAATATCTCTGGAGTGTGGAGAAGTGCTTTTAAGGACCTTTTGAGTACTGTACTTGAGAGCATTTATGTTTTTGTTTTGTTTTGTTTTGTTTTTTCACTTCTGAAATGTTTAAAATGACCAGTTATTATTATCTAGCTAAGCTTTCCAATTCCCATATTTTGTCTAACAGGATTCTCCTTGAATGGGCACTGTGCCAAGGCTTTTCGAATAAATTGAGGCCATGAAAAATGGATGTTATCTTGAAGGAACCAATGAGCAAAAGAATGAATAAGGGGAATGAAGGAGAGAAGCAAAGGGAAAAAATCAAGGTGTGAATAAATTAATGAATGAACGTTTACGGGAAAAAACCATGAGTGTCAATGTTCGAATGATCCAATAAATTAATCAATCAATGAAAAAGTGGATGAGTGAGTTTATCGAAGAAAAGTACAAATAGACAGCTCACCATCACAACTGGGGACTACCGCAGACCAAGTCCCGTCCAGTTGGCATTTGCTTTCCCTGGTTCCCACAAGTTGGTAGCCAGGTTTGCAGTCATATACCACAATCTTTCCATAAGTAAATTCTGATCCAAAGCGCTCCCCGTTTGAAGGCAATCCAGGATCTCCGCAGCTGACAACTACAGGAATTTCTTACAGTTATATTTCTTGAAAATGCAACTTGAATCTTTGATATATGAATCGAAGACTACAAATTCCTAAAACCTGTCTAATGAACCTATAGAAGGATCCTTAATCCGTCATGACCAAATCAACCTCAAGTTTTGACCGCGTATGCCTATATTGATTATGAAAGATACGTTACAATTTTTAAAGCTGATAGATGAAATCTTCAGGCTGGGTAAAGTGGTTACTATCTTCAGGTTTCCTGGTTCAAATTCTTAAATAAAGGCCAATTCAGTTTGGGTGCTAAGAACAAACAAACTGAGAACTCCATCAGAAAGTATCTCTACGGATGGATTGAACTGGATAAGTGGCAACATTCATAGCGGTCGTGTAGAAAAAATTCGTAAGTAAGTCTATGTTATCGTGAAGAAGATTTTCGAAAAACAACAATTTCATCTAGTTTCCTACCTTACTCTTAACTCCCCTTAATATCTAGCTCATGGGGAAATTTTAGTTTAATTGCTGTTTTAGCTCATCAAAGTGGTACCCAAATCGGGATCACTTCTGACTGAGAGGCATAAAGCAATTCTTTTGCGTCTTTATGATTTGAATTAGACATCGACTTACGTTGGCAGGTTGGTTGTGTTCCATCCCAATTATTGTCCGTTTTGCATGTTCTGGAGCTGGACCCAATTAAGTTATATCCTTCATTACACTGGAATTGAACAACATCATGATACTTGTAGCTATCTCCAACCTTAATTCCGTTTTCCGGTGTACCAGGGTTGCCACATGAGTTTTCTGCCATCAGAAGACATAAAAAGTGAGATTTGATAGTTATAGATTAGAGATAATATTTTTTAAAATCTATCCGCTTGTTATACGTATGAGTCAGTATGGCTCCCCTGATCGATAGTTCTACTTGATGCGCTCATTTTAAAGCTGTAGGCGAAACGTTTAGAAAGGTAGACACTTTAAGTGTTCCTTCTCACAGCCCCAAGGTTTGATTCGCATCAATCATTGAGGCGTTGATAGATTTTTTCATAAATCGTTTGGGCAAATCCAGTGTATTATCCATATTACAGCTTTTAGGCATTGTGTTCTGACATAGTTAGCATATTGAGCCTCGTAGTTAGCAAATTAACATGGAAAGGAATACCCAACCGATGTTAAAGAATTAAAATGGAAAGATACTTACCCACGACATTGTTTTTCATAATATTTACGTTTCGAAGGGCAAATGCTAAGCCCCGGGAAGGAAGCGACTCTTCATCCCACACCTTAGCCCTCGGAGAAAACAACAAATCTAGAAATAAAACTTACCTAGACAGACTGGCTGAGTTCCACTCCATGTACCGTCAGCCTGACATATTCTCTCTTCTGAACCTGACAGCTTGAAGTTTGAGGCTACGCAAGAGAACGTCACCTTTGCATTGTAGGAATAGTCTGAGCCATGATGTTGACCGTTTGCTATTGCTGGAGGTTCACCGCAATTTACCACTAGAAGGGAGATATAAATTAGATTCGTCTCTTTACCTTCAGAAGTGATTCAACTTATGGAGTGTTTAGTTTCTTTGTTTTGTCGTTGCTGGAATCATCTTCAACCGAAAGCAATATGGGAGAAGTTAATTAAAATTAAACAGGTCTATGAAATTTACTGTTATACTAGCCTTTTCATGGAAGGTTCACGTGAATGGTTTGTTTGCTGTCGATAAACCTAATAAGGAGACTAAACTAACTAACTGCTATAATAAGAGGTATAAAAAGAAGTATTAACCAGAGCATGGCTTTATAGAAATTAAAATTTTTTAACAATGAAAATCAATTGTTTCAGAGAAAATCACAATGAAATTGAAGTTACTTTGTTTCATACGAATCACTGAAAAAACGTTCCTTGTCCAACCATGCTTACTAGAGCTAAAGATTCAATTTTGCTGTGAATTATTACTAACAATCACAAGACGGCGCGGGAGCGTTCCAGGCGTTTCCTTGGCAAATAGCATAATCTTGACCAACCAGTTTGTAACCGAGGTCACATTCAAATCTGATGGTGTCGCCATTTTTCCTTTGAAGACCAATCAGCTTTCCATTATTCGGAACCGAAGGCTCAGGACAGTCAGCAGCTGAGGAAAGAAACATTACCTTAGGTTTAGATAACAATATTCAGTCTAGCGGAACCATTCTTGCTGTCGCGCGTAGTTTCACCTTCTCGAAGTTTTAGTGTCACCCATCTTACCTATGCAGCGAGGATGCTCTCCGCTCCAGGACCCGTCGGCCTGACATGTACGAGTTGTTGATCCCACTAATCGGAATCCCTGATTGCATGTGTAAGTGACAACAGTGTTATATGAATTTGCTGAGGTGCTTTTCATTCCGTCCTTAAGGTCTCCGGGGAGGATGCATTTAACTCCTAAAAGAAAAATAAAGGCCTCAATGATTAAATGATTTAGTTTAGCCGTTTGTCAACAAAACTGCGTCCCAAACAATCCTCAATTTAGCTGAACTTTTTATCTGAAAATTTTTTTTTGTGAACAGTGTTAAGAGGGTCGAAAGCTGACTGTGAAAGGACGTTCATTTAATTAGATCAACCCCCCCCCCCCATAGAGAAAAACTGAGGCCTAATGTTTGCGGAAACCGTGTATTGGGTTATACCTCGCGTAAATAACCTTAGAGTTTTAAACAGTCTTAATGCGATAAAACTTAGAAATAGTCTCACCATCACAGCGAGGTGCATTTCCAGACCACTCGCCATTAGCCAAACATGTTCTTGTGGACGCTCCCCTCAATGTGTAACCAACGTTGCACTCAAATTTCACAGTGCTATCTAGGGTTGTTGCGGGATTAGCTGGGTCCAGTTTCCCATTAGCAAAGCTATGTATAGCTGGACAAGAGTTTGCTGATGATGGAATGACAAATTTTAATAGATTATACATGTAAGTTTACAATTTGCGGCAAATTTTAATCGTTAAGTTAGCCTATCAGTCCGTCGGTCAGTCAGTCGTTTGGTCAGTCAATCAGTCAATCAGCCAGCCAGTCACTTACTTAGCTAAGCAGTCAGCCGACGTGCATGTTTGCCTTTCTATTGGTGGGTTCATTTTCTATACAATGAAAGTAGGAAGCCTGGTTTACCTGTGCATGTTTTCTTATCGTTGTTGAGAGTATATCCTGGCCTACACAGACAGCTATATCCTAGAAACGTATTGACGCAAATCTGCCCACACGGGCCCAATCCAGCGTTGGTAGAACATTCATTCTCATCTGGGAAAAGCAAGGAGAAAGAGTTATCAGTTAAAGTATTCTCGCCTGTTTTACTTGGACCACTGTTACTGATTAAGCATATGGGCTGTTGCAATTCATAGGGAAATTTCAGCATGAAGCAACTCAGATGCTAAAAATGTACATGCCAGTTCATTCATAACATGTTGTTATAAATTAACCCTTTTTTCCGTCGTAAATCATGCAGTCTATTTTGGAATGGTTCGATAAATCAGTGGCACGAACATCTCTAAGAGTCTTCTGTAAGGTAACCGATTGCTTCAAGCACTCGAGATTTTCTTCTTTTCAAGTACACCTGCGTCACTGACTGCAATATCTTATCTTTTATTCTTCAAATCGTCATGTTTAATGATAATCTTCCCACTATCATGATGGCTCGAAGGAATGCACGGATGGCATAGCTTCAGTTAGAGAAGCCTAGAGTAAGGGCTTCTTGAATTTGGATCATTTATTAAAATTGTTTGAGTATTATTTGATTATGCATATGCTTTACCTGCGCATGATCTACCGTCCGCCATTAAACTGTACCCAGATCCACATGTACAGCGGTAGCTACCGACACTGTTATGACAGCTCTGCTGGCAGTTTCCATTATTGGAATTGCACTCGTTTATATCTGATTGATAAACGTTAATATGAAGGAGAGTTAAATTCAATTTCATACAACTACATCCTATTAGTCTCCTTGATTCTTAGAATAGCACAATGGTTCAAAGTCTGCTTGGGTGATTGTTGCTGTGAAACTGATTTAAGTAAAGTTTTATGGAAAAAAATAATGTTTATAACTGATTTGCCCCCTTGAGGAACGAGCGAGTATTTAACTATTAAGAGACAACGACCGCGAGAAAAAAATAGAAAACATTCAAAGAATCAAACTTAACATGTTTAATGAAAGTGTATGTTAGTGAGTGTATCTTGATGCGGGCAACATGTGCTTTTGCTACAAAATGCGTAAAATTAGTCTTTACTCGATTTTCAAAAATCCAGTTAATGCTAACACCTTTGACAAAACTCATGCGTGACTGAGAGAAGATCTTAGTTTGGGAAAAATGTAGTACTTTTTCTTCATCTGTTTTTTTTTTTTTGTTCTTTCAATCTATCATAATTTCCATTCTAACAGCGACTTCTTTTAAAATATTTCTACCTGAACAGCTTCCGTCTTGATTAAGTGAATATCCCGCATTGCACCTGCATTTGTAGCTTCCTAACGTGTTTACGCACTCTTGCCCGCAGTTTGCCTGTCCGGTGGAGCATTCATCAATGTCTGTGGAGGAAGCAAAAGGAGAATTTTTATGTAACGTTCTTGTCTACAAATAGTCTTTTCTTTAAAGACTGCATTCGCAGACGCTGGCCTTGATTAAAGCCTCTTGAGTCCATCCAAGAGATTATAATCTCGGCGCATCAGATCTCTGATAGCCACCAGTAGAAGTACGAGTTAAATGCCACGATGACTTTATTTCTTTTCAGTCATGTATGTATTCTCACCTATGCATTGTGGAACAAGAGCATCCCATTTTCCACCAACACAGTTCAGCGTTGCCGTTCCACTTGCCTTGTATCCATTATCGCAATGGATGGTCATTTTACTGCCCAAAACTCGGCTACCACTGTACTTGCCATGTGCAATTTTTCCGGGACATGGACATTTTAGAGCTGCCAATCAATTATTAAAACACAGTTGTTGTTCAAGCAGAAAGGTAAGTCTTGAAGAAGCTTTAGTATTAAGTCAGCTCAAAACTTCGAATTCATCCCTTACCAAAAAAATGACTATTAAAAACGAAAGTTCGAGGGTCAAGACAATATCTTTTGGAATACTGTACCTGCGTTTATAAACCTTTGATTGCTCACACGTCTTTCCTATTTTTTTTGTAGGCTTAGCAGAATTTTAGCTCTCAGGCTTTGTATACTTGGAATGCGACTTAAACACGTTTCATCCCTCACGTGGATGCAATCATAAGCTTGTGTTTTCTTGTCCCTTCTCCTTCCTTTTTTATGCATGTTTCGCTCTCTAACTTCTGCATGTTAGTTACAGCCCGAACGGAGACGAATTAAAATGCAAGGGTCTCTGGCTCTGACCAGGATTGAATTAAGGTAATTTAAGAAAGAAAGCAATGTGTGTTATTGGGAAGAGGGTGAGGAATATAAGTCACCTCTGTAACCTTTCATACCTGTTTCACAATGGCGACCCTCATATCCTGCTTGACATTTGCATTTATATCCAACTGGAAGAGTCTCACATGTCCCGTGAGCTCCACATGGATTGCTGTTGCAGGCACTATTCGCTGTTTGTTTGGAAACTTTTCGGTTAGTTTGCTGTATGTTGTAGATTATCATGCTGAATTATAATCTTTAGAGTAGTAAGAAACACAAAACAAAAAGGCATATCTTGCTTTTTCCTCGTGCTGTGTTTGCGAGACGCCATTAATAATCGATTACTAGCTCTTGATTTACAATGCAAATTATAGCTATATTATGTGTAGTTACACTTATGTCAAGATTGCACGCAGTAATGAAAATGGCAGATTTGATGACATATCCATTTTTGGAAACATCTCCTCCACTTATGTTCAGAAATGCACGCAGTAACGAAAATGTCAGATTTGACGAAAGTTCGTCAAAGCGATTGAATTTTCAGATATTTGACAATTTTGGCGAATTTTCAGTCAAATTTGTCTGAGCGAATTCAGCTCGGCAGATTGGATTGAAGAATTTTCGCCGTTTTCGTCACCGCATGCGTTTCTAGACATATCTCCGTGTGTAGCAGTAAGACATTGCTAAATTATTTAATGCTCTCTGAATAAACAAAGAAAAAATTCTAAAACGTGGAATACAAATTAAACTTTTTACCTGGGCACGTGCAGACATATCGAACTTTAAAGTCAGGACAGCTGCGTCCAGTTCTTTGATCGCTATTCAAACACGTGATACCACTATCTGAGCAAGTACTTGTCAAATTCAATTCAAGGTCTGGCATTGATCTTCCATCGATATCCTGACAATCAAATAGACCGGGTCCCGCACATGCACCTGCGCGAGTCTCCGTGTCCCCTGCACCAGTGGTGGGTAAGTCATTGTTTAGCCACGCAGTCCAGCATTTGTTATCTAAAATTCAAAAACGAAAACAAATAAATAACTACAACAATAATATTAACAACAACAGTAGTAATATTGATTATGATAATGATAATAACAAATACATGTAATCGTTAAATATTTAATCAATGTTACACCCTCAACCAAGCAATACCTCGGCACATGGGTTTGAGGGAATATTTGTTAACGATTTGGTTTGGATTAATCAAATTATTCCTCCTCATTTACTGAAATGAGGAGGAATAATGAAATGAAATGAAGCGAAGTGATCTCCCTCCTGAAATTCTGATTAATGTAGCAGATATTCTGCATCATTACCAAACCTAATGCCGATAACATAGTGTTTTGCTCCAATTTGCATGATTTCGACAAAAGGTAATAGATTGATTGAATAATTGATAATAACTGTTCGCGAACGAGAGTGTTAATTGCACGTACCAGTTCGTGCTACGGACGGTTGAATCTTCTTAATACCGCTATTGGCCACATCAAAGAAATCGGACCATCCAACGACATTTCCAAGGAGGCTTTCAGCGTGTCGTGCCATGTCTGCAATATCTCCGGCCGCGAGTTCATAACTCCAAACGTTCATCTGACTCATTTTGCCGATAAAAGCTTCATTAGCACTAAAGTTGGCTGCCAAAGCGTCTTGTTCTTGTCCAAGAACAAAAGACCCTCCTGCTGCAATAACCTGGAAAACAAAAAACAAACTAGAAGTTACATCAGGTACAATTATTTTGCCAAGCCTTAGAAATGCTTTGGTTAACGCGTTTAGATGATTTACCATGTTTCCTTAAAAGAATTGTCATTCCCTCCCTTCGTACTAGCCTTCTTAAATATTTTTCATGGTGGAAAACACCAAGGAGATGTAAGAGGTAATCAAAGCCGCACGAATGATAAGAAAGAAAGAGTGATCATAATAAGTACCTCAACAACTCTTTTGCATTATTATGGATTGTTTTATTTGTAAGAGAAGAAGCAAGTAGGCAATATCTGTTGTATCTCTCGGGTCGGTGTAATTACACGACTAACCTGTCCCTTCTGAAAAGGCTCAGCCGGATCACTTTTTCTGACGAGGCTTCCATCCTTGTACACTTTCCATGTCCCCGTTGAACTTTCCCAGGTCATTACCATATGATGCCATTTATCGTCATTTGCTGCTACGTTCGTGGAAGCTTTCTCACCGTTCACCCAAATGTTAAACCCATTATAGTCATGAATGACAAGAGCATTCTCCTCAACTTTCTCTAAAAAAATTCGCAAAATATATGATTTAAGGACGTTGTATGATGGACTTTTTCTTGTTCAGACCTGATTTACTTTAAAAATAAGCGACGTGAAGCTAGGTCCCTAATCGAAGATCGTTTATCATCATCATTATTAAAATCACAACTAGTAGCTAATAGCTGAATTACTCGTGCAATATACATAATTTACAATAATTTAAAAAGCATACAATTACAAAAGATATAAATCGTATAATAATAAAACCTAAATATAAACCTACTTAAATTTACATTTGCTCTTTCGCTGAATAGTGCATTATGAAGGAATTTTTTAACCTTTTGGTTTTGATACCGGGCGTAGCAAACATTCGGTTATTCCTTAATTTGTACTGAGAGGCATTATTGTGCGCAGGTAGCAGGTCGGTTAGTTTAAGCTTGCCATCACTCTCACTGATCTGATTGAACAGATTTGCGCATAATTCTTCCCGCTCATCTAAAGGTGTTTTCAGATTTACATCTTCTATCGCTTTTCTATACGACGCCTCTGATTGATTTGCAGTTGCATTTGCTGTGAAGTTTTGTAAATACTTAACAGGGCGCTTTTCGATTGAGTGTCGTAAAACCACAATCAAAGTAAACGAAACGGCCAATCAAAAGAAAGGAAATACCTTTAAGAACCAATGAGAACTCAAACTAAAACTGACCCAATCGACTTTTTAGTTTTGCATCTGACCAGTTGAGAGAGTGGTGCGAGTTTTTACCAATCACAGAGCGAAGTAAATAAGAACTAAAGGAATTCCAGATTACTTTCGAAATTTAATTAAAAGGTGCTTTGACAAGCTTGATTTTTGTACATTCAACTCAATAACTCTTTTCTGATTAGCCGAAGCGTATAGTGAATTTTCGAAATAAGCGCCTGGGAAGTCATCTATCTGCAGATTATACAATAATCATGTCTAGGACACTCAAGGTCACGGGTAGCCAAATCATGTTTGACCGCAGTGCATGATTTCTAAGGGTAATCATGTCAAGTTCGCGCGCTTTGTGTTACTTGCTAATTTGTATATTTTTTACACGTTTAGAAATAAATTATCTGTTCCACTTACTGTTGTGACCATTTTTTTTTTCGTTCAGTACATGGTAAGATAATTTTTAGATTCGGTTTTTGTGATATTCTGAATAATCAAGGTAGAGGTAGAGGTTATCGGCTGAAGCTTTCGGCTTCGGCTGAGAACCCTGATAACCCTTACCGAGAAAAATATGCTCATGTATCTTCAACTGGTTTCAACTTTCATGCTTTCGTAGAGATCCCTCGATATCACAAAAACTCATCTAATAATTTTTTATGATCAGCAAATAGGAAATATTATCATACCTCCCACTTTGACAGCATATGATAAAGGTGTTCCAGGATTAACCTCACTGTTGGCAACTTTCATCCAGAAAGCGACAGAAAACGCTCTCAATTCCTGACGCATTTCCACGATAGCTAATCCACGACCCAGTTTTCTATCGAACTCCATGTCAAAGTCAGTGGAAATTTCTTGAAAAAAATGCTTTTTGTGAGAAAAATATGCTAATGTATCTTAAACAGGTTTTAACATTTATGCTTTTGTAGAAGTCGCTAGAGCCAAAGTAAAATAACGAATGATTTATGTGAGGTGCAAAGCTAATTCAAGAACTAAAGTAAAGCAAGGTGTTCTTTCGGAGCGACTTAAATATCTGGTTCACCAATTGAGGCATCTTCCTGGTAAGCTATTTTCTACTGAAAACTAATTTATTAGTAAAACATAAGAAAATTAAGTAAAAAAAAAAAAGAAAGCAGGTAATAGCCGTGTCAAAAGAAAGTTTTGAATTCTGGTGGAAACCTTTTCGCAAATTTATAAATGATGAAAAAAAAAACAAAACTCCTTCAATTTTGAAAGCCCTGGCGTTATCCCTTCAAATACCTGTCTCGCAGTTAGATCCCTTGAAGGAAGGTTTGCAGTAACACTTGTAACCATTTGTTTGATCAACACAGTGTCCGTTGTTCTGGCATGGTGAGCTTGAACACTCATTAATATTAATTTCGCATTTTTTGCCTGCAAAACCTGCCAAACAGGTGCATTCTGGACCATAGCTGGTTTCCTTGCAAGTCCCGCCATTCAAGCAAGAGTCTGGAAGACAGCCATTGTCATTCTTTTCGCATAGATTTCCACTGAAGCCTGAGGGGCAGATGCATTGGAATGCGGAGGTCTTGCTCAAACAATATCCACCATTCTTACATGGTGCTGCTTTGCACTCCTTGGATGTGGAAACAAAAGAGTACCAGTCAATATCTGGCTATATTTTTGTTAATGAAATATCCGATGTAACAAAAATAGAAAAATGAATCAAACCGTGATCGACTAGAAAAAAATCTCTTATGGTCCCAGAGACGAATTTGTTAGGGATTGTTCGTCATTGTTGGAAACAATTTATCAAATATTTATCTAACTTTATTAATTCGATGTCAGTGCCTCATTTGCAGTAAAGTGGTCTTGCCTACGTTTTCATGTTCCTTGTTGTAGAGCCAATTAAGTGATTCCCGCCGGCTAAGGATATAAAATACATCATGAAGTAACGCATGCTAGTAGATGGCGTGATTATTTTTCGATGTTAGGATCAACAGAGCGAACTGAATATTCTCCAAAAAAGTGAATTTAAGGCTGGCCTAGCTAAAGGCGACGAGGCACGTTTTTTTTCTTTTGCACAGTATCGACGTTTCGAACCTCCCGAGAAAACAAACCAGCCACTCTCTTATGGGAAAAGGTAGTAAGCCCTCATAATTCTCTTAATTTTCCACAAATTATTTGCTAAATTTGTCATAATATTCTTCAATACGGACGCACACATCTTTGCAGTCACTGGTGTTACCATACTGCTTTCTTTTGTCTTTTTTAACGTACATTGATTTTTGTCTCACAGAATTGTCCTTCGTATCCATCTGGGCAGACACATTCGTGTCCATCTGGGGAATTGACGCACTGTGAACCAGAGGCGCATTTGCTACTGTCACAGCTACTCTGTTTGACGTCACAATGAGCTCCAGTGTAGTCAGGAGGACAAAAACACTCATACCCATTTATCTGTGAGAAAAATTGGTCGATAAGTTGCACATTTAGCATTTAGGTTTGTCACAAAAAGGATCGATGGCCGTCGAATCACCATCGACCTCTGTTATAAACATAATACACATCGCACAGAGAGGTAAGAAGCTGAAGTTAAATTAGTGCACAACCGTTCCAAGAAGTGTAAACTAAAGAAAAATACCCTTAAGACTTTTTTCTTTTTCTTCTTTTTCTTCTCACCGAGGTACAGCTGAGCTATACCTAATATAATTGTTACGTGTTTTTCTTGAGAAGGAAAGGCCTGATCCTAGGATAGCCTTGCACCCTTACATCTCAGAATACGTACTTATTATATGTTACCTGAATCGTCAATATTTATTCATCCACTTTCGCTCTCTATAGGTCATAACTTTAGATACTCGACTTTCGCATGCGTACCTTTATCATCGTTCTTGAACATCCAAACAGAAAGCAATAAGGAAGATGACATGTACTATAGAACATCAAAGGCTTGATCACCTACCTTGTCAACGCAAGAAGATCCTTTAGTACACGGACTTGAGACACATTCATCCTCTTCGATATCGCAATTTGCTCCGGTAAACCCTGGTTTGCAATTGCATTTGTATCCCTGGGCCACTTCAACGCACGTAGCATCGTTGTTGCATGGACTGGACGCACAGCTCAAAATCGCTGTCATGTGAAGTGATGTTAATGAGTTGGATAAATTACATATTTGTTCTAAAATTGATTACGGCTATTCTCTCTAGATAAGTAAGATAAATAACATCTCCTTACAATGCAACAGAAGTATCTTCCACAGCACGAGACACAATTCGGAAATCATAGAAAGTCAATTCTATCAGCAGTCCATAGTGGTTTGCAAGAGATCATGCCACTCACCGATACACTGGCTCAGTGATGAAGCACCTTGACCATAAGTTGATTTGTTGTCACATGATAGGCACTTAGTTTGCTTTCTTTCGGATTGATATGTCCCTTGAGCACATGGTAAGCAGGGTTCAACACCGGTCTGAGAATATGTTCCAGGAGCACACGGCACTGAAATTGATAATGAAACGTGAGTGATTCTTTAAAGGCACCCTGTTGATGGGCGTTGGAAAACAATATTGGATTGCATCTCTCTCTTTAATCTTGAGAAAGCACGCTAGTCTTCGGGATTACTGATTTTGTTTCTAGTTATTCCATTGTAGGAAGATGGTTTCCTGCTCGAAATAACCGCACCACCTTTTTCATCTTGATAGAACCATCATTAGCATATCTTGATCCAGGAAATCAGGAACATCTCAAGAATAACAACAATAACATCTAACGAGGACGTCGGTAAAAACGATAGGAAAAAACTGCGAGAACAACTCACATGAAAATACAACGCCAACAAGAATAATTACAATAACGATGATAAAAACGATAAAAACAATCGTGATGATAATAATTATAATGGAAGTGACGATACCGGATGATGGTGAATTGATAATGACAATGAATACGGATCGTAATGGCAACGATGATGATGATGACAACTGTAAAAATGTTTTGTCTTCACGATTAAAAAATGGACGTATGAATGAGTACAAAACAAGAAGAAAATAAACGACGTAAAGAGAAAAACACGCATACACAAAAAACAAACATAAAAACAAAAAAACACCACCAACAACATCAAAACTAAAACAGAGAATTACTTCCGCATCCACTGATTGAGTTGGTACCAAATCCCAAAGTGACTGATGATCCTGGACAGGCAATGCACGACGTCTGTCGCAGAAGAGACTGGTAAGTATTTAAGGGGCATTGTGCACAGTTGGCGAGGCCAGTAGGTGAGAACTCTCCAGGTTGACAAGCGGCTACAGTAAAAGATAATCAATTTTCTTAAAAGTTTTGAAATAACTACTTGTCTATACGTTACTTGAAGCAAGTGGCCCATGCAGCTGGTACTTATCCCAGTTTCCATGGCAAGAAGCGAGAAGGAGTATTACAAAATGTGATCTTTTTCGTGACATTTTAGATTGAACTCTGTAAAGGAGTTTTTTTATACTCACCTAAACATTGAGAGATATTTTTACTCCCAACAGCAAGGGTATAAGTCTTCGTAGGACAAACCCTGCATTCGCCCACCTGACCAGTGTATGTGTTGTATGTGTCAAGTGGACAATCTGAGCAGTTTTTAAAGTTAACATCATAGTATGTGCCAGACGGACAGTTTTCTAGGAGAAAGACAACCACATATATTTAGATTAGTGATCTTGTCTCATGCAGTGCAATATCTGAGTAATGCCGTCGGAGCGATGCTAAAATATTAAGAAGTGGAACTCCCCCCTTCCTCTCCCTTCCTTCCTATGCACTGCTCTCGTGCCGATATCGACCGGCAAACAGAACATTTAGCACCAAAAAAGAGTTATGTCATGAAGATTATTCAGATTCGCCTCTTTTCACGAAGATGGGTTTCAGGGTTTGTTTGCTTCTGGATCGATAAAGTTTAAAAAAAGGAAAAGAGAAAGAGTGAAAACTGTGAATAATCTGTGAAGAAGTACACAGATTATAAACTACTTACGACATTTTTCTTTGTGGAGGAAGCCTTGATTGAGACCAAACACGCCTCCGTCGACGCAGACTCCAGTTGTGGGGGTCTCCGTCACAGTCTTCAACGTCATTGTCTGGGAATTAACCTGAATTGTCTTCATTGAATCAGCATTCTTCGCATTTGTTACATTACCCTCCAAATCGGACTTGGCCTTGTCGAAATCGTTGTTCTGCGTAACAATCTCAACATCGAGTTCGATGGTTAGGACGGCCTAAAACAATGACGAGATAAGTTAGACACTTAAACCAATTCGGTAAGAAATTCCATGATGTAAAAACAGATCGTAGAAGCACTCAAATCAATGAACACATAGTAGGAAATGTTTGCATTGAGTTGATCGACTTTAAATTGTTGAACAGTCGCTTCTGCAAAGCTTCCATACCATGGCCAGAGCTTCCCTGTTAAAATCTCCACAGGACACTTAAACTCCGAAAAAAAAAAAAACTCATAGGCACGAAAATAAATGGCGATGCGTATTATGTATGGTATTATCATATTGTAAGTTTAAGTGGTTCGAACTGGCGGTAAAGAAATAATTTGCTTACTTGTGCATTTCTTCGCTTTCTCTTCTGAACCTTTCCACAAGTAATTTTGATATTTTCCAAGGTGCATATTTGTTCCCTTTGACAGTAGTTAGGGTCACCTGGAGCGAACACTTCATTAAATCCTTTTATGAAATTTTCTTTAGCTTGTTGCTGTACCGCAGGATCTGAGCAGTCCCCGACAAAGTATTGCCACTCCATGCCTTTGCGTGCAGCACCTGGAACATACTCCTCTGAAAAATAAAATAACCGTTTTCAGTCTGAGGGTTTTTACAAGAAAAAATTGTGAACTTGTGAATGCCTTCCTGAATCTCTTTTTGTGTAAATATTTAAAAGAATGAGAATGACTTCATCTAAATTTGCATCTTCTAATCACCCCTTTGTTGATGTTTGTATTAAGTTCTTCAACTTACAGGAGTTTTTGGTCAATTCACTGCGTGTTATGTAACTTTTGTATGGCAGCCGTCTACAGTTACTGAGCTTTGTCCTTAAAAGCAAGTTCAATTCGTTGGGGTTCTCTGGGTTAGGTTTTGCGACACTCAAGTGCTCAGTTGTGGTGGTTTTTTGCACCAATTTATTTTTTATTTTACCGTTCCTTTTCACATTCGTTCCGTAGTTCGTTTAGTTCCGTTTCTTGCTGCGTTATGTGTTCCTTAGTTGGTTTTTTGATTTTCCTATTTGGTTTGAAATAGAATGCATCTGCTGTCATCATGGTGGGCTTTCGCCCATGGCGGTTATAAGAGCAAAGATTCAATGAAACGAGTATAATTTTTAAGGATTGAACTTTCACCTCATCTGTTTCGCATTTGTTAATTTACATAGTTTTCATTAAATTATCTGATTGTCACTTTTGGTGACTACCGCGTGCATGCTCTTTAATTGTTCGCTGCCCGTGATTTTTCAAATGAGTTTCGGCGTAAACTGAAGAATTTTTTTCACAAATAATGTCAGTCGACTTACCCGTGCAGTCAGGCCACGGCATTTCCAAGGATACAGTTGGACGGGAATCCCAGATAAACCAAGTGCCACTACTTTGACAGATGTAGAAAACAGCCGGGATTCGGGCAAATTCTTTTGTGCTGCTACATTGGGGTGTGCACGCTTCTCCTCCAAAGATATCAGACTGAGCACAGGAAATTAGGCCATTGATTGGTGGATCGTAGGGCTTGCATTTCACAGCTACGAACAAGAGAAGATGTAGTTATTTCAAAATTTAATGCGATGTTCTTTGAGGAGAGTCTCAAGATGCGAAAAGTATTGAAAAGTTTGAAAAGATTAAGATCGAATGTTATTTGCTTTAACGACATGAACTTTTTATGATAGCTACTCCAAATTTTTAAATTTAGTGGCAGTTTGGAGGGTTTGGATTCCTGCTGGTTTGTATTGCATTTATTTAGCTTTTATTTGCGAAGGCTGAATCCGCCTCCGTTTGCTTTCAACTTCGTGTATCTTAAGCTGTAAGGATGGCAACTCCAACAAAAACGTCGATTGAAAAATTAATTTTTATCTTCTCAAGTAATTTGCAAATGACTAGATCATATGATTTCTTCTACAGCAGGGATAATAACTTCTCACCGGCCGAGTACCCTAAACCACCCCCCCCCCCCTCCCCATTCCTCATTAACAATTTCCTTAGGTTTTACTTACACTTTAACGATCACTGTCTTGCATTAATTATTTGAAAGTGGACCTGTTATATGCATAATCATGCAAAGGAATCGCTGCTACAACTGATGAAGGGCTATCGCTTGAAACGTCAACTATAAAACTCTTTACGGTGGCCAATTCACATTATCAATTCAGTGATAATATTAAATTACCCTGTTATTCTCTCCCACTGACGCAGTACCACAGTTTCTCTAGAAATTTACCCCCTTTATCCATATGTTTCGAGAAAGGACATGAATTACGCTCGACAATATCGAGAGGTAATCTGGGTATCCGGTAATCAATTAATTTTCATTATTAAATAAATGAATAAGTAAATAAATAAATTCATCAAAACCCGCGAAGTCTCTTTAATATGGTATGGTTTCCTAAGATTTCCCTGAAATTCTGAGGTCAGGGAACCGTGACCTGAAAAGTACCTTCAATACCTTCCGGGATTATCCTAGGCACTCTCACGCTTGTTTTCTGACAATCTTTCTCGAAGCGGTATAAAAGCTGTACACAAAACAAAATTCAAACTTACAGGAAATGACAATAATAAACGTGCACGATCCTTTATTGTTATTTTGGTCTGTTGCCGTGTACGTGATCGGATGAGAACCGGTTCTAAAATCCGAGCCATTGATGGACTCTGTAAAGATGGTGACGGCCTGTCCGGAATTGTCTCGGTATGTCGGTGGTGGCCAATAGACCTTTATAGCTGGTGTGTCACTCTTCTTTTTGACCTCCATGTTTTGCGGGCAATAGATTGCAGGAGGCTCGTTATCTAAGTTAGAAAAAGTTGATGAATAGATGAATAAAATAATTGAAAAAGTCAATCAACAAATAAAGAAATGAATGAAGACGTTAATAAACAATTGCATTGATCAATAACTAGCCAAATACAAACATTTGGAAATGAATGAACGGAAGATGAATAACGAGGTAAAAAATTTGTGGAACATCAAGACTGGTGATACTTGGAATAAGGGATCAAAAATTTGTGGAACATCAACATGAGACGCACCAAGCGTCATCAGAATATGTATGGATATATACACAGAGGAAATGAGAATTCTCGTTTGATGGTTGTTGATGACTAACCCAAGACAGTTACTGTGTAGACGCATGACTGGGTTAGGCCGGCTTTGTCCGTTGCAGTATATGTAATGCGAGTGGTGCCAATGGGAAAGTCGTACGGGGATATGATGTCAGGCGATCTAGTAACTGTTGGAGCAGCATTCGGATCGTGCAACTCTGCATTATCACTGACAACAGGATCACTCCAGGTTACGCTCCGTGTCGCCCGCTCGGGGTCCGTGCCGTTATTCACGTCGGGTGGACAGGTGATGGATGGTGGTTGCAGATCTATAATTGAAACAATATGCAATGGCAGCTACGTTAGGACTTGAAAGGCTGCTAAACTGTCAAACAAAAATGGGCGAGAATTGAAATCATCAACTGGACAAGAACAAATGAACAACGATTGAGGATAAGAAGGCCAAATACTAGACATACGCAAAGCATGAGACACATCCGATGAAGGCGATGTTTTGCAGCATAGCAAAAAGCACGGTAAGTTATAACAATGATTTATTTAAATTCATATATTTGCACTGCGGTGGAGAGATGAAATTAAGAGATCCTCGCAGCTAAGAACACTACTGAAACGAGTAGTTGGAAATAGGACCTGAAAAAAATTCAGGCCCGTACGGGATTTGAACCCATGACAGTTGGCTTGTTAGCTCAATTGGTAGAGCGCTGCACCGGTATCGCAGAGGTCATGGGTTCAAATCCCGTACGGGCCTGAATTTTTTTTCAGGTCCTATTTACAACTACTCGTTTCAGTAGTGTTCTTAGCTGCGAGGATCTCTTAATTTCATCAATGATTTATTTTGTAGAAGCAAAGCCTACAATTTATTTGAAAACTTGCGTTAGTTTCTTTTAAAAGAGAGCATCAACTGTAGAACTAAAGTAGCATGGATAATAGCTACATTACCCTCAACAACCCCTTTCGTACCTTACTCGTCCCATACCAGATATACATAAGATCCAAAATACCTTCACAAATGGGGAAAGTTCCAACCCAATTACCATCTGACCCACATTGCAAGTTGCTGTCTCCCTTTATGGTGTAGCCGGAAACACACGCCATGGTACATCCTCGTTGATAAGGCTGTGGTGTCGTTACGCAATCCACGGGTTCAATGGTACCAAAAGCTAACTGACGAAGAGCTGGGCACTTACGAGCTTCACATTTGATGAAAAAAAAAAAAATTAAACATGTGTTTAATGTAATTTTGTAGCCAATCCTCACATCCCAACCGTGCTATGAAAAAAATCTCTGAGACCTATTGATCGACTTCCATCCAAATCTCAGCGAATAAGACGAAGATAGAAATCAATCTTGGGGTGTTAAGAAAGACTCAGGGTATGTGGCATCCAGGAGCTAATATTTACGTGGCGCTAACGACGTCGTAATAACGCACGCGTCCGTTACTTTCTGTTACTTTCACAGGGTTTGACTTGATTTACTATGTGACTGCACATATGCAGCCTTTATACTTCTCAGTCACCCTTCCTAACATATCTCTGCCTGGTTTGCTCCTATTTCCACTTCCTCGGGTGGAGATTAATTTGACAAACCTTCACAAGACGTTGCGCTTCCAGACCATTGGGAATCAGCCTGACAGGTTCTAGTTGCGCTTCCTTTGCGTTCATGCCCCTCATCGCAACTGAAAGTACAAGTATCTCCGTATTCATATCCTTTGCCAGAGCATGTTTTGGTACCGTGGTTTAGTGTTGGCAAAACTGCGCAAGTGATAACTGGAAAGAAATAGAAAGGAAAAATAAAACAAGTCAGTAACGTTGCTTGCTTATTTTAGTGAATGAATCACGTGAGTTTATAAGAGTCAAGAGTCCACTGACCTTCACACTGCACTGCTGTTCCACTCCATTCTTTATTACTCTGACATCTTCGTAAGCTCGACCCAACAAGATTGTACCCAGAATCGCACTGGAATTCACACACACTGTTATAAACTACGTCGCATGCTGCAAGGAAACCGCCATTCGGAGGTGCTAGGAGCTCCTCGCACTTAACGGCTAAAATAGACAGAAATAGAAGTATTAGGAGCTCTAATACTTTGCGGAAATGATACTCCTTGAACTCCTTCATAGTAAACTATTTCTCCGGTGAGTAGGCAACAGAGAGCTTTAAAAGGTCTGCTTATCTTGCAGAGACTGATAAAAAGAAATATTGCGTCCGTAAGTTATGGAAAATAGAGCTCCATCTATTATGGAAAATGATACTGAAAGGGGTGAACATTCAATAAGACCCTGTCCCCCCTTACGGATGGATTTCCTACCATTTCTCAGTATTCTTCGCTGCCCCCCACCCCTCCCCTTTAGCCACTGTCAGAACCAAGTTGTCTCACACGGGTTACAAAGAAGCACACAAGCCGATAAATTATGGTGTTAAGATGCGTAGAACTTATTCAGTGAAGCTCAAAACAGAATAGTAACAACAGGATACTCGCAGTTGAATGAGCTTTGGGTTCGAAAAGTTTCCAGTTTTCCTTTCGTCCACGTTTCCTTTTAAATAATTCTAAGCAGGTTTTACTTTGCTTTCGCTTGCTTTGCAAGACAGCAGTTTTCCTTTGAAATTCAGCGCGGAAAATTGGAGCACGGGGTACAGAACTGATCCCCTCGCGCGTGCCCGACGTTTGACCGCTGTGTTCTATTAGGCACACTTTTGTGTAGTGATCAGATCACAAATCTGTGCTTTTTTTTTAAGGCTAAGACATGTTCGTTCCTTTTTCAATGAATTATCGTTACCTGTACAAGCGATGTCTCTCGAGGGGTCGCCTTCGTACCCATCGTGACATTTGCATTGACTTTTCAGTATGCTTCCTTCTGCATCTGTCGTAGAATGTTCTGGACACCCAATACACTCACTCGGAGTAGCCCACTGTTTGTAAGTTCCACGTAGACAAGCTGAAAAGAAGACCACTCATTTTCAGAAAAAAATGCTTTTATTAATTCATGCTTGTTTGCTTTGGAACAAGTAACATTTCATGCTGAAATAATATTTTGAAGAAGATGCCTTTCATACCAGTTTGTTAGAAGAAGGAAAACAATCTCACAATTTTAACAATCAATACTAGATGGAGTGAATTTTGGATTTCTTTTTCTTCGCGTTTGGTTATGTACCAATCAATTACTAGACAAATTTGAACACTGCCTTTTGTGTGATGCTTATCATGATTACTGTAGAACTGAATAAGTTAATCGTTCTTTGCGGTTCATTAGAGACTTAATTCAACCATCAGTTTTGTGAGATATTATTATTATTATTATTATTATCCATAATGGAGAAGGAGAGTAGTCAGAAGATCTGTTTAAAGTCAGGCATTTCTACCAATCAAAAAAAAAAAAAGGAAAAAAAAAAAACAACAAAAATTGGGGAGGCGACTACTGGGAACCTAACTCAATTGTTGAAAAAACAATAAAATAAGAACTATGGGGAATCAGTTGTAACAGCGAGGACGCATAAAAACCAAATTATCAAAGTTTGATAAGGTCGAACGATCTAGCTCAAAACAGGAAATACATAAGTCCAAAGAAAAAACGATAACAACAAATACAGCAGTAACAATAACATTATCAATAAAACGACGATGATAATGATAATGATCGTCCTCAAGAGAATAAATTAAGAGGAACTTACGAGAGCAGCCTTCGCCATTTGCAAGGCCCGCACCACGATATCCTTGTCTGCAGACGCACTGGTACTCTGCACTGACTGTACCGCAAGCGCAGAAAGCTTTGAGATCACAGCCGCCAGAGGTGCATTTACTGGAGTCTACTTCCATAAACGTTTTGTCGTGAGCGTCTGTTTCAGGAAAAAAATGATGAGATGAATGTATAAAATGTTTTATCTTGCCATCTTGTAGGGTAATTATCATCATACACATTCATAGATACTGTCAGGAATTTATTAGTATAGATGATAACATGATTTCGTGTGCAGTTTGCATGGTGTTCATAAGTACGAGTAAATTTTCCAAAGACGGCAAAATTGCAGTCTAAAAATTTACAATTGTTGATTACATCAAATTGCAAGAGAAATAATTATATTACTTGTCAATAATTTACAATAAAAAAATCACAGAAAGGAAAACAGACAAAACTTTGAGAGCGAGCGCGTGCTATTTGTAATTTGCACTTGCATTACAACTTTGCACCCGTGTTACATGAGAATGCAGTTGTTTTCAGCCAATCAGAAGCGCGTATTTTATTATTTTTTTTCATGTACGTTATTACCTATGTAATGGACTGATCCTGTCATCCTGTTATTTTCAGTTTCCCGGGACACTCTCGAACGATTAAAACAAACTGTGATGGCTATTTTTATGGCAGTCATTTTGGGCGCATTTCTCTTGAAAACAAATATAGTTTTTAAGGTCCTATACGGCCGGAAAATATTGATCGTATCACTGGGAAATCCAATTACCTGCCAAAAATAATATTCGCACAATAAACAGCTTCTAAATATTTCGAAGCCCTCGCTAAAATACATTTTAAAAGTGAATCCTAACAAGGCGGATACAAAACAAATTGTATAAACTTAATTAATGAAATTGTTCTTAGAGAAATTTAGGATAGATGAGTAAAAGTGAATTGTAGTCTTAAGGAACAAGAATGTAATGGGTAATTCATACTAAATTGTAGCTAAGCCAGGTTTCTTAATAAATAATACAAAAAAAAGATAAAAGTTGAGTAATAGTATAGAATTTAGCTTTCCAAATAAGGATAATAATATGTTGGGGAGTTGTTGCCATTTATATCATTGTCGTTCACTTTGACGTGCACTGATTAGAAAGGAAACTAGAACAATTTTGTGGAATTGTCGGATTTCCTTACAATTGGGCAAAAACATTTCATGGACGACAAAGAAGCAGTTAAAGCTGAGGATTTGTTTCATTCGAAATCCCGCTTTTTAGGAGGCTTCCAAACACAGCCCGTTCGCGACATGTTTTTAAGTTCTTCAGTCTGGAACTAGAGAGAATACCGTACAGTTCTTTTTCAATTACTTGATTTTTCTTAGGAAATTGGGCGCAAAGGAAAGAGGACATTACTTCATTTTAAAAAACCTTTTCTTAAAAGAGAAATTAGCATTCAGTCCTTTAGTTTTTGTTCCTCGTTCTTTAAATTCGGATTTGTCTTGAAAAAATATTTAAGTGAAAAAAAAAAGAAAAATCGAGGGACTGACAACAATCTTTACCTCCTCTAATGAACATTGCAAGTTCTCGAAACTTCGTGAAGGTGCTGAAGCCAAGGACAAGGTCATTTGAGGTTGCCAACTGTTGTAACTGTCCCTGATTGTACCCATCCACTCCTACGGCGATTACGTCCGTCGTGTAGGAGCTTTTAAGTCTGTTCGCGTTATCTACCGGACTCCCTCTATTCCACCATCCGTCTGTTATCAGGATTGCTACGGTGTGTACCCCACTCCTCCGTTGTGTGTGATCCATGGCTAGTTGAAGGACATCTATACTTCTCTGGAAGGCGTCCTTCATGTTGGTGGCCCATCCATAACGATGCTTAACGTTGTACTGAAACCAAGGGTGAAACTCGCACTTTTGATGCGATTTTGATAACGGACTAATGTCGATGTAGTTAATATCCGTCTTAACTTCGGCACCAAATGTGATAACGGCAACTCGCGTCGAATAAGGGGCCACACTGAACTCATTGAGAAGATTTTCGACAAAAATCTTCTCCGATTGGAAGCCATAGTCACTCACACTACCGGAGACATCCATAAGGAAAATGATGTCAGACTGGCTGTTGTTGTACTTCGACTTAAAATCTGTTAGAATTCTTGCTTGGTCATCTAGAAGCCCGGCATCTACCTTGGAGCTGCAGAAAAAAGCGATCAGTGAAAGAAGGATAGAACAGTCCTTCATGATTTGTTTTTGATCGCTAAGACAGATAATTTTTGTTTTAGCAAAAGGAGTAGTTGAAGTATGCTTCTTTGCCTCTTTCATAAAACTCCAACCACTTAATTAATTCATTCAAATGTCAGGTTTACTCAGCTGTGAGATCCATAATTCCAAACAATATCTGTGATTTGGGACATTTTCTCACGCTCATGAAACAGCTGCGTTCCAAACATTTTCTCAGCCCTATCACGATTAATAAAGTAGTATTTCTTTCTGCATTTTCTTTTTTTCTCCTTTCACTTTTCCTCCCCTTGATTCTTTCAGCGGAATTAAGTGTTAATTAAGAAATTTATGTAATAGCCACGTCGTGAGTTTCAAAATTTTTTTTTTTTTTGGTCGGGAACAATGCTTATTAGCAGACATTATTATTTAGTGTCAATGTCTCAGTGTTATCTTTTTTTATCCTTGTTCGTTTTGGTTTTATTTCCCTAAATTAAGCTTTCCTTATTTCCCGAAATGACGACGCAGTAAGAAACGTACTTTAAAACTGCAATCTTGCAGGAATTAGTTAGAATATGAAAATGACACACCGTGAAGATAAAAGCTAGATTGCGTACTAAAAGTGTCACTTTTCTTAATGAGTTTGTATAGCTGCTTGCCTGGGTCATTAACAATCGTAAAAGAAAATCATCATTTGCTTTGCGAAACTGTTACTTTGAAGAAAGATTGCTAAATCTAAATTCAACCTTTCTGTTCAGCTTAGGATCGAATTTATTTACAGCATACTGAACAGTTGAAAAGTCTTGATTAACAATCTGAAGTACTTGGGCAATACATCATTCTTAGTCAACTTACTGTTGCAGTTTTTTTTACAGACCTAGGAACGTGACTGTGGCCGAATTATCTTGCTTAATGTTTCGTAGCAAGTATCACTCAAAATGAAATTTGATTGTTTTTGTCAGGAAAATTTCATTAGAATCTAATAATGGAATTGATAACCCCCTAGTTTTTTTTTATTATTAAAAATTAAGAATTAGATATCCTTTTCAGACTTCGCTGAAGTAATTTAGCCCATTTTCTTAAATTGTTCCTTATAGAAACATGTAAGGCTGTTTGTGAATAACAGATATTCAAATAAATCTGTTCGAGTACATTTCTTTCAGCGGTTGTTTAAGAAAATGTAGCAGTTGTAAAAAGGAAGACCGAGAAATCTTGATATGTAACTGCAATTTATAGAAAAGCGGAAAAATTCTAATAAGAAAAAAATAATAATAATAAGAGCTAATAACTGGAAATGTTGAATGTTAAAAAGAAGTCATAATAACCATGGAGATGAAGGAACAATACAGAAAGAAAATGAGATTAAAGATATTTCCCTCGTTGCATGACGCGGCTTTCTGTAACGAATGCACCCCACGTACAATACGATGATGACGTAGAGAATTATAATCTTGAACGTTATCGTTGATGCTAAAGAAACTACCGAAAGTAGATAGATACTTCTTTGTTTGTAAACTCTTACAATTTATTCGCCATCAAAGACGCAATTAGATTTTAGATGCGCGTCATGATTGATCCCAAAAGCAACACAATTAAAAGTAGCATTTTTGCGACGTACGCGTGAACGTTAAGTAATTTTTATTCACTGACAAAGTGCTTAAAAAAAGGCTCGTCAACTGTTTTAAAGGAACTGTTCTGAAATAACCTCTGCTTTAGAAAAAATGAAAGAGATCCCCTATATTGAAAACTGCACGAAGTTAGTTTCGCTCTGTTAAATGGAACTTAGAAAAAGTTTCACAGCGATATTACTCTTGTCATTTTACTAATAGAAAGTAGTACAGATGAATATGAATTGTTTTTATTACCGAGAATTTTGTCTCAAGTTGACACGATCAGCAAGGCGTCGGAGGATTTTGTCCTATAACACTTTTGTTTCCGATATCAATAGCGTTTGGGTCCCAGTTCTTACGAAAGAGGACCGGTTAGTATGAGTAGCATGAGTTTAAGTTTAGCGGCCGTTCATCGTGTGGGTCGGTTTGGTTCGTACATGCTCTATCTAGTTTTTGGTAACAACTGATGCATTGTGGATTGCTTCACATTTGTTGGAACAATGTTAGAGTGTATATTGGTTCAATCCAGATACCGATACGTTGCTATCGTTGCTTTCGCTGTTTCATCAATCCTTGGAATAGTTATTGTTTTGGTCCCTTGTCGATTTTTTTAAGCTTGAGAGGAGTTACACGGATGTTTTTATTTGCAGGTTCCGAAGGTCGAATTTCTTTCTACAACAAGATAGATGGCAGAGAACCATCTATCTAAAATGATTTTACGGACGCAAGGTCACCGAGGAAGACAAGACGTAGTTTCAGCTGCACATGCTGATTAAAAATTACATCGATTTTAAGTCTCTCACCTGAGTGAAACTCAACCTAGATAGGCACTTTTTCGACGCGTAAATCGAAATAAACTGTCCCCATCGTTCTCGGGGATACCTAGATTATGACTCTTTTATCTTATGTGCTTTTCGGTGTAGGTTGGTAGCGCATGACATCAATCGTGAATCTGCACTATGCATTATGCATTATATGTGTACGTAACACCTAATACTGGTCATTTACCCTTTGCGGTGGCCAATTTACATTTTCAACTCAGTTGTTAACACTGAAATTACATGTATACTCTCCCACCGACGCAGCACCTCAGTTCCTTTAGAAACCTACCCCCTTTATCAGAGGAGCAGTTTGTTTTCAATTCCTATGGGACTCATGGGTAGAACAAAGCAAGTCTTTCCGGCTTTTTGTTTTGTTTGGGTTTTTCTTGATCGGTGTTTTCTTTGTTTTCTTCGAACGGCAAAAAAATTATTGATTATTCTGTTTTATGTCCTTGAAAATAACGACAAATGAACATACGAAAAAACGAAAAAAATAAAACAACAATAACAACAACAAACTAATAAAATGTTTGAGGCGAAACAAACTTTCTTTGAAAATATTTTTGAAATGATTTAGTGACAGAATTTGCCACAAGAATGATGTCTTTAACGGAACAGCATCCAGAACTGCGCGAAATCAACAATACAGATTCATTGCCTCACATTCATGTGTGCAGGAGGACAGCGACACCTTTTTAATTTTTCCGCAATACCTGTGTTGTGGGAATCTAGCTTTTAGCGATTGGACAGCATGGCATTTCTAGTATTACTGGCAAATGCCCTCCTTTGAGGTTCCTGTAAGGAATTAGAATTCCATTGTTGTTCAAGGTCTGTCAAGCTGAGTAACATGGCGCTTATCGAGAGATCTCTTGTTCCTCTCTCAGTTAAAACAGTTGCAATTAAAGCTCATGTTTTGTTTTTTTTTGTGTCATTTTTCTTTTGTTTTTGTTTTAATCTAACTTGCTTTAAATTTTAATCTTTCGAGATATCAGTTTTTTTTAATTTCTAAATTGTAAAATGCATGATTTAAGGTAAGGTCATAAGTGAGTGTGTACATAAAAAAATAAATAAACAAAAATGTATATATAAATATACACAATTATTTTTTAAACCTAGAACTCTTTAGTTGTTTCAAAATGTGTACGTCAAGCTAGGGACACATTTTTCTGGAAGTGTGACTAAATTAAATAGTTTGGAATCGATAAAGTCAGCTGAAGTGCATACTGCGTCAAAATTGAATTTTTATTCATTTAAGAAAACATCACCCAATATGTCAATTTTAGGAAAGCAATCTATTCTATCCGCGAGATAACTCGGTTTTTGAGTTAAAAAAAAGTGAACAAAAATTTATATCAGTCATGTATTCCTTTCTAATGTGATACCAGAAAGCGCAAGAAGAGTAGCTTGAGTTATTGAAACTGATATTTTGCTCTCCTCACGTATTTGAGTTTGGTTAATTTTTTATAATCACCCGCTTAAAACTGTTTTTGCAATCATGTGGCAATAATTAAACAACCTATTGAAACCACTACCACTAGATATTAGCCTTTGCAATATGGATTACGCTTGAGACTTTTGGCTTAGTCATAGGGGAATGTGAAAGTGTTTATCGTTAACGTTTGAAAATTTTGTCGGTGACTAGTCCACTGTAATTACTTTTATCAAGGTAGATAAGCAGATCGAGGGGTTTTCAAGGCGCTTTCTCGATCTTATCTCTGCTATTTCGCTAGCTAAGTAATTAAAATTTTATTCAGTGGCGCCCTTATGAACAAATAGAACCGAAATAAATTAAATTTGGCATGAGGTATAAAATGAGTCCATTAAACTACTCTGCTAATTATAACGCAGTGCTATGATATTAGAGAATTAATCGGGCTGCAAAAAGAAAAGGATGGTTATTAAGACACGGAAACTTTTCTAATTCACGAAAATTCAGTTCTGCTGAATGATACCTTGCAAAAATGTAATTAAATTTTTATAGGATCCGTTTAATTAGTTTTTTCGTTGCTTTGAATTATTCATGTAAATGATAGGATTAACCAGTTGAAGGTGTCGAAATCGTATTAAATGATCTAAACGAAGTAAATAATTATCTCAAAGAGATAGATGCATCTGCACTGTCAGAACTAGGCAGCTAGAAGTGACACACCACTGTTTTGAAATACTTCTTGCATTCTGATCTTGGTGGAAGGGAAGGTCGTTACGTCCTTGCTTATGTATCTAAGCAAATTATACACTTAGTTTCTCGAGATTGACGCCTTTCGTCCTGTTCGTGAGTAATTCCTTGTGAGTTCCATTCCAAAACGAACTTATTCGTCACTAAATAATACTGTGACAGATATAAAAAGCTTGAAGTGTCGTTTCAAAGGACCTGCGTGTAAATATCAGGTGAGAGTAGCGATTTTATAACTCAACATTACAAACTTAACATTCACGTCGACGCAAAGGATTTGCCACAGAATTACAGATTTGAAATTGCTGCTTTTCATACATGGCACCAGGAAACAGCCCGCGCGTTATACTGTAAATATGATTTTGTTTAGTCGAATCACTTATGCAATTAATAGTAATCACGAAGACTTGGGACATAATGTCTATAGGCAATGCAGTGTATACTCTTAAATATAACGGTACGTTTTTGTCTTTTTGCTGTAGCTCTTGAAAACCAAGCCTAGTAGATTATAAGCTAAATGATGATGTAAAACCACCTTGAATATAACCAGTTGCACCTGCCAAATATCAGTCTTTTTTAATTGTAAAACCATCTCATTTTTTCCACAAGCTTCCAAAAATCAAGTAGCTAGGACACAGAATTGCTTTAATGTCTCAATAAAAAGCAGTCCTTTTTAAAACCTCATTTGAGAACTGAATAATAATGGCAAATCAACAAGGTCTCACTACGGGAGAAAAGTTTTTGTCTTCACATGGACAACTAAAACAACAGCTTATTTCCCTTGAAGTCTTCAATAAAACAAAACGTTGTAATTATCTTCACAATTATCATTATAAGAAGTTTATTTTTGCAGAAAAATATGCATAGAGGGTTACAGCTATGAAATAAAGAAGCTCAAAAACAGCATATTTGATTTTAAGAAATATTTCAGTGAGTGGGTTGTGTAAAGTTTTCACGATAGACCGCTAGACCATGCGTAATGTGACAAGTTCTCTATTTGGAGCTTTCTCATTACATCAAGTTGTTATTAAGATAAACAAATCTATATTTTTTTACTATAATTTCAGGTCGTTGTTAGATCAAGGAAAGAGGCTTTGCCATGGCGCTATTCCTTTTTCTCTCAGCTCTCCTGTTGCTTTGCGAATCTTCGCATGAGACAAGTGCTCATGAATGTAAGACTGGGGCAGAATATTCCGTCAAGGGCATGATGTTGAAGAGTCACATTTACAAAACGATGAGCGTATCTCTCGGTCATGAGTGCTTAAAGGCCTGTTACAGAGACGTCGCGTGTCAAAGTTTCAATTACGTTCTCTCCCAATCCACCTGTGAGTTCAGCAATAGGATCCAAGAGGCCAGACCTGAGGATTTTGTACCGGATTCCAACAGATACTATTTTAAACGAGATAGAGAACGAGGTAAATGTACAGTTCTAAAGGAAAATGTTGAAGTTTAAGCAGAAAAAAAGGTTTATCTTTTTACGTTTCTTTCCTCAGTCCCCTTGGGCTCCATTCCAGAGTTGCCCGCTGAATCATGTAAAGAAATCAAGGCAAGTGAAGGTGGAAAGGCGTTTAGCGGGAAATATTGGCTTAATTCTGTTGTAAAAGATAAATCTGTACTTGCCTACTGCGACATGGACACAGAAGGTAACTACTTAACGGATACTTTTTTTGCACTATTCGTGCGAGTGACCTTTTCTATAGGTGGCAAACACAGTAAATCCTCAACAGTTCCATTGAATCCCCATAAACTTTAGCAGCATCCTTTTTATCCTTGGAACTTTAAGACAGATTTAGCTAGAAATTAGTTCTGGGATGATTGTGGGAAGTCATTTAGTAAGTAGAAAGGAATGACTAACTGATAGTAGTAGTCATTCTTCTGAAAGCTGATTCTTCATGTTTTTTCGATTTTCCTCTACTGAATATAGATGCAGACGAGTGCAGTGCTTCAGTCCCTATCTGTGCCGTCAATGCTTCATGTCAGAATCTTCAAGGCTCGTACAGTTGTTCTTGTAACCTTGGTTTCAGTGGAGATGGAAAAGTCTGTACTTGTAAGGATATAACGTAATTTGACAAGGGCTAGGGGGGCTATCCGTGAAGGAGAGTGTTATGAGCTTCTAAGCGCCTCATAAAAATAACTATATCAGTGGCTTGTAGTACTTGTTACATGAGGTCAGAGTTCTTCATCACTTCTGGAGAAATTGTTCAGACTATTGAAAGAGTTACGGTTAAAACTATAGAGATGGTGGTTTCTGCAGTGAAGTGATCAATAGAAAAAGTAAATATCTAAGTTGAAGTTTACGGGGCTGTTCACTCTAAGTCGTGCTATAGCCCTAATGATGGCATGCCTCATAATAAATACTTAATGTTTGAATAGACATATAGATATACTTGTAAATAAACAACTCTTAGAGATGTATATATTCTATAAAATACTCTCCAGAACCATTAACAGAAATGACACTCACTGAACGAATCATAGGGATATCAGGGATACACCCACCCACTCGTTTAAGATAATGGTTTTTCCTTCTGTGGATATGCATGATTATTTGATAGATGTGGATGAGTGTGCAAGCAACCCTTGCACTAATGGTGGGACATGCGTAGATGGTATCAATGGCTACACCTGTACCTGCCCACCAAATTATCGAGGGAATCGATGTGAAAAAGGTCAGTATCTATTTCAGTGATAATTAAATGTAACAGTTGTTACACGTATGAAGAAAAATGAAGAAAAGATCAGAAACAAAAGGGATAATAATATTGGTGATAATCAAAACTATAACGAAATTCTCGATTAATTATCACCAGTCCGATCTGAGCTTTAATAGGACAGTGTACGCGTCATGCTTGTGATTGGAAGTGTAATGGGACAGTTAAAGGGACAGTTAACAGGTCATGCCTATGTAAGTGGACAGAACGCGTCATGTGCGCGCGCTTTTGTCTCGCATTACACCTAGTTTACAGTTTTTTTCTCTTTTATGAAACAGTTGGCTGTGCTTTGACTTTAAAGAGTGTTGGCAATCCTGTTACTCAACACAATCGATCTCCCACTCAAGGAGCCTGGATGAAAGACCCTCTGGGTGTCATGGGTAACGACACAATATTCGTCATGCAAAGTTATTCCTCAAACGACAACGTTGAGGAATTTGAAAACCTCAACAAGTTCAAAGCAGGAGTGGTCCGCAAGACTTACACTCTGCCCTTCAAATGGGATGGAACAGGGGCAGTGGTGTATGGAAATCACCTCTATTACAATAGGTTTTTCCTACCTTCATTACTTTTTCGTTTTCAGTTATTTATTTATTCTTGTTGAGAATTTAAAATGTTAAAGTTCAAAGTCAAAACAAATAGGAGACGAATTCGTTGGCGCCCACTCTCCTTGATTGACTTTTCTTCCCTTGATCACTGGGCAATTGAAAAAAGAGAATTTTTTGGTTCATTTGATTGCTAAATTACTGGCAACCCACCACCGTGAATATTTAGTGCAAGATGTTTCGGCTTATTTTCTAATCTATTTCTGGAAACTTTCCTCATTCTATTGCAGGGAAAATAGCCAGTTCATCATAAAGTATAATTTACTCACCAGCAACATCGATAACCATATCACTTTAAGCGGATACTCGCCAAGAAGTATTACCTACATGTGGGGTGGATACAGTGGGGTTGACTTGGCAGTAGACGAAAATGGTTTATGGGTATTGTGGGGCAACACAGGGAATGGCAGTCGACTGTCCGCCTCCAAGATTGAAGGGGATGTCATAGTAAACAACTACAACTTGGCTACAGGTAAGTCATTTTAGAGATCAAAGGCAACATAATTCATAATTCGTAATAATTCCTTCATGAGATGCGACTTTTATCTTTTTGAAAGAAACATAATTATATTTAAAATTTATAGCGAAAGTCAAGGTGGGTTTATTATTATGGTGGGTTTATTATTATTAGGTCGCGTTTATTATTATTATTTTTTTTTTACACGCCGCTTCTTCACAATCGCCCTTAAGTTCTCATTTCAATTGAAACTATTATTATCAAAATCAAGGCACTTAAAAGGATGCTCAGGATTTTTCACTTTCTATTCCATTTTGCTGAGAAATGAACGTCTTTTCAATCGAAGTTATTTTGAATTACAGAGGAGAGGCAATTGATTTTACAAGTTATTTCTTTGTGTTGGTTGTTATCGCAGAACGTATGAACTCGATGGGTAACGCCTTCATAGCTTGTGGAGTGATCTACTGCATCGACAGTTATCATAGCAATCCCACAACCATCAACTTTGCCTATGACACAAAGACTGGTAATCAATGGAACCCCAATATACAGTTCACGAACCAGTATGGATACAATTCTATGGTAGACTACAATCCCAAAGAAAAGCTTTTGTACGCATGGGACAATCACAAACAGCTCACTTATTCCCTCACTTGGAATTGAATCATTTTCTACTGGTAATATGAAACATATTGATCGCTTTAAATCTTATAAAAGTTAATTTTGTTTAAGGTACGCTCCACACTACTGCCTTTTCGTTTGAAAACGCATATTTCTGGTGCGTTTTCGCCGGTCATTCACGTTAAAACGCCCGAAAACGTTGATGAAAACAGAGACTTTCTAAAACGATTTCAAAAAACGATTCTTTTGAAAACGCATCGTTTTTAAAACACTCCGTTTTAGTGTGGACAGGTGAAAACGGTGACGAAAAAATGAACTGATATGATTGCTCTCACGCATGCGGAATTCCAAGTCCCACTCTGTTTATCGTTTTAGTCCGTTTTGGTGAAGACACTTTTTTTCATTTTCGCTTAGAAGACAAAGGAGACTTTTGAAAATGTATTAGTGAGGTCAGGGCAAACTGGCAGTGGGTTAAATTTTGGCTTTTAATCTCGCACAACGTATAAAGCAAACTCATAGATGCATTTTACAACTTTAATAAAGGGAAACGCTAGCTACATCATTGATTCATGTATTTTGACAATTTCTTTGACGGTTGTTTTGTTTGATTTATCATGAAATCTTTGGACTCTATCCGTGCCAGGGCTAACCATTAGGGCCTACTTACATGGAGGTGGGGGACCTCAGGTAGGTGAGGTAATCCGCCTAGCCGTAGTCAAAAAATAAAACGCGTTTACATACAATCTTACAACCCCGAGGTGCTGAGGTGAGGTTTCTTGAGGTTGTTGTTGCGCTCGCAATTAGGAACTTTGAGCATAGGCGTCCCAAGCTCACGTCTCGAGAAAGACGAAAGACAAATTCTCGGACACGTATTCATCTAATTATTGATGAAAGCATCACGCGTTGTGTTACGCGGTGTTCGGTTACGCGAAGAACCGTTGACTTAATGCGTTATCAGGAATAGTTTGAAATATGGTCGATTTACAACGCTAAATATTCCAAAATGTGAACATTTTTCACTCCTTGAGTGTCCGTTGCGGTTTCTGGTGATTTTTGCCGTTAGACGGCTAGGAAATGTACAAAATTTTAAAACATACGTGTTGCGCTTTTGAGTTTTTTGGCATGAACGCGATCCCGGCTTGGCGAGTTACCCCACCAGACATTTATACTTGGCAAATTGTCACCCCGGCTGACAGGGTTACCATATCTGGTAGACCAGGTAGGGTCTAGGTGGGGTCACCCCGCCTATCATGTAAACGCGATCAAGACAAAATAAGAAGTTATAAAGACAGGCGGGTTATCTCCCTGACTGGGGTCCCCCACTTCCATGTAAACAGGCATTAGTGCGGCAAGATTAAAGGCGCAAGTAGTAGATTACTAGACTAGACTTACTAGACGTAGTAGATTAAGCAAATTCTACTTTTTAACTGAAATATTAAGACTACCACCGTGAATTGTTTTACTTAGTCCGTAAGTGCACTTTAACACAATATACAGTTCAGCTGCTAATCAACAATATCTTTTTCCTCTTGTGTGGAAAATACTACTATAGTGGTTTTTATAGATAAATGAAAGTTTAATCGTAAATTCGTCTCACGATGTAAGAGCGAGGCTAATCAAGCATGCATAGATCGCAACGTTTCGACTGCTATACCGCCAAACTTCTCAGGCGACGAGGTAGAATCTTTAGAGTTGTTTAAACACCAACAACTTGCGTTGTTTTCTTCGTTTTTTTTCTCTCCGTCCTCGATAGTTTAACGTCAACTATGTCTTCTACACCCAGTAAGAGCCAAATTTGTATCTTCAAATAATTTCTTTCAATTTCGCGTCTTGAGCCAAATCAAGAGGCTAGACTATGATTATACTTCTCGTCTTACTTCCAACAACCGACTAAGCTAGGTGCACTGATGAGGTTGTAATTCCTTCCCTTCACGACTCCTTCTATGGATCGTCCCCATTGCTAACTTTTTTTTCTGACTGAAAGTTAATTGCAAAAGACTCTCCCTCCCCTAAACAATCCGTAATTGTCGGAACTATAATGCAACTAAGAAATAAACCGGACACAGATAAAACAACACCTTCGTAACAGTTCTGCTTTGTGAGTGTCACATCACCCTAAATAATTCTAACAAATGAACACCTGTAAAGATCTCGCTGAAGAGGAATAAGTATCAAGATTAAGGATTAATTGTTAAATAATTCTAATAATGAAAGCCTAGCTGAAGAGGAATAAGTATCAAGATTAAGGATTAATTGTTAAAGCCTAGCTGAAGAGGAATAAGTATCAAGATTAAGGATTAATTGTTAAAGAAAATAAACCACAATTCACACGATAATGTTGTGTTTAATGATCACCTCTTCTACAAGTTCTACAATACTTTCCAGACACTTCAGTTAGACGAGCTTTAATTTGTATTTCAAATCATGTTGTATTGCTCCCGTAACTGTTTTTTTTTATCAAGCAGAGTGTAATATTTGTTGACGACGACGACGACGACGGCGGCGCTTTCCTAAAAATAAAAGTGACACATTAACATTCATCGGAAAAACTCTCAATCACTGCTGGAGCTTTCTGGCAACCATGGTCATTTTCGAGGTCAAAATTTTAACAAAAATGTGACCCCTTATTAGATTGTACGAATTTCGTGCGTCTTTTAGATGTCACACAGACAAGAGAACATAAACAATTGTTATTCTCTTGACACAGATCTGTTTTTTAGAGGAAAGTGGGTATTAATTTTTTTTTTGGTGAACGTATATCTCATTTCAGCTGATTTAATTATAAGCAAAGGTGCATTTCGCAAAAACAGAAAAAAAAGGAGTAAGTAGTGTAATGTTATATAATAACTGATTTATGTTGAGTAACTTTGTGTCTGGCTCTTTGTGTAAATGTTTCTCAGAGATACATCCCACTTTAAACGAACGCTTTTTCTTACACCAAACAAAAGGGAGAGTTGATTGAAATTAGTTGCTTTGACGAATGGCAGATGCTCAAAACGTCATCAGTGGTGATCGATATCTGAACTTTATCGACTTCTAGCGCTAGCTACTTTATACGTAGCAAGAAGTTTCACATGCCCGCTGACACACATACTAGTTTCTTTGGGATACTTCGTTCCATTAGTTATAGAATGTCCCATAAGAGAAGCGCTTGGCTTACTGGTGAGTCCATAATTTAGTTAGGAAAACTTCTTTGGACAGCGTAATGATAAGTCATTCATGTCCGCTGATTACTCTACCCTTTTGAAGGTTTCATAAACAGCGAGATCTTGGAAAACTAAAGGCGATTACATGGACGAACAAGGAAAAAAAAACCACAACGAAGACGAGAGGATCATGTTTACTAACCAACATCGAAGTTGAGTTTAACATTCACAGACAGGTACTTCTGATCAGCGCCAAACCTATTCTCCAGTTTGCACTCGTAAGCGCCAGCATCGTGCTCAGTAACCTTGCTGATGATGTGACGAATACCAATCTGGTTGCCATCCGGACCTTTGATGTACTCCTGAGTAAACGGGCCTCCAAAACCATCTAAAATTGGACAAAAAGCTGTCATTCAACATCCTTTTAAACTATTCACGGATCCAGATTATGTAAGTCATCCATGTGATAGCTAAACAATGGCGTAGCTAGTTGCATTTTTCTTACAATTTGTATCATTAAGTCAATCGAGCGGTAAGTTTCAAGAAGCATTATGCTAATGAACAACATTCAGTCATACCTGGTGCCGGTTTAACCTTGGTGATCTTAAAAGAAGGCAGAGGTAATCCTTCTCCGTAGCATTCAAACTGGGTCGGAAATCTTTCGGTTGCATTGGTAGGGTTAGGTTCGAATCGTGTGATCTTCGGTGGTCCTATGACGAGAAAAGGTTATGGATATAAATCAAAACTGAAAAAAATTCTCGAACGTATTGGTTATCACCAGCCCGATTTGAGAAGTAATGCTGCGTCATGCCTTTAATTGCACAGTCTTATAGGACAGTTAAAGGGAAAGTTAACAGGTCATGCCTATGTATTTGGACTAAACGCGTCATCATTTCGCCGAGTCAACTGTTTTTTTTTTATGAAAACGTAATTTTGTCATGGTTTTAATTGGTAACCTGACATCGTGTCGTCCAATTCTGTCTGTAATCATACTCGCGATTTACAAATCGAAGTCCTGCTTCGCGGTCGTCCGATTTTATTAATCACAGACCGAACTGGACTCCATGCGGTCTTATTACCATTATTAATTTTAAGATCAGTGATTGTGTTCTGCTGCAAGATGAAGGCACCTTGGTGATGATTTGAAATGACATTCTTGACATAGGTGATGATTTATTGTTTGTGACGCAAGTGTTAAAGATCTGTGTGAACGACTACGTTGCCGAGTTGTTTTTATAATAACGGCGTCTGCAGACAAGTTCTAGCTCATCTAAAGACAACTTTTAAATGGTTAGACTACCTTTTGTCACGTGTAATTATTGCCAGTTTTACATTTTTGGGAGTGCGTCTTATAATTGAGTGCGTCTTGTAGCCGAATAACTATGGTACACTGAACAAATTGATAATGGTTTAGTGTGGTCTGTACGCTTATCGATAACGGCATTCGTCATCAAAGCGGTCAAATAGTTGATGAATGACGAGGAAATGAAACAAAGAAAACGATTCTTTCGGTGCACGACCATTGCGCGACACTTTGACGCTGGCAGCGTTGTCTGTACTTTCGGCGACTATGGCAAATTGGCCTATAAGATTGCGACATTACTGCCTATTGAGGTAAAATTTATACTGGTAGAGGTTGAAATATGCTTTCTAGAAAATGCGTATCTTTACATGTATTGACATTCAAAACCTTGAGGATCGATTACAAAGTACACTGTGAGCTTAATTCATTCATTAATTGTTATATTTTTGTTAATGAAAGATGAAGTTCACCTCCACAGGAAGCGACAGATGTTGATCCCGTGCCGAGGGTGGTGGTACCATTAGGGCACTTCTCACAACTTTTTTTGCCAACTTCAGGTTGGTAATAGGAAGCTTGACAGGGCTCGCAGGGTTCAAGATCTGCTTGCAGATCAAACCCTGAGTTGGAGAAATGACCAGCGTAACACTGAGCTGTGTGCAGAAATAAAAACAACGACGCACATGATGAGCAATGACATTGCAGCCACTGTGAACGATTGGAGGTAGACTACATCATAATTACATTATTTTACCGTAATTTTTTCTTTAATTATTTTTTTTCTTATTCAGCATTCTCTTTGTTTTGTTGAAGTGGCTATTTCTGTTAGTTGTTTATGTTATTGTTGTTTTTTCGTTTTTGTTGTTACCATTTTTGTTTTGATTTAATTCAAGGTCATGAATGATTAAATGATCTCAAGTAATCTCATTACTAACCGTACAACGTCACATTTCACTTACGAAACTGCACAAATAAACCAGCAGTGCAAACTAAAGAATTTATCGCAAATATATCTGACCAAATTAATTTACCTGTGCAAACTTTGGATCCAACTTCTAAAGTTGAACTGTTTGCCGGACATGCTTCGCACTGCATTGAGCCTTCCGCTTTACTTATGTAGCCGATTTGACATGGCTCGCACGTTTTTGTATTAGTATCGTAGAAGTAACCTCTCGGGCATTTCACTGTATAAAAGAAAGTTTAATGGTGTTGTTAATAGAGTTAACTGAATTAGCGAATTGTGAAAATCTCGGAGAAAAAATGGGAAAATTAAAAACTAAAAAACTAAAAACAAAGAACAGGATAAGGATGGTGAGAAAGACTTAACCGTTAATCTCCCCTGAGTGACCAAGACAGAATTTCTCCTTACAATGTCAATACTATATCAACCAGATAAGTGATGAGAAAATAGAAAAATATCAATTTGGGGATGATTAGTAGTTCCAATACTAAATTTTCTAAGCTAACATTGTAAGAATTGTATGGTTGACAGTGAGGAGAATTACAAATTTGATCTGAGAGTTAAAGGGTTAAGGCAACACGAAGAAAGTAATCACACAAGGGAGCCAAGCGAGCAAGCTAGGAAGTAATTCAGCAAGTGAGCCAATCCATTCAGCAAGTCAACGAATGGGAGTACATAAGAGATAAGATTATGCCAATAAATAGAATAAATAAGGAAATGAGCCCAAAGCTTAGTCAAATCATTTATACTTTTTTTTTTTAGAGACGAATAATTTATTGTTTTGTTATTATGGTTATTATTATTATCATCATCATTATTGTCATCATTATGGTTATTACTTTTCTTTTATTTTTTACATTATTGTACGTTACTACATTGAAATACAAACCCGAGACGAAGTTGAGGGGAGTATTCAACAATGTTCACTGAGCCTAAGGCGAATAATATTTATTTCAGTATAATTGCTCAGGTGCTTTCGAATTCTGTTGTAAATTATGTAAATAAATAAAGCATTGCGCGTATTTTGTTACAATTGTGGTGATTACTCATATCAAGATAAGCAAAGAGTTTAAGCAGGTTTATTTAAATGAATCAGCTAAAACTTCACATCTCTCTTTTGAAAAGTATTCCGCCAAACTCAATGGCACCTTTTTTGCTCTTCTTATTTGAGTTTTCGTATACCGCGTCGATCACTTCCTCGGAAACATTTACAAATAGCAAGGTAGTCATCATGATGTTTAGCGCTTATGCCATAGTCACCTCGAGAGAGGTGATTCTAGCGAGATATCTCTATAATCACCTGAGAAATTATACTAAGATACTATACGCCAATGCCCCTTTACCTACTACTCTTAATTGACTATTATTAATAACCCTTACCGGGAAATTGAATCTTACAAAAGAATATTACATATTAATCCTTTTCACTCGTCGCTCCACAGCGAGCTACTGATACTCACCACAGATGGATTCTGGGATTGCACCATTTATTGCTCCTTGTTTTACAAAGCCGCTAGAACAGGAACCTTCGGCATCCGGCTGTGCGTAATCTGTGTGTCATTGGGAATAAAAGAGGGTATGAAAAGAGTTATTTCTTGGGGAAAGAAAGTTTTGTTGATGAATATATATATATGGTCTCTTACAGTATAACTGCAAGATAATATTCTCACTTTGCCGTGAAGAATGCTACTGGAAAACGAATTCTTAGTCATATCACGAAAAAATATTGTTATAAAATGTCTAACAAAAGAAACTTATAGGCAGTTTACCTACGCAGTCAGGGATTTCATCCCACGTCAACGTCGTGGTTGAACACGATACGTAAAAAGCCATTTTGAAAAGTTTCTTATTTGGGTCACATTGGATGGTACAGAAGCTACCAAAACAGTTCAGCTTAGCGTTATCTGGGTTTTTAGGCTGTGTGCATCCGATTTCTGAAAGCAAGTAGATGAATGACAAATTGATGAGTAATTGATTTGTATTGTACGAGTGTACTGTATCGTATGACAACTCAAAGTACATTTTACATAGATTAATGAATAAATAAATTAAAAAAAAATACAGATTATTTGAACACTCGTCCAATCGTTGGCAAATTTTTTAAGACCTGTAGGCTTCACCGCTTTCTCTGAGTTGGGTGAAATTTCAGAGCGCCCTAAGTAGATTTGCAAGTAATAGGTTACCCTAAAAATTTGTAAATGACAGTCTTTCATGAAAATTAAATATTAAACCTATCTTTGTTCAGATAATGTTGTCGAGGGGAGAGGATTTGTTGATGAAAATGAATGGTTATGAAAAGAAGCGGAACTCAGCAGAGAGAACACAAAACTTGATCGTGGCTACATACTTTTAAGATGGACTACAAACGTGCAAGTTCCTCTGTTACTCGCAGCATCTGTGGCTTCGTATTTCACATTTGTAGAGCCGAGGGAAAAAGTGTTTCCTGGGTTCTTATCAGAAGCCACTTTCACAACTGCCACATTGTCGGTAAATTTTGGTGGGGTCCAACTTATAGCTTTGCTGTTACTCGTTGTGGTTTCATATATACTGTCTGGGCAATTGTCTGTTTTTGGAGGTTCTTTGTCTGGTGTGGTCAAAGAGAGGAAACGACAAGTTAGTTAGATACCAAATAAACATTATTCATCTTCAGCAAAAAAGATAGGGTTTATATGAATAAATGAATAGATAAATGGCAGATAAAAAAAAAATACCGGGACAAAAGTTCAAAAATGAGTTCAGTTGATCGGAAAAAAAAAAGAAAAAAAGAAAAGGAAAAAGCCATCCAATGCGACAAAAAACAAAAGCAAAAACATCAAATACCAGTCTAATGAACGAGCTCTCACTGTTATAACTGAATCGCTAGAAAATTAAGGACTTTTAACCAACTATTTGCATCAATGGCTGGATAAGTATACAAATGAGGAAATGCATATACAAATAAATAACTCAATAAATCAATGCAGTACTAAAGGATAAATTAAATTTAAATGTATTGACATAAATGAGTAAATGGCTCAATGAATACCGACGACGATGATCACAGTCTGACACTGGGCTGTTTTTCCGACTTCGTTTGTTGCCACGTAATTCAAAAACGTTGTGCCGGCTGGAAACATTTTGTCTTTGAAGTACTCTGCCGGTGTGATTGTTATTCTGGAAGGTGGTTGATTGGACGTGGGATCCTGGAGCAAGGCCGAAACGTCTGCTTCATTGGCACCAGGAGAAAGATCAACTTGCACGTTATCTGGACATGTTATATAAGGATCCTGATAGCCTGTGTAAAGTGAAATAAATGTCTGATGTCTTTTTTTTATTAATTGCGTTCATCTGAAGAAATGTAGCTATTTTTAAATTCTTATCTCTTGATTAAAATAAGAAATCAGCATAAGACCACACTTTCTATCGGCTAACTGGCGTTTTAAGCAACGCAGGATATTGGCTGAACACAAGAAAAGTTTATAAATCACAAGACGAAGGCGAGTGCAGCTTCTGATTTTTCAAATAAGCCAGCCGACATATATGTAGGAAAAATGAAATTTTCAGGGCTGTTACCCTTCGCAGGATTGGGTCTTTCGCGTATTTTTATCAGTAATTAGATATTTTGCAAATTTTCCGATCGGATGAAGTCTAGTCCATCGTTTGGACATTTTTAAGGTAACAAAAAAATCTAGGTCAGTTTGACAATCAGCTTTACTATCAAAGATCAGAACGTTTACATCGTTGCATACATAGCAGTCTATCGGCCTTTATCGGGATCAAACATAAATATAACGGTTTCGAATTCCTTCTATCCCAAAACATTATCGTTAAAATTTTTACTTCGGATTATATTCCCTTGGAATCGACTGACACCTCTCGTGTAACTAACGACCCTTTTACATTCTAGGATGTAAACACACATTGCCTGAAAAATGTTTTTTTCTACAAAAAAAAGGTAACCGTTCTTCACCTGTACTTGTAGGTCAGTTTTAGGGACTCATTTATACTATCTGAATTTCGCATTTGAGGGTCATGAGTCCATGCAGGGTTTAAGGATTCTTTCTTACAAAAGACAGCAGTTTATCATATAAACCACGATGTTGTACAAGGATTTCCGGCTCAGAGAAAAGCCGTAACAATACACGTGAAAAAATACGATATTTTTTCACGTGTTTTATATCACCAGTCAGCTGCTGACACGTCACTCGCCTTTCGCGAAACTCGATCAGGTTGATGAATGAAGTCTTCACCTTTCTAAATCCAAGATTATTGCTGATAATACACTGAAAAATCCGTATCGCTTACAGACAGTGACGTTTAAACTTTTATAGAAGGGAATAAAACCAAAATATGAAAAGAAAAACCGAAAGATACGCATTCACTGGCTCTGTTAATGATATTTTTCGCCGCTGAGAACGAAAATCCACTAATTTGTCATAGACCGATTTCGGCTATGTATCTGAAAGATTTCTTCAGCCGGTAAGAACAACATCAATAACTGAGAATTTTGCTTATTGAAAATCGGGACCATTGTTTTTTTTTGTAGTGCGTCAAAGCATTTTTTCATCTCGAGCGTTAAGCCCCGTTCAAATGGTCATGATAGTTGATGATAGTTTCAAATAGCACGCGCGTTTGAACACGAACTAACACTGATCATTAACGACTTTCATCAACTATCAAGTAGTTTAGACATGTCCGAATTCGACATGATGCTTGATGATAGTTTTTGCGGTTTAAACGAGCGGATGAAAGTGAATAATAGTCGTTTGGTCAGCAGTTTATTATTATCATCTCGTGGTTAGCTTCAGTATTTAACTCGCAACTTGACTAAAATTTCAAATCTCACCGAACTGCTGAATTGCTGACCTCAGCTCGCACCATATTTGTTTAGAATTACGCCATCTCTTTGGGTGATTTTGTCAACTATCAGCAACTATTATGAACTGTTTTCACGCAAACATGATAGTCAGTAATAGTGAATGAAAGTTGAAACTATTATCGACCGTCGTGACTGTTTGAAAGAGGCTTTAGCCTCAACGCATATTACGATTTTTGGTCGGGGATCGTCGATCCTTTTATTTTTATTCGTTGATGAAGTCGACTTTTCTTGTCGGTAAAGGACTATTGTGTTTTTATGATAAACAAAAATTAATTATACATGATTGCCTGTAGATATGACATTTCTCTCCTCGTGTTTAATTCGACATCACACTCGTTCGCTCCGCTCACTTTTTAGCTAACGCGTTGAACACACGAATAGAAATTCCATTCATACGGGCGTCGATTCAGCATTCTCTATAAAAGGTTTTATGCTCACTTTGAATGCATGTTGGTTCTTCCTGGCTGTCCCATTGTCCACTGCTCAGGCAATTCTTGATCTGAACCCCTGACAAGGTATAACCACTGTTACAAACGTACCCGCACTTTCCTTGATAATGGCCTCCTTCAGAAGCACAAGTATCTGGATTCAGCTTTCCATTTGCGGGAGCAACCAGCTTAGGACAGCTTACTCCTGTCAAGGGAGATTAACGCTTCATTGAGTGACAAGCTTAAGTGTTAAATATGACTGTTGGTTGAAATACAGGTACATTTGATTGGACGAGCTGCAAGGTTAGGGTCTTACTGAGACTATGTAATTTAATCCCATGGTCCGCAAAGTTACAGTTGTACAAGTGTAATATTTTACCCCACCTTACATATTGTGATATTGTATGGCACTTTTGCAATTCATCTGATAAGAAGAAAATGGAAAGAATTCAAGAGCGGGCACTCAGGGCAGTCTTTAAGTCCAAATCGGAGACCTACAGCGAGCTAATTACAAGAGCAGGTCTACTAAGTCTGTACCAACAACGGTTACAAAGTATCACCGTTTTCATGAATAAAGTAAAAAACGGACTACATTAAACAGACTCAATACAGCCGCGAAACGATATAATCTGAGGAACGCTGATTTCAATATTCCACGTTTCGCACAGTACACTATGGAAAACACTCTCTTCGATACTTTGGGCCCCATCTTTGAAATAAATTAAAACAAAGTGATAAAGAGAATCCTAATTTTGTGAGTTTTAAAACAGTATTAAGGGCAAAGACCTATCACTTTTGATAAATAATTGTAAAACTGTAATATATGCTGCTAGGCCCCTTTGAATTTTACATTTTATATATATTTAATATCTTCTACGCTTATTTTACTAAATTCTTATACTTCAGTTACTTATTTATTTATCTATCAATTCTATACATTATGAATTGAATTATAAATAATTTTAACTTTATGCAGCTTAAGTATATTTTAATGCGTAAACAGTGTCCCCAATTAGTTTTCTTCAAGCTAAATACTATTGACACTTAAAGAAAGTCCTTCATTCATTCACATGCCATTACTTTCTCGAAAAGGTCCTAGTACGACGATGTTTTTTTCTAAAAATATCTATATTCGGCTCTTTGATTTTTTTAACTCCAATGTTCAAACTTTTGGTAATATTTGATTTTCCTCTTGCGCTTAAAGGCTCAGTATCGTCGGTATGTTTGGAGGACATCATTAGGGCCAGGTTAGTTTATAACTTAGCGACATTTGAAGGACGTTACCGCACTGCTTAAAGAAGATGGTGATCTCCTAAGAAACTTCAGCCATCCATAATTTTCAATTTTGTTGTTTTTGCCTTTGCTTTTTATTTGATTGATTTTATTCTTTTTAAAATTTCTTTTTGTCATGTTTACTGTGATACAGAAATAATTAACAAATGTAATCGGTTATGAAAAGACTCTGGAAGGAAGCCTCGACAAATTGAAACGACTATAACAAAGAATAATCCAAACAATATATTTTTACGATGTGCCGTATTAATGAAATAAACACATTAAATAACGCAAAGTGACGTCTGTATTGAACGGAAGCCTATTTCCAGGTGGCGTTTGGAGTCCAACCCGAAACCCATCGTTCTTTTTGGCTATGGAGAATTCTTATCATTTTCGTGAGCATTATCATCACACTCGTTGATCAAGTTCTATTTTGATATGGTATTTCCTTCTTTCCCTCCAAGTGAAGCTCGAGGAAGTTGCAAATTTTTAGGCAACGAATAGTGAGTTTTGTATCCTTTTCCGTAGAGTTGTGTTAGAGATAACAGTTTCTACCACCCATAGATATTGCTAAATTTTGTATGTTAATATGCTTTAAACAAGTAACTTAATTTGAATCTTTTTTTTAATTAACTGTGAAAACTATATATTCGCATGTATTCCTTACTTTTGCAGTTTATTATTGATGCATTCCAGTTTCCGGTAGCTAGGCAGATGAGGGTATCTTCGTTATCTGGCAGCTCGAATCCGTCGGTGCAGCTGAATTTACACAAATCGCCGGCCTCCATGACCTGATCTTGTAGGCAAGTTGATGGAAAAACGGTGGTTCCCATTGATTGGACAAGTGCTGGGCAAGTTGGAGCTATAATAAAATTTAATTTAAATTGTTTCTTCATTTAGGGGTCTCAATTCTTTACGTTGGTTGGAGGTACAACGTTCTGATGGGATATTACCAATGTCGTGTATGGGTGTTATACCATAAAAAGGAATCTCTCATGATCCAAATTATTCAGTTTTTAATTTCAATAACATTTTTTTAGTTTCACGAATTCTCACATTAGTAGATCTACCATATCAGGAAATTAAACTGAATATTACATAAAAAAAAGGAAAAAAAATTTAAATATTGGACCAAAAAACTGAATAATAAAACCACAAATCTGAGCCTAATGTCTTTCAACTTCATTTTGATCTTCAAAAACAAACATTTAGTCTCTTCACTTTATAGAGCACAGCAAATTTTTCTGTTTACCTTTTTTTTTGTGATGACTGGTGAAAAAAAATCGAAAGAAAATTTTTTTTCTACAAAGGTCGCTACTTCTGCAGAATATAACGTTAAATGCACTGTTGGCAGTGAGTCAAGGAAACCATGAACAAGCAGTTACCTTTGCACTTGTATTTATCATTGCTTATCACAATGTATCCTGGTTTACACTTGCATTCATAGTCAGGTATAAGGTTATTACAAGTGGTGCTTTTTGGGTCACACTGTGCTGAACCATCTGAGCATTCATCGATGTCTACAAAACACAACATTGATTCAGATCTATGTGCCCTTATTGACATGATTAAAATGATACCGAGCTTGGAGAAAGTACAAACGCTCGATTACAAATTTTTAGCAAAAAGCACTCGAAATCGTGTGATTACCCATCCAATATAATTGCACATTAATATCACTCCACGTAATCATTACTATGATTACTGTTATTATTATTGTTATTATTTCTACCACTTTCACTATCTCTATAAGGATCATCATTGTTATTATTATCGTCGTTGTTATCGTTATCAACATCATTGTCAGCATCATGATCAGTTTCTTCATCACACGGCAGCGCATTTCCGTTATTTTCATTTATCAGAATAGTTGTTATCATTTGAATGTTATCCTTAGCGTATTCATTTATTCAATCATTCTATTTCTCCTCTCTGAATCTCTCAGATTCGTTTCTAAATGGAAAAAAACTATCAAGAGTATTACCTGAGCAAGTTAAGCCATCAGAATTGAGTTTATACCCATCGTTACAGGAGCATGAGAAGCTACCAACACTGTTCTCACAGGTGTGTTGACATCCACCGTTTGCAAGAGCGCACTCATTTCTGTCTATAGATAAAAAATCAGTCTTCAGATTGAATGTAAACCCAAAAATCAAAAACTGAAAGCAGTGATGATGCCATTCTCATTTCCATTTGCTCTTTCATCGCAAATATTTGACTTGAAAAATCAACGGCAATGATAAAAAAATCGTAGTGACAATACAAAAGACTAGATTTCGAATCATCTGATCTGTAATTTGAAGCAAAAAAATGAAATGAAATTACCAAATAGACGGAAACAACTTCATCTTTGACTTACCAATGCATTTCTTTCCAGTTCCATCAAGTTGGTAGCCGTTAGGACAGGTGCAAATGTACGAACCCACCAAATTTTGACAAGTGTCACTGCATCCCCCATTACTGTCCAGACACTCATCTATATCTGAGATGAACATGATGTGAATTCATAATTAAATATACATAGATATATGTGTGTGTGTATAGATAAGATATGGTGCAAATAATGTTCCTCGAAATATTCCGTAGATTCCAATGTAGTGCAGATACGGTAGAAATGTTCAGTGAAGCTGAAACCGAAATTCTATATGGTTTTTAAGGAACAGAGCTGACAGAAGTTTTTATTTGTTTTTTTGTTTGTTTCTAAATCTATCTTTAAGTACTATGCCCTTTATTTTGTCATAATAAATACAACGACACAGAGAACAGAAAACAAACGAAAAACCGGCCTTAACCCTTTAACTCCCAAGATCTCTTCAGTAATTCTCCTTACTGTCTGCCGTACAATTCATTTGATGTTAGTTTGGAGAATTTAGAATCGCACCAGCCAAGACTCTCCTAATTAATATTTTCTTTATACTCATTACTTGTCTGCTTGATATTTTACTGATAGTGTAAGGAGAAATTCTGTCTACGTCACTAGTTGGACTTAAAGGGTTAATACAATGCTTCTGTTGTGTATATATATATATATATATATATATATATATTTATGTATATATTTGTATCTTATTCTAACCAAACTTTATTTTACCAACCTTTCTTTTCTATTACCTTTCCCCTGAATGAGGGTAGACACCGTGAAGCTCTAAATATGCAAATAGATTGAAATACCTTCACAAGTCTTCATGTCTGACTTCAGTTTGTAACCGGTCCTACAGCTACATTTGAAGCTTCCTAGGGTATCTGTGCAGATCTGGTTGCATCCAGAAGTACCTTCCTGGCACTCATCGATGTCTTAATATGAGAACATAAAAAAAAAAAGTTGAGAGCAAAATATTGGATCTTGAATTATATTTCTTTTATATGAATCCATGCAAATATTTACTACTACTCCAGAAACCGTAATTAGAGAACTAAGCTCATTCAACTTTTCATGCGCAGAAAATTATAGGAAAGTATTGACATAGAACAAAATTCACAAGTGATGTAAATTGTATCTCGTAAATTTTCGGTTGGATGGACAGGTCTTAGAGCACGATGCTCAACGCGTTTGCTTAAAAACTCCAAGAGGTATTTGATGTGTCTTTTGGCCAGAGCGAAAGGTGCGTCATACCAGCCATGAAACTTTTTTTTCACAAGTTTCTAAATGTGTTTTGTCGCATGTATTTGAATTAATTTTATAATAAACTATTCACCTACTTTCGCAAGTGTACTTGTTCGAGGCGAGTCTGTATCCAGCGTTACAGCTGCAGGTATAACTTCCCTCGGTATTATGACAGTTCTGAGTACACAAATCAATGCTTTCTGCACATTCGTCGATGTCTGGTGGTTGAGAAAGTCATCAAAAAGATTGTATCAGAGTCGGAGAAACATTTCCTTTTTTCCGATGATGAAAAAACTGATTAAAAATTGATGGAAGAGAGAAAATTTCTTTTTACTTTGGTGGGGTAGAAAACGATCATGACCTTGTGAGATGTCGCGTATGCGGGTGGCGTACTTTTAGTGCTCAAACGTTTGACGCAAGGGTAATTGGGTTAGTGGATGGGGCATGCCAGACCAGCAACCGTCAAAATTGAAAAAAGTACATGATGCAAATCTTAAGAAGATTAATTTCATCAGAAATCCCTTATCTAGGGAGTAACAAGCAGGGTACTATTTTGTTTCGGTACTACATTTTGTCCTCACCTTTGCATGTCTTCCCGTCATTTTGCAATCTGAAGCCATCACGGCACTTACAATTAAAGGTTCCAGCCGTGTTTTCACACAGCTGACTGCAGCCGCCATTACTTTCTGAGCATTCGTTGATGTCTTGAAGAAATAGGAGAAGCAAACACTATCAAGTACATTCCTGACTATCCCTGAGTGGTTTGATCTTCTCATTTCTGATTTTTTTTCAATTTGTGTTTGTTGGGTTTTGCTGTGCTTTGCTTCGAATTGACTTTCTTTACTTTTACTTTGTTTATTTGTTTGTATTAATGGCGATCATTTTCTTTGCTGCTCCGCTCGTTTTGTCGTTGGTATTTTTTGAGGAAAGCGCGCGAGGTTTTGATGAAGTCAAATTTCAAAGTCATTGTTACATGCAAATAGCTCTGCAATGGATATAAAATCAAAATCGATAGAATCTTACAGCAAGACATAACAAGTACATGTATCCACACTCTACAAACTTATTTCGTGTACAAACCTATACACGTTCGCTGGTCCGTGTCAAGTTTGAATCCCTGTTGGCAGCTGCAGTCATAGCTACCATTTGTGTTGTGACAGTACTGATTACATTTACTTGATTGCTCAGCACATTCGTCAATGTCTGGAAGAACAAGCAAACAGTTAAACAATGACGGCATGTAAAACAAATGGCGTTTTTAATAGATAAGGACAATGATCGCTGTTCTACGTGTCTCATATTTTACACTACACTGGAATGACGATAAGCAACTGACCAAGAGCTCTTTAGGCGCTAAATTTTCTGAATTTTTTGTTCACTTTGGGACTCAGTTAAAGGCTCTCTGTATATCTGAGAATTTTTCCTTTTATACGCTGCGTTCTAGTGTTTGCATGGCAGTAATGATCATTAATGCTATGGTACCTTCACACGTCCTATTATCTGCTCCCAAGCGGTATCCATCAGGACAAGCTAACAAAGTAATGAAAAATAATTTATATATATATATGTATGAAAGAAATTCGATAAAACTAATAATGGTAATGATGGTGATGCAAAGAATGATGATGATGATGATGATGATGATGATGATGACGACAGTGATAATGATGATGATGATGATGAAGAAAGAACAAGAAAGCAAACGAATAATTCAGTGATACATCTGTGGAGATACACAGTGCTATAGCAACAACTAATCCTGGGAGCAGTATAAAGAATGATATTCTTACCAACTGGAGGACTAGTCGTGGCTGGTTGGATCGTAGGCAAATCGTAAGGAGAAGACAACGATTAAGAAAAGAAGAGAGTCAGAAATTTATAATAGGTAATACAGTAACGCAGACATATAGGATATGTATGAAGCCAAAATAACGCGACTACTGAATTTGCCGAAAAATAAACATTAGTAGAAGATCTGTCTTCTTTATTGCTGCGCTTTAATCAACTTTTTGCATAATGTCATAAATCAGCGTGGTTAGGGTTGAGACGTAATTGCCAACACTTCAATATGTAGTGTAAGTCAGAATAATCCTTTGTTCATGTATATCCTAAGAATTTCGTTTTCCATTGGTCAGGAGAACTTGGTGTTTATACCACGCAACACCCATAACCGGTAATTATTTCTGTCTTTTCTCCGCACTTGCCGGCTGGATAATGTTTTATTATTAAATTCCAATTCGAATACCGGATTTGTATCGTTCTGATTGGTTCACTCAACTCCGTTTATCAGCTCATATTCTGAGTCATCTTAAATAATGATCCAAGCGTTTAGGATTTAGTGAAATTTGATAAAAAAATTATTCTATTCGCACTTTTTGGGTGAAAGGTTAGTTATAGCCAACTCGGCGCTACGTCCTCCTTGGCTGTTTACGTTGGTGTTTATCCAATGCGCGAGCTTGGAATACTTGTTAAATGTTCTGAAAAGCTTTGGCTAGGTTAAAACGTACCTGGTGGGGGAGCAGAAGTTGTGGGCACCGACTCTGTAAGATCATAAAGGAAAAAAAAGTCGCAAATACTCACTCATCAGAAGTAAAAAGCAAAAGAGGCTCCTCTTGACATCAAAGTTACAGAAGCGTAAAGAGATATTAACTCGTTTTGGTACTGAAGCAATTTTCTTACGTACGTAAATTGTTAAGATTTTTGTAAATGCATTAAAGGCTGTTAAAAGCAAATCAAAATAAAAACATAAGCCTGTGATTTACTTAATTTTTTTAAAGACTCGTAAATTTTCATTAAATAATGATATTATTTGCCCTATATCTCTACATGTATTTTTGTGGGTCGACTCGAGCTTCCCCTTAGTCAACTATAATTATATCATACGTACGAAATCTCGAACTTATGACTTACTTATTAAATATATGTTTTTATCTCAGACAAAACTCACCCCAAACAATACGATAACTTACCCACACACTCGTAGAGCTCAAAACGCATGCAAATGTTAGCCCTGAAGTCAACGGGAATCACTTGAATGTACCTGGCCTTAATATTTCTTCCAGCACTAGGTATATCATTCGTCACAATTGAATTTTTGTCTGTGTTGCCAGCAAATACCTATGGAATTACAAGAGGACAATGTATGTAAGCATTAACAACCAACTAAAATACAATTAGAAAGAACAAAAACAAAAATAAAAACATATTAAATGCGGATTATTTACCACTTCGTTCTGATTTATATCTCTTATTCCCGAGAATACGTTGCCAGACTCGCTGTAAAGTATTCTGTAACTTTTAACGTATTGGAACGATGACGTGTTACGACCCTGAGTGGCGATCTTTCCAATTTTACGCACGGAACCCAAGTCGAACTAGATACGAGGATGATAAATAAATTACATTTCAAAAAGAAGAAATAGATAAAGATACATTTCAATCAAGTGAGTTAGCAAATGCACAGATAAATAAAAAGTCAACCTACCGAAAACTGCAGCTTATAAACCCTGGACTTATAGAACTTCGTAAGGGTTTTAGGTGGACTTATATCGGGATGAATAAAGGGGTAAGTTTCTAAAGAAACTGTGGTGCTGCGTCGGTGGGAGAGTATGGTAGATAATTTAGTGTTAACAACTGAGTTGAAAACGTAAATTAGCCACCGAAAAAGGTTAAAAAGCTGACGTTTCAAACGTTAGCCCTTCGTCAGAGCGATGCTGACGAAGGGCTAACGCTCGGAACGTCAGCTTTTTTACCCTTTACGGTGGTTAATTTACGTTTTCAACTTAGTTGTTAACACTAAATTACCTGCTATATCCGGAGGGATTTCAATCCGGGAACCTGTAACCGGAGAGTTAGTCAACCGTAAACTGCCGCTCATAAGCCCTGTACTTCGGAGGGGTTTGAGTTGGGCTTATAAGTGGAGGGCTGATCAGAACATTATTTACATGAACTGGTTTTGAATTGAGCTTCAGAACGTCACAAATCGAATTCATTTCAAAACAATCGGAACAGACTTAGAATTAACAAACCAAACAAAACGTAAGTTCAGACTTTTCTCTTGAGGTTCATCTTTAATAATTAAAAAAAGTAATAAACTTATTTTTGTGCTGTAATTTTTCAATTTTTCTGTTTGACATAGCACAGGTGTGGGTCGTAAGCAAGAGTTTACGTTAGTTGGGATGAATGATATTTTTTTCCTTGCCTTACCTGTATATAACGATATTGGTTAGAATCCTTTTTGTCCGCACACCAAGCGCCAACCCCTGGATTTCCTGGTTTTCCTTTATAGTTATTTAACCTTCCTTCCCTAGCTCCATGCCATCTATGATAAAGTTAACACAATCTGAGGATGTGTAAAATTTACATATCCAACATGGAAACAGCGACTGACTACATTTCTTAATTATTTAATTGAGAAAGTTCAAAACACGGCGGACAGGCACGCGCTGAATAGTATGTCATTTAAACGAATCAATTGATTCCTGATTTTACTTTGACCAGCCAGAACTAAAAAAGGGAAATGCGAGCAGTATATATTCAAATAATTGAATCCACATAGTAGATATAACCTTTAATTTCGAAATATTCACTCTTTTTTAATTTTTTTATACACAAGTAGAAAAATGAAGTTATGAAAGCATTAAGAGCACCAACTTGAAATTTTCATAAATGCTAAAAAATGAAGTATCAATATCGTTTGCTCAAAGTTTTTCAATCAATAAAAGGGGAGATATATGACAGTCAAGTTCTCCTTTTAGAGTTTCGATCAAGCTCTTTACTAACTTATTGATCTCGGAATTTGCAGTCATCGCTGAATCTGAGAGTGTTCCATCTCCAATACCAACTGGTTTATTGCAATCTGATGGGGAAATAGAAGCGTATATTGATTTAATAAGAAGGATAAATATTCGTTTTTTTGTTAAGTGTTAAAACTTTTTACGTCGCTAGCAGAATAATTAGTAAATTTTAGTTAAATTCGTGGTAATTTCCAGTCCCCAAATGTTCAAAATTAGAAAAAGGTTGTAACAAAATAATATCTTGGCTGTTTTTGTAATTATTTAGGTGAAGAGCTAACGCTTAAAACTTTAGCCTCAGAAACTCTTTAGGGTGGCCAATTTTCATCAAGTCAAGTGATAAAACCAGATTATCTCGTAGAGAGATCATCAATTCGATTCAAGCTTTGTTTGTCGCAAGACAATTAATTAAATAAAGCTTTTTGAAAAAAAAAATGAATTCTTGCGTACTTCCTAGATCTGTTTTGAAAATAACATTTTATAATAAAGGAAATGACTTGAACAAAGATGTCGATAAAAAAATTATTAATAATAAAAAGGTAATCATGATAATTAGCCAAAAAAATATTTTGTCTCAGCAATAGTTTGCGACAACGGCGCTATATATTTTCAAAGCGCTACCAGACAAGAAAAGTGCTTCTGTGGTCAATTTTTTAACGCAAGTTGTGCCTTTTATCACTCGCGAAACGAACAGGAATACATTGAAATTTTTTTATTTCCCGAGCTTAAGAAAATAAATTTATTCCTTAATTTTATCTGAGAACTGTTATACAGTATGTTTTTAAGAAAACTTCCATTGCTAGATGGCTCTCTTATTCCACAAAATTACCATAAATCTTTTAGTCTAGTATACATTTGGATTTGATTTGGAAGAAAAATTGGAAAAAGAAAGAAATATAAGAAAAACACAAGCAAATTAAAAAATATTGCGAAATTCGTATTTTTGTTTTTATTTTTATTAGGAAATGGAGGTAGTATAAGTGGTGATCACAAATGCATTTCTTCATCAGTAAACTTCACCGACAAACTAATTCGTAGTTTCCTCCAGTTTCGAGTTACATTTTATATCATTAAATAAGCCGATAACTGACTTAAAGTAGCCAGTGTAAAGAATGCTTTCGAGTTCAGAAAATCATACTATATTCAGAAGTGTACATTTAACTCCTAATCTTACCTAGAGCCCAGGTTACAACGATGCTTAGGAAGATGAGGCATGGACGAAACATCCTTAGATGGTGTGTAAAAACCTCAAGGTAGTCTGAATTTTTGCAGGCAGCACACGAAATGTGAAGGGGAAATGTTGTTGATTTCTTTTTACTTTAATGAGCAAGTTATTGATATGTCATTCATTCACATTCGTTATGGTAATTGGAAAATAAAAAAAGAGCCTAATATTGTCGGAGAAAATGTTTCATTATCAATGCAGGTGAACCAACATTATTACGAAATTTGCCAACTTGTGTCATTAGGGGTTTGACTAGCTTGGCCACCTGAACAAACAACAATTTAATCTTATGGACAATCACGAACTAATGCTGCCTAAATCTGTATCAAAGATCTCTAAGATTATTTACGTTTTGACTGCTTCTAAATTTGATAGTGTTCTTAGAGTTAACGATGTATTCTCTTTCCAAATAAGTTACCGAATTTTTGAAATATAATTGCTGGGAACAGAAATATTTCACAGTGGGCAATTAAGCCATTACCAGGACGTTTTAGGGATCCGTATCGAGTGCACTCAATTAAAGAAAATCAGGAAAGGAAAAAGAGCAAAACAAAAAAAAAAAAGATGGAGCGATTAGTCCGTTTACGAATGTTAGCGGATTAGATTCGCATTGGTAACACTCCATGGCTGATGACGACCAATTTTAATATTTGCAATTACACACCTGCGATAATAAATGCCTTCAATCACGTCCTCGTCACGGTTACTCTCATTTGCCATTTTTTGGACGAACGTGTTTATAGCATTTGAGTTTTTACTCGTTTAACAGAAACCCCGTAAGTCACATAGGATTACCGTTTCCTTTCATTACAAGAAAAAGGCGTGAATGGATTAGATTATGTGTTTCGTGTTAGGAACAGTATTGCCTTAGATTTGACGTGTATGTTTTCTTTAATGTTATTGATATTTCTGAAGAAAATATGAGCCGATTTTGGCGCTTCATTATGCAACAAACGGTATTTCGCATAATAAATGAATTTTAATTCATAATGATATCCCAAATAGACCAACGAGGAGTTATCTTTGTAGACTACAAGTCTTTTAAATTCTAATTTTAATGGTCTATGTAGGAATTAGCCTTACAACACCGTCAAGCCCGCGAAACAAACTTGAAAAAATTCCCCATGCATAAACAAAAATTGCCAGCCTATGTCACTGAAAATTAATCGCTCCCAACCCTTTTTCGTTTCGGGTGACGGTATATTATTTGACACCCACACCGACGGCAGTAATCTGGGAACAGTAGTCCAACCATTCTTTTCAATCGATATTCAAGTGAATAAATATTCTAATTTCTCCTTTTTAAACTAGTTTTATTTATTTATTTCTTCATAATTAGCCGATTGGAGGACGGAATTCTTTATATATTTCGTTCAAGGAAATGACACTAATTTAACAATCAGTTAGAACAGAAACCTGCGCCGTTTTTGCCTCTAATTTTGTGATGAACGGCTACATGTTTCAAATGGCTTTAGAAACGAAACGAATTAAAAGCATTATCATTAGTGTTATCACGATTTCACTTATTTTAATTTTTTCTCCATGAATGTCAATTTAGATTCTCCCCGCCAACTGCATCGCTAGCATTTTGAAACTTTGTAAAGAACCCCTCTATCTGATTTCCCTGGGTGGTTCTTAAATACGTAAACGAGAGTTGCCAGAAACGACAGGCGAAAACAACCGCCCAAACTCAGATGTGTTGCAGAGTATGCAACGGCTCATTAACAAAGTAAAACGAAAACATAAAAATGATAACTATGAAATTAGTTATAAACCACTTAGCCTGGATGGGTGTGAAATATGAAAGAAAGCCGTCTCAAATAATTACTCTAAACATTGTACCTCCTGCTTTCTTTGAAGTAACTAAATGCTTTAAAATCTACTCCTACAGTTATAGGTTTCTTCGCATTATTTCCTCCTCGACATCAAACTGGTTTAAATCAAACGTAAACTAATATCAGGTAAGGGACGCAGGGGCCTAGTGCAATTGCAACTGGACTCTGGGTCGAGGGATCCTAGTTTCGAGACCTGGCTGGGTTAACGTGTTGTGTTCTTTTGTACAAAGCACTTAACTCTCACAGTGCCCTCCACCCAGATGTTAAAATGGGAGCTAGCGAATTGTCAGAGAAATCTGAATCTGAGGGGAGGGAGGCAGGGGGGAAGTTCTAGCATCCCATCCAGGGGAAAAATGAATACTCCAATTTGCTTTGTGCTATTGATACTTGGATAAGCTCCGGGTTGACAGGCCAATAAGATCGAGTATAGACTTTACTTAACAGTGTCACTTTCCTTCCTTTGAGTTTAACCAATAAGAAAAGAGCACTGAGGGTAAACTAAATAAAATGAACAAGGAAAATGAACAAGGGGACAGGAGAGACATTGTCCCGCACATCTCTGTTGGTGTGTGTATGCCGTGTTTGTCTGTGTTATACAAAACAGTAATATCATTAACTTCTTAAAGTATTATTATAAAAAAAAATAGATTGAAAAATGAACTTATTCCAATAAAGAAACAATGAATGAGTAATAAAAAAATTAAAAAATAAAAAGATAAAGCAAAGGAAACTATGAAGTAAATCTAATGATTATGAACAAGATTTTCTCCTCAGTCGTTTTGGGTAAGTACATGACTAAGACACTTCCTCAAAGTTTCTGAACTTGCAACAAACACCATAAAACTGTAACATCGTCAACAAAAACATTCACGGAGACCACAATGACACAACCTCTCTAATTTTCTAACGTAGAAAAAACAAGGAGAAATTTTTTCATTTGGCAATCTACGTCTTAAATGATTTGTTACAACTATGTGTAGACGTCTAGTTTGATGAAGCTTTTCATCTCACGATAAGAGATGTATTAAATCAATTTAAATCCTATTTCTTACTTGAGGGATCTTTAGTTAAATAATGTTTATCTTTGGAATTCGTCAGTAATTTGCTAAGTAGATTATTCATTATGAAGGCAATCATCCCTGGTGGATAGATGAAAGGTGGGCACAGTTTTGAGCACAATTATCGGCAGTGTTTGTACGTCATTAATTATTACTGTCAAAAATCTGAACTTATTGACTGTATAATCTAAAGTTATACAGTTAAGACAACTTAAAAAGATAACATCTACTCAAATTTGGCTAAAACAACTGGCAACACAGAACTGAACAGTCATTAGCTTCCAGTCAATCAGTACACACACCGCGCTAGAAGAAGACCTTAGTCGTTCATTAAAACTGCACACTGCCTTTCAACTCCATGGAATCAGCTGTGGTAATAAAATTGCCTTTTTTTCTTGTTGTTGCTGGTTTTGTAACCACAGCTAAAACTGCTTCTAATTCGGCTCATTTTTCAATTTTGTTTTAAACTGTAATATTCAAATTGAGGAAACGATAAATATCATGACTTCTCCATTAAAATGAAGCAATCAGCAAAAGCGACTATAGAATTCATTTACTCTCTTCCATTACATTTATGGATATATCAAACAATCAGTCAATCACTAAGCGAGATTCTTCCTTCCCAACAATAATAAGTGATTTGCAATAAACATAACATGTGTTTATTCTTCATGAAGTAAGTTTTTGCTTTGATTTTCGATTTATTTTTCGGTTATCTCACCTCAGTAGAGTCATGTGTAACTTTCGACGTGATGGTTCTTCCAAATGCATCTATTGTATGCAGTCGGTTTTCGTCGCGCAAATTAATTACGAATGCGTTTATTTAAACACCTGGACGACTGATTGAATAGGTTTTATTACCTCAAAGAATAATAATCTTAGTCAGTTGCTGCCTCGATCCTTAACTTTTTCCCATTCGTTGACACTAAAGTTCATTCCTAATTTTCAACGAACACCGAGAAAATGAGAGTTTATCCTTCATTGCTAGTACTCGTAGTTGTTTTTACGGGAGAGTTTGGCAGAGGAGGTAAGTATATAAGTTTCAGTTATTGCAGAGATATGGAAAAAAAATATGATTTTGGTCGTGGCTCCGTCATGTAGTTTTCCCTTGTAGGGAAACTTATCTAATACTTAAGATTGCTATTCGAGTACTTGTCTCCAGTGAATTTGAATATGACATGAATGATTTAAATAAGAGAAAGGTTTAACTAAAAAAAAAGAGAAACTTCGGACATATCTTAAGCCCTCGGGAATAGAAATTTGAGAATAAACATGTTTCTTATGAATTCATAAGGTCTAAATTTAGAGTAACATTTATCTAAAAAGAAAGATCGTAAAGTAGAAGCGACTTATGTGAAGCAACCCAGCCTACAAGGGCAGCGCATAAATGGAGCTTTGTTGTGGGTGTGTTCTTGTTCGTTATTCAGAATTTCAATAATTTCGTGTTTATGAAGGAATAATTATTCTTATTTGAGAAAGTCATGTCCTTCAAACTAAGACCTACTCATTTTCAACGGAGTGGTCAAGCGGCAAAATTCAAAGATAAGATTTTGCTCCTTTCCAAAATTTCACTGCTGTAAAAATGATATAAGCAACTGAAAACTCCAATCTTTTTTTGTTCTTTTTCCTATTAGATTTGACTATGTATTCATAATGGGGTGTTTTAAGTTCATAACTTTAGTCAACTGAACATATCATAAAGCCAGATTATCAAAACTGAGTCTTTATGCAATGATTACGTTTCTATAACACTCTATTTTTTAATTTTAGAATGTACAAAGCCTTTTATTTCAACAAGCACAGTTACAGCTTCATCTCAGCTTTCTCCACAATATTCCCCTGAGCATGCAGCTTTGTCTTCTCAAACAGCATGGTGTCCAAAACAAAACTTTACTGACGAAGAATACCTTCAGGTTTGTGTTTATTTTCCATCGCTAAAGTAAAACTGTTGCTTTTAAATTTTCAAAATACTAAAGGTTATAATTGATAGTAAATTCAAAACAAAGTTTTACCGCAAGTTTTCATTCTGACAATGAGACTTCTATGATTCGGCTAACTGATAACCAAACATCGAATGAATAGACAGTCATAGACAGTCATTTCTATAACATTTAACTTGTTTCTTCTATTGAGTTAAGCAACTGATTTAACACGGAATTTTAATTTTTCTTTAATTATTAATTAAACAAGTGAATCTTAACCTTTTCACTGCCAAGACCTCAATAGTAACTCTCCTTACTCTCTGTCATACAACTCTAATGATGTTAATTTTAAGATTTTGGAATAGGATCGACTAATATGCTCTTAATTTATATTTTTCTATATTCTCGTCACTTGTCTGCTTGATATTTAGCCGTTTGTACGGCTAAAGGTCAAAGAAACTAATTAAAGATAATTTACGCTTCAGGTTGATTTTGGTGGGCGGAAAGTTGTGAAGAAAATTAAAATTGCCGGTGAGGCAAACCCCCCTGTTAACGAGACTGCCAGGAGTGTAACTAAGTACCTCATTCAAGTCAGTGCCGACGGAGCTACATATGAAGACTTTGATGCGGTGAGAGGGACAAATTTCACAGTACTTCTGAAATGGGGAAACGGTTATGATCATTACGTCCTCTTGTTAGTTATACATTAACGGTGGACTTGGATATGGGAGAGAATCTAATGATAACAACTGGATAAACATTAGAATTAATTCACATTTGAACGTGTGTGTCTTAATTGTCACAAAACAAAGAATTTGATCTTAAATTCTAAAGAAATTACTTCTAATAGAAGTAATGATTGTTACTAGCATTTAAAAGTACCGTTTAGTTCATTTTATCTTGTTTTGGTACAATCATATTTTCCCAGGTTTCAAAACCAATGGCTGAAATGGAAATAAGAACCCAGTACATCCGTCTGAAGCCTCTGGAATTCCACAAATTTCCTTGCATGAGGCTTGAAATTTACGGATGTAAAGGTGAGATGGCAATATCTGTTAGGAGTTCACAGTGACTGTACAACTCAAATGATTCTTTCTTTTTAACATTGCTTGGAAAAAGTACGAGTTAAGTAAGTGTGAAGTGAAGTAACGTTCTTTGTTGCTTAGCTCATCTATCGTCTACTATAATATCTCTTGGAATTTAAAAAGAAAGCAAAATTTAAAAAACAAACAACCAAAAAACATCAGGAAAAACATGAAAAGAAATGAAACGAAAACTGGAGGCAGAACAAACGCATAAACAAGATGAACTAAAAAAGAAAAAGACAGAAAGCTAAGACTACAACAAAATAAGACCAAACAAGACAAAACAAAAGAGAGAAGGCAAAACAAAAGAAAAAAGACAAAAGCGAAAGGAAAAAAAAATATGAAAGCAGAGGCAGAACATCACATATAAAATAAAGTGAAGAAGGTGTTTCCCCTGGATGTAGAAATTAAAGGAATCTCGCTTCTCATCCATCCATTCCCTTTTGTTCTAATTCATTTATTCTTCACCATTAACTGTACAGCAAAGAATCCTGAACTGTGCAGTGAAAACAACGGGGGCTGCTCTCAGATATGTGAACAACGTTCCAAGTATTGTATTTTTGGTAAATGCTACTTTAACTGTCATATCGACTTCTTGTGTACACGATGGGTGGAATGCAAGTGTCAGTCTGGATACAAACTGCTGGCAAACGGGAAGAATTGTGCTGGTAAATTTAATTATTTTGCTCGTATTTATTGACATCTTTTCAGGGATTGCCTGTTCAAGTTTGTTCTTTTCTTTTCTACGGTAGTTTGTTTATGGAATTTTTTAGCCCTTGATATTCAATCCAAATCAAGGAATCCCCAAATTGTAGCCAATCGAATGAAAGACTTTTAACAAATTTTCGCGTAGTTGTTGGTTTGAGGCAAACTAGAACACCTGAAAACAACGACAAAGGTGACGGTGAATGGTCAAGTAGCAACTATCGCTCCTTTTTGCTGCTTGATATTTTCTAAATTTAATCTCGATCTGCTGAAATTTTCTGTAAATATCTCTTTGAGTTGTGTAAGGTTTTCTCGGCTCATTCGTATGAATACATATGAAATAAAAAATGAAATAAAGTCTTTGAACAAACCGTTCTTTCAATCATTATAAGCTTTTGGGAAGCTTAAGTTTGAGTTTGCATACTTACTTCGTTACTTGTCACTTTGGTTGATCAGTTTTGACCAACAGATTAATTAAATTTTGCATTCAATTTTCACCAATGTGTAATATACAATGCTTTCTTGTTCAAATTGATAACAGATATAAACGAGTGTGAAACCAACAATGGCAACTGCGACCAGATTTGTAAAAATTCTAAAGGAAGTTATCAGTGCAAGTGCCGCAGTGGGTTCCTTCTTGACAGCGACAAGCACAAATGCAATGGTAACCATGAAAAACAAATTGCCTCAATATCTATATTTAGAACTAAATACGTTTATTGGTAAAAAAAAAAAAAAATAGGAATCTGGGCGACCAAAGCCTTACAGTATCATTACCCAATGAGAAATCAAAATTAAAATAAGCAAACTGCTATAAAAACGGACAACGCAAACGATCAATTAAGGATTTTTTTTATGTTTTGCATCTTATTGGTTTGGAGGATGATTCGAGATTTCTGGACCAACTACAGAGCAAAGTCGAATGAAAGCAAAGCAATCTCGGATTGATCTTGACACTCCATTGTACATTGCTCTATGTACTTGCGGACTGAAATTTTTTCTTCAAGATTCAAACTTGTTGAGGCCTGCATTAAATTTTCATCCGTTATTTAAGGTTTACAAAAATAAATAAGTTTGTTTTCGAATGCCAAATGAATAAAAAAATTAATGAATAGTGTGAGCGAGTGAGTGAAGAGTGAATAAGAGAAAGATGGTGTGAACGTAATTGAGTATGTGAGCCAGGCGGGGATTTCATTTTTGAGTGAGTCCATAAACTAAGTTTATAAAATTACGTTCAAGCGTTCTGGATGCTCCTAAGATAGCAATGTTGAGATCACTATGTGTACAACTCTGATTCGTTACGTGCTGTCCTATTTCAGACATAAACGAATGCAACAACAACAATGGCGGCTGTAATCAGCTTTGCAGAAATAGTTTTGGGAGTTATCATTGTGAGTGCTCCGTGGGATACAAGCTTTCACAGGATAACCATACTTGCGTTGGTAAGAGTCTTAGATAATGATTTTTATTATAAAGATTTCTAATCCCTTTCCCAAAATTAAGCTAAACCTTTGAGTTTATAAAGACTTCGCTCCCCGGCTTGCTTTAAGTTCCTCGTGCAAACGTTATACATGTTTTTATTTTTAATAGGTACGATTAAGCGATTCCTTTTTAAGGACCAGACATTATCCATGTACGATGTACGATGGGGGGGGGGGGGGGAAGGGAGGGAGGGGTTAAAGGTTATCTGGGAGTGTTTCTCAAGGGGAAAGAAGGGAGGATAAGCTGTCGCAGACAGAACATGAAGGGAAACTATAGAAAGTTGGCTGCCAATTCGATCACGTAAATTTTATCGTGACATAACCATTATTCCCCCCTCCCACCTCAGCCGATAAAGAATGACCACTATCTATGGTTTTCTTATCGCTCTGTATTAGATATCGATGAATGTGCAGTTGATAATGGCGGGTGTAGTTATGGATGCCAGAATCTTCAAGGACGCTACATCTGCACCTGCCCTATCGGATTTGAGTTGGATCGAACGCAAAAGAACTGCAAAGGTATTTAGTTTTTTCCCTTCATAAATATACAGGTCAGCCCAAAATTCCAAAAGAATGTTCGGTATTTAATTTGAAAAGCATGTTATTTACTTGCTTTACGGCTCGTGATTTAAAAGCTTTACTCGCGCTCTCCCAACATTCTGCGTGGCTTTATCGCGTAATAAAACCCAAGAAAACATTTTCTTTTTTATTTATAATTGTCATGGTTTTGTTGATCTTCCATAGATTCAAATGAATGCTTGCTGGCCAATGGTGGCTGCGAGACTAACTGCCACAATACCAATGGAAGCTATTACTGCTCGTGTAACAATGGCTTTGAGTTATACGATACATTCAAATGTAGAGGTAAAATATGAGGAATATATTGTAGTGTGTGGCATTAAGTATGGGATCAGTTACCTATGCATAAATTGGTAAAATTTATTCCCAAACGGAAGCTGCTGTTCCGATTAAAAAAAAGTAAATGAATAAATAAATAAATGAAAGAGAGCCTTGTCCATCTTGATCCAACCGCTGAGTCCTCGAGCTGCCTTAACTCGCTAGTAATCTCTTGAGGCCCGTTTATTTAAAGTTTAGGGCGTGAAAAAGCACCTAATACAGGCGCCAATGCGACTAAATTTTTACTGTGAGGACCAAATCCTGAAAACTAGTCGCCAAATTGACTCGACTAGAATGCTTCATCATAGCCATACCTAAAGATGCAGTGAATTAAAAAGATTTGCAAAGAAAAATCCGCGGCAAACTTTTTCGCTAAGTTCGCTTCCAAAATGCGGCACATGTATCTCGATCGATAACTCGACGCCATCTTGGATTTAGGTGAGTTTGAAAGTTGTGTATCATCCATCTTAGTATCCAATTTGAAGAACTTTGCAGACCTTAATTTTGGAGGGTCTATTTAGAACGCTGACAGCGTAAAAAAAATGTTTTTTTGTCTTAAAGAATGGCGACCAACTTTTTTTGAATTGGCTACCACTTTGAACAATTTAGGAGCCAAGTGGCTATCAGAAAAAAAAAAAAAAATTAATTGCACGCCATGAAGTCTCGGTCACTTAACGGGCCCTAAACCATACTTTGAAATTTAAATCTTAAGATTAGGGTTGTGGGACCCTACCCAGTCAATTAGTTACTTTAGCTGATAGCTTTATCATAGAATTTTGAAAACTTTTGAAACTACCATATTGCAAGAAAACAGAACTTACAGCTTTAATGTTTTGTTACTGGAACCTTCGAGACACGACCTATAGCTCCTCTGAGGATCAATTTTTTCTTGATAGTGAGACTTTTGGAATGTACCTCTCCTATATTCGAACAAAAATATTTATTCCCCTCTTTCCTTATTTTAATTAAATTTTAATGGGTTATGTCTTTACAGACATTGACGAATGCTCTCGAAATACTGACAACTGTAACGAGACCTCTACAAGCTGCCAAAATTTCCAAGGAGGATACGAGTGTCCCTGCAAGAGTGGCTTCAAACACAAACAGGGAGACTCATACAATTGTGACTGTAAGTACCATATCAGTGATGGTCCTGTTGGATTGATTTTTCTATTAAGTGTCGAATGTAATTTAGAATTCAATTGAATGTCCTAATTTTGCTACGTTATTGGCTCAAAGCAACAAAGGCAACGCATGTCACCTTCTCGACCAAAAAGGTACAATACTTGAGGACCCGTTCATTGATTTGAGAACTTTCATCTACCTGCCCTTGACCGGCTTAATTATCTAACCACTGAGTTCTCATTGCTTCCTTTCGTAATTTCCTTTGCTCTGACCTGGATTATTTACTTTCGTGTCCTACCTATTGGTTAGTCAATCGAATAGCACCTTTGATCGATGGATCTTCATTATTGACCCCGTTCTACTTGATTCCACGAACAAGATTATCGAAGTATATTTTATGTTCACATTCTACCCTCAGCCAGGGGGACGACGGATTATCTTCATTGTTGGAGTAACCAATACAAATGGCTTTGATCATTTCCCAGATATGTGAAGTGAATTTTTGCCTTATTATCTCAAATTACTAAATTTATCCTTGATTTCAAGTTAACACTTGAAGGTAATAGCTTGTGATATTATAACTTTCGTCATCTTAGTGATTATAGCATTTCTCGATTGAGTTTCATAAAAGTGAAACCAAAGTGATAACAACGACCATATATAATTGTAGGAGAAAGGAAAATGCCTTTAAGAGCCAGTAGGAACTCAAAGCATAACCAACCAAAATACTCATCAACCTAATAGAGTGGTGTAAATGACGAGTGACGTGTCAGCAGCTGATTGGCGATAACAAACACACCTAAAAAATGTTTACAATTTTACATGTGAGCAGTTACGGCTTTTCCCAGGGCTGGAAATCAAAGTAAAACACCGCAGTTCATGAAATGAAATATTTCCATATATTTTTTTATTTTTTTACTTTTGAAGTCATCACTTGCCCAGCCCTCTTGGAGTCTATGGGCACATCTGTGAGTCCTAAGCCTCAATGCTTAGTCGTTGGCGGCAGGAAAGTGAATGAGACTTGCAAGTTTAGTTGTAACAATGGATACGAGCTTCCAGATCCAAAGAAGGACACCCTCACCTGTTTGGTAACGGGTTCATGGGATGCACCCATCATAAATTGCCAACGTAAGTCTCGAAGATTAATTGGGAGTGTTTCTTTATATTTCGAAAGGGAACTGAGGTGTGCATGTTATATTTTTAGAATGAAAAATGAATGAAGTCAAATAACTTTGCTATCACTGGCTTTTGCTTTGCTTGTTAGGTTGTTTCTTTCATTTAATTTAGTTTTTTTTTGCCGCTGTTTTGATTTTTTTTTAAGCAATGCCAGTAGTAGTAATAGTAGTAGTAGTAGTAGTAGTAGTAGTAGTAGTAGTAATAGTGGTAGTAGTAGTAATAGTTGTAGAAGTAGTTGTAGTAGCAGTAGAAACCCAAGATAATTTACTCTATTGTTTACATATTATCTTTTTCTTCCAGGTATAACATGCCCAGCCTTACCTCCTATTCAAAATGGGGACCTACTTCCGGATATTTGCCCAATTTCCGGAAATAGTTTTGGCAGCAGTTGCGTTTACAGTTGCAAATCAGGTTATAAATTGACCGGCGTGGGTACGAAAACGTGCCAAGCGAATGGAGAGTGGGACGACAAAACTACACCGAGTTGTAATAAAGGTAAATGTTTAATCGGCAATGGGGAATGAGGTCAAAATTAGCCGAATTCCGAGGTAGTTATTTATCGATATCCTTGCTAGTCGGTTTGGTGTTTCCATAATTTGTTCCTTTTAATTTGCCTTACTTTTCTATTTGCTTCAATGCGCCTAAGTCACTTGCGCTCAACTCGCCAAAAGATCTTCGATACGCACTGTTTCTTCGCCAATTACTTGCTAAAAATTTTTCGTTTCCTTGTTTTGTTTGTCTGTTATTACCGCTGCCACTGATTTTGGTGCTTTTGTACAATATGGCTATTTTTCTGCAGATTATCCGAAGCCATGGATCACTTGCCCTACAGATGTCGTTGCTACCCTTGCACCAAACGCTAAGGAACACGATATAACTGGGTTGCTAAGTCAACCACAGTCCAATGTCAAAAATATTCACATGTACCCAGATAAGTACCGCAGCAGCCTGGTGTTCCCGTCAGGCTTAACTGTGCTTACTTACGTCGCTAGTAACGAAATCGGTGAAACAGCGAATTGTACTACAGTTGTGACCATACAAGGTAAAAAAGGCTTCAATTTTAAAATGTTTATTATTATTATTATTATTATATTATTATTATTATTATTATATTATTATTATTTATTTATTTGGTTTTTTTTTGTGTTTGTGAAACTAACGTTTTGAAGAAAGCCGGAGATTTAAATCCTTAAAGCTTCTTACCTTTTCCTTTTCCTCAGATCAACAAAAACCGACCATTACATACTGCACTGAAAATATATATCAAGCAATATCAGGTTCAGAAGCTTCCGTTACATGGACAGAGCCAAGCTTCACAGACAACGTCGAGGTTGTAAGAGTCACATCGACAAAGAAACCTGGCGACACATTCCAAATTGGATCTCTTACGGTACTTTATGAGGCGTTTGACGCCGCAGGGAATAAAGAGGGCTGCTCTTTCGTAGTGCAACTAACGCGTGAGTCTTTGAAAGCATGATTTTTTCCGTCTTTGTTGGTATTTTTAAATGGTTTTGTTTTTTTTTTTCTTTGCAATTATTTAGTAGAGAGACTGCCATCTTGTGTTACTTGTCAAGTTGACAGACAGGCTGTCAAGCATTTTATAACAAACGAAGATCCATTAATTTCAAACATTTATAATTAACGTTCATTAGTAGGAGAAATTTATTTTTTTTTCGCTCTTGATGAAATCCAAACTGGTGCTTTGGTAATAAAGAAAAATTCCTATTCAATTATGAATGAGCCCAGCACATGTCTTACGTTTGGTAAACTGCTAATCTTAAAATCCCTCAAGCTTAGAATGCCTAATATAACTTTAATAGCTGCGTTAATGGGATAGGAGTTCTATAGCCCATTTGACGAGGGTCCAAGCAACTGGACGGGCCCGTAAAGTTGTTTTTTTTTCATTCAAGATGGGTGTTTCAAAAGTTTTGAAAATCATTCAATAAAACTATTAGCTAAAGAAAGAAATTGGGCTGGTTAGGGTGATAAACCTGCTTCTCTATTCTTTTAATTTTCAATTTGAAATATGGCTCCGGGGGCCAATAAGTTACCGGGACGATCGAGAAATGGGCCCCAGGTCTAGCTTTTATTCACTTGCAGGGAAGAGGTGCGAAAAACCAAGCGAACAGCCTGACAATGGAGAATTGGTTTGCAATTCAATCGGAGACTTCCTTTACTGTTCAATTAAATGTAACTCTAATAAACAGTTGTTCAAGTACTCTTTTGGCTCAAGTTGCAACCCATCTTCGTTGAAGTGGTCACCAGAGGAGGTTTTAATCGACTGTGTAGGTCAGCATAAAATAACAAAACTTAAATTATTGTACTTGTGATCATGATAACACCTTAAAGTTCTTCGTTAGTAGTAAGTCTTCCGTCATCCAAGTTTGTGGAAAGAGAGGTGGTATGTACATTTCTAAGGAAAATAATTTTATGACAAGACAGCAAATTATATTGCGGTATAATACATACCCAAACCATCCTATAAGCTCATGAATGAACTTAGGCTGTAATGATGCGGGTACCACGCGTTAGATTACAAATATCCTAAATACACCTTATTCGATGGTTTAGCATGTAATAGGCGCGGATATCTTGCGAGTTGCGGAGTATTGACGGGCAATGAGCAAAATTTCCGTTCGTACTATACTAAAGCTGTCCAATGAGGGTTCATTATTCCACTCTCCTTTCTTTTTCTAGACTTTTGTCTTCTAATTTTCGAAACTTAATGCGGTCTTACCTGAGCATTGTACCGATCGCATAATGCGTGCGTGGAAGAAGAAAACTGCAAAAGGAAACCATTTAAGTGACCACGATGACCAAAAGAGACTTCTTGAGTGGCTCGAATGTCGTTGCTGAAAATAACATGTCCGAAAAATTAAAGAGAAATCAAAGATCGCTTGGATCATTTTTGTCCGTATTTTGACCGATGTGTTATAATTTGGGCGTTCTATGGCCCTAAAGTTGTAAAACGACGTCATAGTGCAAGATTAACTTTTGGTACTCTATTACAACTTTTGTTTATCGGACACCGTCAAATTTAAGTACATTTAGTGTTTTCGTTCGGGAAAAACAACAAAATTTAGGCTTGAGAATTTTTTTTAACGTTTGTAATAACTTTTCATTTCCTTTTCCTCAAGACCCTTGAGCGAGTTAGCTGTAGATTTACCTCTGTATGTTTGACATTGTGTTGTTATTGTTTGCCTCATCAGACTCTGTCGCCATGCCGGCAAGTGGAGAGTGCCCTCATCCAACAATTCCGCAGCCATCCCTTATTAATTTCAACAATCCAGCAAAGCCATGCGGTATGTCGCTTTAATAATCCCTAAAGTCCTGTTATGCTTTCTGAACGTTTCTGAAAGCACTTTTAAGAATGCTATCTTACACAGAATCGAATCAATTCAGTCTTACTGATATATTGAACGATGTGTGTCATCTTACCTGGTCTGGAATGTAAGCTGATAGGAATGAGACAAATTGAGTTCCTTCACAAATCAAAACAGAAATTTAGCCCATTAACGCCTATCATTCACATATGTGTCTCTCCCGGTTTCGTTGCACTGTGACAAGGAACATTATTCCATTCAACCTTGATTTTGTCTTTACTGAATTATTTTCAGTTAAATGTCCTCGAGGGATGAAATTTGATATGACACAGAAAGACTGCCTAGCATGCCCTATTGGTTACACAAGTGAACAAGAATCAAGCCTGAATTGCACCAAGTGTCCAGAGAAAAAAAGCACCAGAAAGGAGGGGTCGAAAACATGCGAAGGTAAGCACGATGCTGTGGGTTAAGGCGCTATTTTTAATGTTGTTCTTTCTTTTTCTTCATTGTCTATTGGTTTGTTTGTTTGTTTTGCTTCTTTCCTTTTCTGGTTGAAATCGTTTTTCCTTAATTGATTACCGATTGACTGAATCACCGATTCATAGACTGAGCTGTAGTTGTTGAGCTGTGAGTATACACAGTCCAAGTTTTCGGTTGGCTATTTATTAATGTTACTTGGAACTTTTGTCTTTCTGTCAAGATCTTTGTGATAAAGGGATGTCATCAGGAGATGGGTTCGATTCTCCTGACAAACATGCGTGTTATTTTTGCAACGTTGGATTCTATCAAGATCAATATGGTGCCACACAGTGTAAGCAATGCCCGAATGGACTCACAACAATTGCGAAGGGATCAACCTCCTTGGATGACTGTGGAAGTAAGAGCAATCATATTATTTAGCTCTGACCTCATTCAGTTGTTTCCTAAGCTAAAATTGTGTTGAAATATGATGTTATTCAGTGAATGACACGGGCATACTCGGAGAAGAAGAACTCCGAGTGCTTCTAATAGGAGACGAACCTTCGACCTTGCGATGAATACTTCGGACGCTCTACTACTGAGCTACAGAGGGCTCGTTGCAGGCTGTTTACTGCCAGAAGAGGAACGTTTTTGCTATCACTGCTTTTCGTTTAGCTACCTTCTTCACTGCATAAACTCACTTCCGTTTCTTTGTAATTATTTGATTTATTTTTGCCTTTTCTAAAATTAATTTCCCTTTCTTATATCACATGTACGGAATAATCCCAAACTGGTGATATACTTCATCCTATTCAAATGCTACTGCTTTATTATTGCCTTTAGTAACACCAACAGTTTCTTCCTTTGGACCTCCTTCCATGGTCGTCGATGTGGATGAAAATGGCAGAGTTCAATTTGAGTGTATGGCAGCTGGACCACCAGAACCTACGTTCTTAGTTAAAAAGACAAAGCCAGCACCAGGTTTGTGGCGAGAGTTTGAGTCGAATTATCCTTATAACATATCTGAAAAGCAACCTGGCTCATAAAGAAGAAAGATTGATACTTGCGGGGGCGTAATCAACCAACCGCATTATTATCCACCCAACTGCTGTGAATGACAACCCAAATCAAAACCACGACCATTTTAATATAATTTTCAGTCCAACAAGGCAGCGATGACTGATTAGGAAGTTGATTAGCGTTGAATCCTGTTCGTGAGAAACCAGTTATGAATTATACTTTTAATAAGTGGTCCAAGCGTTAAGTTGCAAAGTACGGGGAACGATGTTTGGCGAGAGTAAACGAACCACAGGGGTCTCCTAAAGAGTAACCGAGAGGAACTGTATTGGGAGTGGAAGTGACTGGTTCCTCTTCTTCTTTTGATAGCGCGGCTTTTAGCTTTATTAAAGTTCTGCTGCGAACTTTTTTAAAAGAATTTAATTGTGCGGTAATACTGCTTTTTTTCAGACGGTTTCGGAGGACCTGTTAGGATAGAGTACATCAGGTCAGGTAATGCAGTGACTGGTGTACGCTACATAATTCTCAGTGCGACAGAACATGACGCCGGACTATACTTTTGCACCGCCACCAACAAGTTTGGATCGGATACGAAGCAACTCACTTTGAATGTCCAAATTTCCGGAGGAAGTGGGTCAGGTAATAGAAGTTCAGATAAAAGATCACGGATGTTATTATTATTATTATTATTATTATTATTATTATTTTTAATATTATTATTATTATTATTATTATTGTTATTATTAATTTATTTAGTTGTTTAGTTTTTTAGTTTGTTTGATTAGTTATTGTTTATTTTTTTATGCTGAAACCTTGAAAAATAAGAAGAAAATGACCATTTTAAACTATCCAAGATTTAAAAACCAGGTTTAAGTTTATGTTTAGATACATCGTAGACAAGGATCTTCCTCGGACTGAACATAAACAAGCTTTGGTCTTTCAGGCCAAACCCTGAAAAACTCTGAGGTAAAAGTGCCTAAGATGTGAAATCCGCTTATTAAAAGTGTAGAAGAACTGTAAAAACTGTAAAATTTCGGCCTTCGTCATGCATCTGGAAAATGTGAAACACCCAAAATTCTGCATACTGCCTTTTTTGTCGACCGTTTGGTCACCGGAAGTTGTTTGATGAATTTAGATCGATAAGAGCCCTAAAAACCAGCTTTCATCACCTGAATTCAGAGAAGCACTAGAATTGGAAGAACAGCACACATCCATACCTTACACATCCTTGGCTGATTGGTAAATCATAATGTAATACATGCCGGCATAGAGATGCATCATATACATTGTATACTCTGTAGCTTCCTTTAGTTGACAAATGTGGTATTCATTGACAGGTTAATCTTTTTTTCCTTTCTCTCCTCAAGGAGCTTGACGCCTTGAAAGAAATATCGTTACGTTATGCTTCAGTACCGAACGATTGAGTAGAGTGACACAAGGATTCCTTCTTTTTCACTGAATCAATTGATATGATTATCGTGTGTATTGTGACAAATCAAGGACTACCTAACAAAATAAAATTAGATAAAGCGGGATTAACAATGTGTTTTTTTTTCAAATTAATGATGGAAAGGAGAAAGGAGAAATTGTGTGATTGCATTTTGGGGATGTTTTATTTGAGTCTTAAAATAGGAAAAACTTACTCTTCTGCGCCACAAATCTATCAAACTCTCTTTGATGGCACCAAAAAAAACTCGCCAAAACCAGCTGGCTTATATTTATTTAACAAAAGTATGTCGTTTATACTAATTACTAATTAAGAGCATTTTAGTGCAGATACTACGGTTACTCACATTCAGTTTTATCCGCAAGGGGCAGCGCAAAATTAAAGACCTTGACCGTGAGTCCAGCACAACTGGATCATGCCCAATTGATGCTGTGACAGTTGTTGGGAAGCGTACCTCTTCGTTAAGGGTGCAAAGTGCAAAAAGGGAGGGCATATTTTTCTATTGTTATCTGCTCATAAGCTCGCGGTAATTACGCTAAGCGGTTTTTACTCTGCGAGTGAGACTTCAAAAACAGTCAACTTTTTGATCTCCCAGATAGATGGTCAGTCGAAAAGATCGAGTCATGCCGCAATTGTACGGTAAATCATCTTGGATGTACGGCCAAATACAACTCCTATGCCCCTACCCAGAAAGTTTTATCGCTGCATAACTTAATTGACCACTTATCTTCATTTCTACTCTTTCGGAGCTTTTGTTGCTCAGAAAAATTAACAGACCTAGTTGCCTTGTTTCCCTATTGCTATCTGCTTATAAGCCCGCAGTAATTACGCTAGGCGGTTTTTACTCTTAAAGATGAGATTTCTAAAACGGTTTAAGGTGGCTCGAAACAGCTTTTTTTTTTTGCCTATTTAGTGTATTTAGGACCAACACAAAGCAAATAGCAACACAAAGAGCTTTTAGAGAAAGGCCCACGAACAGACAAATGTTCAATTTTCTCGAAAATTCCACGGTAAATTGTGTTTCAGTTTTTCTGTCTTAGAATTATGCATTTTACCTGAGAGCCAACTTAAATAAAATTCTGTCAGAAATTTTTTTTGAAAATCCCCGCGTTTTGGAATTCATTCTTAATTTTTTCTCTGTTTACAGAATTTTTAAAAAAATCGCTCTCAAGACATTGTGGGCGGAGCGAAGACAACATGCTAAAAGAGAAGAAAAAAAATTACCGAGCGAAAGCGGAAATAATGCCGCCGAAAGCTTCAAATTTCTAAACATTTTGACACGACAAGGTAGGCAACTGCGCATGCTCAGAGTTTTTACACGAGAGAGAACACGCAAGACGCACAGGACATTCTATTTTCGCATTTTCTGTTCAATTCACTTTGTCGGTTATCCTGTACAGATAGTTCAGCTTTATTTCGGCTAGACGTTTCGAATAGCCATTAGCTGAGCAGCTTTTTGTTTTGCTCGATGTCGAAAATCGACCGGTACTTGGATCGCGCAGGAACCCGGAACTAATCGACGTGGCACACGCTCGATCTTCTTAGTCATTACGAGAAGCAGAGGAATCCTCTTTCCCAAGCACATGTTGCATTATCAACTGAAGTTATTACAAACACTGTCACCAAAAGGATCCCAAAACAAACTTTCACTTTGACGTATTGAAAGAAAAATTGCGGCGATGTGAGGCTGGGAAGATCATTACGTTTTGAAACAATTCACCTGAACTTCTAACTCTTAACTTATTTTCTTTGTAAAGAACATGGTAACTTAAGAACGAAGAAAGCGATCTCGGCCTCATTACAAAAGAAAAACACAGTCTACTTGGCCGGCGGAAAATCAAGCGTGACACGAAAGCGGCTGCCATCTTTGTTTACATATTTTTTTCATTCGCAAACTTTAAAAGTCCCGCGTGTGATCGCGTGTATTGGAATCCAGTTCTTACGCGCCAAAAAGCTATTGCGAGCCACCTTAACTTGCTCTCCCAGATTAATGGTCGGTCAAAAGGATCGAGTCGTGCCATGGACTGGTGCAAGTATATGGCCAAGTGCAACTCCTATGCCCCTACTTTTAATGTAGATGTCTAATCCAAAGTCTACCCTGAACGTTTATCGCCGCATAACTTGACCTCTTATCTTCCTTTCTACTTTCTCAGAGTTCTTGTTGCTCGGAAAAATTAACAGACCTAGTTGCCTATTCATTCCTTTTTCTTTGGGCTACTTCATAGACCAATGCGCTCGAGTGATGGCAACAATATTGCACGCAGTGAAATTGAACTGAAACAGACGGTATTTATTAATGATTAAGAGGAAGCAGCTCTTCTTCCTATGATTTTAGATAGTTCGCTGCTATTAAAATCGAAATTTTAGAACGTGTTTAAGGAAAGGGGCTGACGGAAGCTTTTTGTTTTAGATATGGCAAGACTTCCCAGAGCCATTTTTATGAACCACGCGTTTCAGTTTGGGAAACAATAACAGGAACACAAAATAAACGAAACACCGGCTTCATCCCGCTGGTTCAGCTGTTATATCCAGCTACATTATCATTGCCATCGCCCAATAGAGAGTTTTCTTTGAACAATAGTCAGTAACCACAACTGTAACATACGTAGCCGCAGTTTCATGAAATGTATCCCATGCGGAAAACCTTCTTAATTCGGAGCTCATTTTGCGATCAGGGCAACATAATTTTTTTTACTGGAATAAATATGCAATAATGTTAAAATTATTTAAGAGCGAGCGTGAGACACCGTGATAAGTCATATGATTTAGTAGCCTAAAATGGAAGTTTGCAGTTTCCATAGTTAAGATCATGATATGTAAACGCCACGTAACGGAGTTACCCAGCCTTCCTTATAAATGAACGTCGTTCTGGATTTCTTTTAATTGAAGTTTGTAGTCAGTTTTCTCGACGAATATAACCACACTTATACATGCCTGATTAGATGAGGCTCCTTATTCGCACAGTAATATTAATCATGTCGAATTAAATGGCTGAGGAAACTAATAAACGGGTGAGCAATGCCTGTGCTGTTTCACTTACACTTGATAAAGTTTCATTCTTCGTTATTTGAGCCTTAACATTTTCAGGCGGATTACTTTGATCTAAATGTAAAAACTGAAAAAAAAAAACAAATAAAAGAAGAAGAAGAAGCTGCGAACAGGTAATTGTTTGAATAGCATAGCCTTTCCATTGTTCAAGTGGAAATTAAGAAATGATTGACATGTTTTTGAAATGTTTTGGTGGAACTAAAATTTTTGAGTTGTTCGGGCGTTGCATTCTGCGCAAGTTCTTATCTGCTAACCATCTAGAACAATCGATTATTCTTAAATACAAAAAGAAAAATGTATAAATAAAATAAATAAAAGATAGCATATTCTTATAAGAGCTTGTGCAAATTTCAGCTCCACCTAAACATTACATCGAGGCATAAACATGTCAATCATTTCTTAATTTCTACTCTCTCTTTCCTCTCCAGTGGAGTTTTTTTTAAGCGTAAAGTGAGAAGCGCAAAATGCTGGACGCCATGGAGGCAAAATTTCAGTTTTTGTGGTCAGTTATGTACTCCTCCATTAGGACTTTGAAGAAAACTCTCCCTACAGAATAAGTTTCATTACCATAATGTATACTTCCTTTATTACTTCACATCACGCCGGAATTTTCACTGGAAAAGAAAAAAAAAAAAAAACAACAACAACAACAAACATTCCAGGCCCCTTAAAATTGGAATAACTTAGCTCTATCTGGTCAGAACAGGAGCAGTGGATTTACCCTTTAAGTCCCAGTAGTGATGTAGACAGAATTTCTCCTTACACAATCAGCACAATAACAAGCAGACAAGTAATGAGACAAAAGAAAAATATCAATTAGGGGATTAATGGCTGATCCAATTGGCAAACAGTAAGGAGAATTATCAACAAGATCTTGGGAATTCAAGGGTTAAAGCTGGTTTTTCGCTTGTTTTCTGTTGTCTGTGTCGTTGGATTGTATAAGTGTAAGCACGTAGTACTTAAAAATAGATCTAGGAAGTATTTTTCGATCGAAAAAAACAAAGAAACAAAAAAAAAAAAAAAACAAAACAAACAAAGAAACAAAAAACTTCCGTCAGCTCTGCTCCTTAAACACCATATAAAATTTCGATTTCAACCTCACTGAACATTTCGATCGTATCTGCGCTAAATTAGAGTTTAAGGGATATTATGAGGACCGCTGCTTGCATTTTTTTATTGTTTGCATTTGGTGTTACAAATGCTTCTGAAGATCAAGTCACCGATGGTAAGCACATTAATTCTTCAGTATCTAATCATACCTTGAATTCATCTTGGTAAAATATGAGCTGAAGGCAATCAAACGTGTGCACTTAAAAATGTATCTTTCTTGCGGGGATTCCGCTGCGACTGACTAAATGCTTTCCTTTGCGAGAAAGTCAGGTTGTTTACATTTGGCAAAAAAATCAAACAGGGTCGACGGATGGTTGAGGAAAAGTTTGAAAAGGATATGAGTCGATTATCATAACTTGATGCTCTAAAAATCAGCTTCTCCCTGCTTCCGTCAGTTCTCTACCTTAAACACCTAATAAAACTTCGATTTCAACCTCACTGAACATTTTCGACAGTTTTTTTGCTTAGTTGGAATTTACGGGATATTTTAAGGACCGCTGTTTGCACCATATTTCTATGTCACCAATGGTAAGCAAATTTCTCCTTAGATATTTAATCATACTTTGAATTAATCCTTGTAAAATATGAACTGAAGATCCTCAAACGTGGACTCCGCCCCAACTGTTTTAATCCTTTCCCTTGAAAGTATGTTAGGTTTGTATACATTTGGCAAAAAGAAAAAGCGAACAAGGTCGACTGATGGGTTGGGGAAAAAATTTTGAAAAGGATGTGAGTCGATTATCATAGCTTGATACTCTAAAATCATCTTCCCTCAACTTCCGTCAGCTCTGTTCCTTAAACATCCTATAAAATTTCGATTTCAACCCCACTGAAGATTTTCGACTGTTTCTTCTACAGGATATTTTGAGGACCGCTATTTCCACCATATTTCTTTTTGCATTCGGTGTTTATATTCAATTAAGTTCGCGTTTTTGCGTGAGGTCGAATCCCATTTACACATCCACACATCTTTATATCTAAATATTTGTCTATCTGGGAGTTAGATTAAACGTGCATTAATGTTGTGGCGTAAAACATGTAATTTATTGCTACATACACGATTTTATAGAAAACTCCCAACGTATTTGTATTCGTTGTTATGATGCAGAAACAGAGTTCAAGCTCACCTTTATATCATTAAACATGGGACTGAAGGGGAAGGGAAGGTGGATGCCACCCCTCAAATGTCTTTTGACTTATGTAGTGACCTAATCTTGCAAATTCACAATTCACTTACCCAATCCCCACTGCACCATGGCAGATGTAGAAACTTTCTTGTGTTGGAGCTTTTCATTCAGTTTTCCTTCTGTGTAGCTTCTTTTAATTTCTGCAATTGAAAGGTAAGTAAATAGATCATTTTGCCTTGTTTGTCTTTTTTCTCTCTTATCGGTCGGCTTCCCGTAAACATTAGTTACGGTCTGCTCCAAGTATATTATCCACGACAAAAAAGATAGCTGGAGTGTAGCCAAGAGACAATGTCGCGAAAAAGAGAAGGGTTCACTTGTCTCTATGGAAACTGAAAAAGAATGGCACTTTGTCAAGAACTTAACCGAAAAGCGAACAAAGAAACGTTGGTTCATTGGCTTGGAAAGATGTGATGGATCTTATAAGTGGAACTGGTTGAGTGGAAGAATCGCCTGGGTCAACGGGACATCAACTGGAACATGGCGTTGGAGTAAAGGAGAACCAAACCATTTTGGAACAGAAAAATGCGGAGAGATGCTGCAAAACGGAAAGTATAACAACATAAAGTGCCAAGCAGACACGTATGATGAAGATCCAGGATATATATGTGAAAAGCAAGTCAGTAAGTTCATGATCATACCGACGCGATGGTAACCCAATTAAAAATCTCAGTAAGAAAAAGAAAAGTCGTAAGCGAACTTTGATTTTGATGCGAGTGACTCTTATTCATATTTTCTTCCTAGATTGTTCCACCATAACCAAAAATTCAAAAAATGGTGATATTTTCATTGAGAGAACAACAAGACCTAGATCAACCCCCCAACCGTTGGTGACAAAGACTATGTCCACCTCATCACTCGGAACTCAATCGGCGAATACTCAGAATAAGCTGCTCTCGGAAGGTAAGATCTACTTCGACGGAAATTTGATATCTAGTATGAACCTAGTCTATTGCGCAGTTCTTGACGGATATTGCACTTTCAAACTCCCTTCCCCTCTCTGGCCACTATAAGAAATAGGAAACACTAAATACAGTTATATTATATATTATAAGAGGGGGATGAGAGAGGGGGAAATCCTATGAGCTTTCTGGAAAATACTCTAGCCTTCCCCATCTATGTTTGGTAGTTGCTGTGACCCTTATAATATACCGTATAGGGATCCCACTGTCCTTCAGAAAATATAAGTCAGCAATTTGTTAAAGGAAACTTTGATGGAGATATTAAAACAAAATCAGTTGATTTTTTTTTACCTTATGCGTATCGGCACCATGAAAGGTTTCGTATGTACAGGTTTAATCGTGTCTGAGTGTTCTGATGGCGAATGAATGAAGTAGACGATTTTATGAAAGAAAAACAGGCAATATTATTTTTGAAAGATTGCTACCTTTAAATTGAGGGTATCAGTTCTGTCGAAATGGATCAAAATGCACTTTGCCCACTCTATGGAATTATTTGTATAATAAAAATGTAACCTAAAATTTCTCCTACGTGAATCATCGAAGTTATTTGACGCAATACCACTCCAGTTTGCACCTGAACTGAGTAAGGCCGAATGAACTACACCTAGCGAGTACGATTTAAGAGGTGACAAGCGTTATCTGATCCCCTTTTCTTTTAACTGACCAGGATACTCTATATTAGGGTGATGTGGAAGGTTTTCCACATTAAATGTTTGTTGACATTTTGAATTTTTACGAGGACATAAATGGAACGATACGGATAATATGTCATTTATACACTCCAACTTTTCCTTTTCCTACTTATGGCTTTTCATTTGGTTTCGCATTTCTTTCGGACGCGAAGTAACATAAATTACCACAAATATGATAGATTTGGTAGATTTTACTATGAAGATGGGGAAAATGAATGTGTAAGGGAGAAATTCCAATGACAGGTTTTTGAAGCAGGAAGAAATATCGGTGGTTTCCTTTTGCTTCGCACTTTGTTTAGAAAAAGCTAAAAAATGTAAGGCATTTGTAATTGTTTGTTTTTTTTTAATGCAGAAAACAGTAATTGCACACATGTTCAGTTACCGTAATGATTTGATTTAGCGCCCGGGGCGCTTATTTACTTTTGGTACCTCAAGGAAGGGCGCTTATTCGAGACAGGGCGCTTATTCGGGACAGGGCGCTTATTTAAGTTTTTGAGAAACAACCAAATGGTTAAAGCATAACTTTAATAAATATTAAAACAACTAACAATAACAGAAACTGTAACAGTAACAAATTGTTTAAAGTTCAGTTACTTTCAAAAGAATTCTTCATATTATATACCGTAGCTGTAACAAGTATACATGTACGGTACGTTGAATGTTCGTGAGTTTATCTACCGTATTCGATGTCGATGACTTCAGTGTCACTTACGTCAATTATCAAGCTATCTGGTGCCGCATCCTCGACGTCGGATTCTGTGATCCCGTCGAAAGGATCCTTGTCGCGTGAATTGCTCATGGCTTGTTGAACAACCTTGAGCCGTTGTCGTGAGCATGTCTTGCCAAACGGCTGTTTCGTCCATTGCTATAATGTCACTGTCACTGTAGGAGAACTTTACACGTAGCCGTCTTGCTTGTAACACATATGCGATCAGTTTGTCAATTAGTTTTTCGGGATCCTTTTGGGATTCCGTTGTCTTGCGCCGTATGCATAACTCATGTCTGGTCATGAACTTCTGCACCCACCCAATGCTTGCCGTGAATGTTGGAGGAAGTTCCATTTCCTTGCATTTCTCCTCGTAGAGAAACCTTGCTTTGCTTCTGATCATTTTCCTTGATACACGAAAACCATTAGAGCGTCGTTCGTGGACATATTCCAACAACACTTCTTCAATATCCAGATCAAAAGGCTTTCTTCCCGCCCCGGCGAGCCGCTTTCGCTTGCAACTAGCAGATTCTAATTTACTCTGGTTTGCTCGCCACTCTCGTATTCTCTTCCGGTCCACGTTGAACTTCTTCGCTGCTTGATAGTTACTATTGCATTCCACGGCAAACCGTATGGCTTCTAGTTTAAATTCTGTTGAATAAGAATTGACCTTTTGCCGGCATGAGACTGAGAAGCATCAGCCTCCATGTTTTTACACAAAGTGATCACTGTACGCAGCTGGATACGTGTAAGAATGGGTTTAGGATTGCAAGTGAACGTGACTGCTTGAAGCTGTTAATGATTCACCGAATGTAAGAACAATGCAAATGACGTAAATTATGAGGAAGAAGCGGGAAAGCAGCTACGCGCCGAAATTACCAGTGGTAAATATCTACGATTATGGCGCGTTCTGACTATCACTTGATTTGGAATTCGATGTTTCTTTATGAAGTGGAATTTTCGTCTGTTATACGAGGTCATCATGTTTACAAAGCGGCGTGGTCTCCAATCATAGGAAAGTCTCTGGCATGCAGGAATGATGACCGTAAAGGAGCTAAAGAACACGTTGAATACGCAGTTGGGACTTACCTTGAAGCTGATAACAAACTTGTTGGGCATGTGCCGATGGAACTTTCCTTCCTTATAATCACATTTATCAAAGCCCGCCATGATAATAAATTACAGGTCAAAGTGACTGGATCAAGAAGACTGGAAAACGGACTTGTTGTCCCCGGAGCGTTCCTAGCGAGAACAACCAGCAGAGCAATCGCCACAAAATTTGAAGAAGAGATAACTCGTTTGAAGGAATTATGTACTCACATGGACATAACAGTTGAGAAACTCAAACGAAGACCACTGTTTTTGAAATGCATTATTACGTACGGTATGTCGGCTATTAAAGGAAGATGAACCACGTTTGATACGTACGGTATTCTGAAGGCGCTGTAATATTAGAACAAGGGCGCTTATTAGAATAGGGGCGCTTATAAGAATGGGGGCGCTTATTAGAATGGGGGCGCTTATAAGAATGGGGGCGCTTATTAGAATGGGGGCGCTTATAAGAATGGGGGCGCTTATTAGAATGGGGGCGCTTATTGGAATAGGGGCGCTTATTAACAAAAACACATTCGAAGGGGGGCGCTTATTCGGAAGGGGGCGCTTATTGGAAGGAGGGCGCTAAATCGAATCATTACGGTATTAGGGTACAAGTCAAACGATGACGTCATTAGAACATCGTGAGCATATAAGTGAAATAAATTGAAGTATGTAATAGGTTCGTAGGTGGTACTGGTAGTAATGATTTTTATAATCAATTTTCTCGATTGCTTCAGGGTCGTCTCGGAGGCCACAAACAACTGAAAGCACTCCTTTTAAAGAGTCAACAACAAAGGTGGCAAAATCCTTCACCCAACCAGTAATTGCAACATTTTCTACACTTAAAAACCGACACACATTTAAATCCCTAGCACAAGGTACAATATAGCTACGTTGACGTCGTCTATGTCTATTATTATAAACGTCTATATGCTCCTAGCTGTTTTTAGGCATATCTTAATTAATCTCTATTTGGTTGCCATAGCATTTCAATTCCTCACTTCGCATGTACTGATTACAGCATACGCTTCTGGGGAATAAAATCTGAAATTGCTCTCTTTATATAACACAAAAATAATGTTGTCATGAATGACGTCTCCTTATTCTCCAAACCTATATATGTTGTAAATCAGCAACAAATTTTATAATGACAGTGTGAGGTGTACCACATGCTCAGTAAAATAACTTCTTCCACGTGTTGACCAGGGAAACAGAGGATATGGGTTTTAGAAAAAGGCGAGAGTGACAAAGCTAAAGATCTTGATAAAATTGTTTCGGGCTGGGAGGAGTAGAAATGTAACTCGTGAGTTTACAGAATGACCGACCTTTAATATTCCTTGATCGATCACCGTTCGTTAAAAGCAACATTCTGTTTCACTTGGGTATTAAAGTGTTTTTAAGACCCTTTTTTCCCGTTAATGTTTATTGGAACCTTTTTCGGTTCAATCAGCCTTCGCCTCTCAGAAAACAATAAGATGAATACTTTTCTCTTTTTTCTCGTTCAGGGATTACGTTTAAGAATACCGTTGGTGAATCTTCTCCGCAAAATGGTTCAACACGCGGGCTAAACCTGGTGTTGATCGTCATAGTGCTTCTGGCCATTTTTATCCTGGCAATTGCAGTCGTATTCGGAATATCATTTTTTCGGCGACACCAAGGTCATAAGAACCAAGGCAAGTTTGTTTCATTATTTGCCTATTTGCTTATCTTTTTGTTTTCTTGCAATAAGATAAGCCGATTGAATATCGAAGGACGAAGCGGAAGTTATTTTCTTGTCTGGTATAGTACACTTCTTAGCTGATGTCAAGTCTTTGGCTTCTTCATAAGACTAGTTCTTCCATTAAATGGCATATTTTTCATGACAGAATGCATCGATGCATCCTCATTACACTCGTTCATTATCTATACCCCTCCCCTACAGATTTCAGTTTTCAAAAACGGCATGATAGAATGTGCCGCTGTCTCGCATTTCGCAGGTTCGTTCAGTTTTCTTCAAATGTTATTTGACTATACTTTGATCCTTTATGTTTAGGATGAATTCTTCGACAAGCATTTTATCGTGCTTTTGGTTTTTTCGAAGACCGAAAATGTGGAGGAGTTCCCAAAGTCATAGATAACCAACCGAGCTTTTTTAATACCTCCAGTTTTCTACTCAATTTCAGTGAATATGTTAAAAAATTTGAATAAATATATATCATTAACATATTTTGCAAAAATCTTCCCGAGAAAGTGGTAAAAGTATCTATGGGGGAACAAAACCCCTTACTCCCAATTGGAAAATAGGATCCCGTCCCCTCCCTGTTGTGCTTTGGGAGAGGAGGGTGCGTAGTTTGTAGATCCGAGGGTTGTTTATATCTTATCTTCGCCTGATATTAACATGTACGTTCTTCCTTTTCTTTTTTCTTTTTTTTTTTTTTTTTTTTTTAACGGCGACAACGTTATTGGTGTGTTTTAACATGAAAACAACATTACGGCAAGTAGTATACATTAGTGTTCGTTGTTTTAAATGAAGTAATCAAATCTCATTTCTCCAGATTTTAAACGCGGAAAGTCAAGAGGTTTGTTAATAAATCACCCGGAAAATTAAGTGTCCATCACAAACTTTTAAGTAATGGCAGAAAATTTTGGCTTTGATTGAAAGCTGCTCTGGATTTTAAGATTATCATTAAAATGAAACAAATTTATCCACGAGGCTTCTCTTTCAGTGGCAGTTATCAAGTGATAATAATTATCATTTTTATTGTCCAGACAATTATAGATCTTTTTCCTTCTAAACTCATTTATGCCGAAAAATTGTAACTTTTTCTCTAGGGAAAAGTTGAGTGTTATTTCCATTTGATGCATCCTATTTACTTTAAAGTGTGCATGTGACTTGCATTCTAAAAAGTATGTTACGTCTTTCCTGAAATTTATGAGCTTTATGAATATATTCTAATATATCTTAATCCCGCTAAGCGAGAGGAGATATCATTTTGCCTTACAGATCACCTTCAGATCACCTTCGCGATCGGGTCACTTGCACTTACGAGGTGCCCCCGAGTTCCGAACTGCAATCGATCGATCCTGTGCTTGGCCAACAAATACAGAGTTCTGCCGAGGTTACTGTTCACCTAACCCTTTCACAAACCGAATCTGGGCCGATCACCCATGATCCAGCGAGCGACTGCAAAAAAGAGTGCGAGCACGATCACCTAGACGAGACTAATCGAAAGTCATGGTCAATGAGCGAAGGATGTTCAGATATTCAGGAAAAAGCACGAGAAAACACAGTCTTGGTGAGTGGTGAGAAAGGAATACAGCAGCCACTTGCTTTGTGCGATAAAAAAGAAGAAGGAAAAGATTACGTATACGCTGTGGTTCATAAAGAAAGAAAAAGCGGAGTCAGTTCTGAAGCAAGCACTCTCAAAAAATCATCGGACCGCCCTCAGGAAGGAACAGGGTTACCTGTGAACCGGAGGTCCTGTGTCGATTGTAATGACCATTCGTCGCATCCAACTGATTTAGGACTCGACAAAAACACAGAGGCTACAGAGAGCGAGACACTTCAGGCTGGCGGGAACAGTGAATATTTGTACGCAGCTGTTGAAAAGACGAAAAAGAAGAAACCGCCACAGGTAATAAATTTCACAAATCCTGAGAACTTTCTTCCTTTTTATCATTATTATTATTATTATTATTATTATTATTGTTATTATTATTATCATTATTGTTATTTTTCATTAACATCTTTTTTTTGCTTCAGTGCTGTTTAATCTAAGGAATAAATCTGGATACATTCACCTCTTCGATTCAAAATATAAACCGATGACAGTCAAGATGCAGCTGAAATACGGCAGCTGGACTTGCTTTCAAGTATCTAAAGGTTCCTCTAAAAACTATATGAGTATATCAAAACTAACAGACAAACGAACAAAAATAAGACCAAAAACAAATCACAGCAAAAAGGCAAGACTGATCTTGTCAGCTTATCATATTCGTTTCGTTTGGTTTATTTATTTATTCATCTTTTTTCTCATTAGCTTCTATGTTGTCAATATTATTCGGTGTCGCTGGCCTCACGAATTGCCTATAACATATCATTCACTTTTTTTATGATCTAGAAGCCCCCTCCATACCGTGGCCTTGTGTACGCTGATCTGATCCATTCCCGAGAAAGTAGCGCAAAGCTTGTCAAAGAACAGTCCCAAACAGTATACGCCCAAATTGATCATGCCAAGACAGCAAGCGTGATGATATCGCAGCACAATCTGGAGGGAAAAAAGAAAGGCGAACATCATTGAAATCTGTTCGTTTCCAATACTGAAAATAATTTAATGAAGAACATAAAAATTAACTTAAACCTTAAAGAGAAATGATTAAAATTGTCGTGGAAAACAATTATAATTAATCATATGTCTTGTCATTACGAATAACGGACTATTTTGGTAAAAGTGATGGTAACCATCGTCCATTATCTATAGTACTATTTAATACTTGCTGTTAGAGACCTATTAAAGTATATGTATACGTGTAAGTGTCTTACATGTTCCCCAACCACCATTACAAGTTATCCTTTAGGATCAGTCTAACTGACAATATTGTAACAATAAGTAATGTTGTGTACCAGAATACTTACGATGATTTACTTTAAGGTACATAAAAAACCGAACAAAAAAAACACTGTTACTTACAAGGGATAAGTATGTATGGCGATTAGTTGGAAATCAGCATACTGCGCTCGGGCGTACTGAAGGAAAACCTTCCGAAGGTTCAAAGCACTTTGAACTTGGAATTTAGCTCCATGTAACTGAGAGGCTTTATCTTTGTATAGTTGAACTATCGAGTGAAGTCAAGAGATTATAATAGCTTGGTAAAGTATAAAACTTTTACAATATCCTTAGTTTCTTTTCCCTTTTATAATTAAGTTATGAATTCCAAAGGTCTGACGACGTTTAATTAAACTTCAGCGTTAGCGCAGTACTTGTTTGTATTTCCAAATATCATGGTACGGTGTATCATAAAATAAAACACGGCAAATAAATTAACAATTTTATTTAATCAATGGGAAATATTTGATAACGTGATTAGATTATTCGCGATACATATTATTCCTACTGATGAAATGATGACACAACAATCTGCCAGTAAATTCTGGACGGAAAGGTACTCCGACAATGTTTTATTTTGTTTGTATTGTGTGAATTATGTTATGTCTCAATCACTAAGCTTTGGAATTCAAGCGATCACTTATCTTCCAAACTGACTATTCGTGCAAAGAACATCAGTAACACCGGCTTAACTATCGCAGCAGTCAAACGTCGGGCATGCATAAGGGGATCGATTTTCGCCGGCCGCGTGCCAATTTCCCGCTCAAAATATCGAAGGAAAACTAAAAAAAAAGGACAGCTGCTATCCTGGAAAATAGGCGAAAGAATATTGAAACATTCAGAGGAATCTTCTAACAGACTGAAAATATAGCCGTTAAGCGCAAAAATTGGCAAATTTTAAACGTTGTTCGATAAAAGAACCTTCACCGTATAAATTTTTCATCTTATCATGATAAGGAAGAAAGTGAAACATTAGCCGTAAAATGGCCAAATTTTTTAACGTTAGCCGAAAAAGCCATCAACTCACTGATACTCCTTTAAAAGGAAAAACTAAAGTATGGTAAGGAAAACTCCACTTTTTGAATACAACGGGTTATATTTGAAAAAACCGTGACCTCCAGGTATGTGAAGTTGTTTGTAACTCGTGTGAGGCTACAGCTTGAAAGCACGCCAAATAGTCAATACCAGTTTCACACATGCACAAACGTTTGACTGTTATAATTTAGTGGGAAAAGATAATTCTCGAGATTTGAAGCGCAGGTATGTTGAGATCACGTTCAGTCGAAAAAATTTTTCCGGACTCCGACAGGAATCATCCGATCACTTGTTTCGGTCCTACTATGTGCCTCTTAAGACGCTTTTCTGTCCGACGCGAAATGACTGTTGGAAGATTGCTATATCACTCTTCGAATATACTGATGACTGGGTGAGGATCTACATCTGGTTGACTCAGTGTTGAATCTTAAAAATAATTTCTAAAGTTTGCATTGAACAATCTTTCAGAAAATAAGTCACTGATCCAAATATTTGCGGAAATTTTGATAAAAAACGCTCCAAATTTCTTAATCTAGCTTACATGTAAATATCTTACTTGAATGAAAGCTTTAATTGATCAAAATCAGGTTATGCATCGATCTATTTATTTGCTTTTTTTGGTTTGTTTTTGTTCAATCGCTATCATCACTGAAGCGATAGTCAGGCGGAAACCCAAGTTACAGACAAGGTGACCGCAATCATTTCCATATACATGTCCGAATGCGCGTGGGTTTAAATTTCTCTGGAATCGCTCGAGTATTCTTGTCTCAAGCAATACCAAATAGTTAATGACTTAAACGTTTAGGACTCGCATTTGTATTTGATCTTCTCATCTATTTTTAAAATAATGTAGAAAGATTCCAAAATTTTCTAATCAGAAAAGTATCGGCCTTCTTCATGAATCTTAGACTTCATGTCTGGAAAATGTGAAATATCACAAATTCTTCCTACTGCCTTAATTGTCAACCGTTTAGTCACCGGAAATTATTCAATGAACTTAGATGGATAACAGCCGTAAAAAACCTGTGTTCATCAACCGAATTCAGGGAGCGTTAGAATTGGAACAACAGCACACGTCCAAATAAAACATATACTTTTCTAATTGGTTAATCATAATGTATTACATGCCAGCATAGAGATGCGTCATATACATTGTATACTCTGTAGCTTCCTATGGTTGACAAATGTGTTGTTCATTAAGAAGCTGAATTTTTCTTCGTTTTTCTCCTCAAGGAGCTTGACACCTTGGAAGAAACATCGTTACGTTATGCAAAGTACAGAGCAAGTCACTGAAGCGACACGGGGCCGGGAGTCCTTGGTTTTTCAGTCTTAGATTATTGCTGTAGCTTAGTTATATCTGGTGCGAGTTTAGTGTATTCCTAACCACATTGATATCATTCTCGTATGTATTGTTACATATCAAGGATTACCAAACAAAACGAAATGAGATAAAGCGGAATTAGTTATGTGATTTATTCATATTAATGGTGGAAAGGAAAGAGGAGAATGTGCGTGACTATTTTGGGGACGTTGATATGGTTTGAGTCTTCAAACTGGACAGACATCTCTTGCGCCAGAAATTTATCAAACTTTCTTTAATGAGGGTATTGATAAAGAAAATAAGAATACTCACATACTTATTATTACTGTTAAAGTCGCTCCTTCTGTCATGGTGGGATGAGATGGAATAAAAACGGATTGAACATAGAACATACGAGTCAGCTACGTTAATCCCGAAGGAAGAAGATGATCCAGGAACGTTTATTACAACTTAATTTATTCAACAGTCCACTGTTGACCATATGTGTGAGGTCACATTCTGTAACAATTACCATATCTAAATTTCATTTTATTTTGCGACATGACAGAGTGGTTACAGGCAAAGACACGACTATTACCATGCACTCAAGCAATTGTCCATACATACTATATCATGTCACACCAAAAACTCACCTACAACAGCTGGCTTATATTTATCTAACAAAAGTATGTCTTATATATTAATTAAGAGCCATTTAGTTTAGATACCGCTGCTATTGGCATAGCACCGTTTTGTTCGCAAGGGGCAGCGCATGATAAAAGTCCTTGACCGTAATTTCAGCACAACTCGATCATGCCCGATAGATGATATGACGGTTGTCGGCAAGCGGACCCCTTCGTTCGGGGTACAAAGTGCAAAAAGGGAGGACAAATGTTTCTCTTTTGTTGCCTGCTTATAAGCCCACAGTAATTACCATAGGCTCTTTTTACTCTTAGAGGTAAGATTTCAAAAACAGTGTAATTTGCTCACCCAGATTGATGGTCAGACTAAAGGATCGAGTCTTGCTGCCGTAATACGGTATACTATCTTGTATATATGGCTAAATACAGCTCCTATGCCCCTACTTTTAATGTAAATATCTAATCCAAACTCTACCCTGAAAGTTTATCGCCGCATTTCTTGACCCCTTATCTTCATTTCTACTTTCTCAGAGCTCTTATTGCTCGGAAAAATTAACAGACCTAGTTGCCTTGCCATTTCTTTTTCTTTTGGGCTACTTCATAGACAGATATGTTTAAGTGATGGGGGCAATATTGCGCGCAGTGAAATTGAACTGAAAAAGACAATATTTGTTAATGATTAAGAGAAATCAGCTCTTCTTCTTAAAATTCTAGATAATTCGCTGCTGTTGAAATCGAAATTTTATAAGGTGTTTAAGGAACAGAGCTGACGGAAGCTTTTTGTTTTCGATATGGCAAGACCTTGGGCCATATTTTAAGAACCACGCGCTTCATTTTGTGAAACAATAACAGGAACACAAAACAAACGAAATACCGGCTTCATCCCGCTGGCAATGTTTTATAGCAAGCTACAATATCATTGCTATCGCCCACTTAAGTTTTCTCTTAACGATAGTCAGTAACCACAACTATAACATACTTAGCCGCATTTTGATGAAATGTATGCCCTGCGGAAAACCTTCTTAATTTTGGAAAATAATTCAAATTGACTGAACAAATATGTTCGCCGGCTGTTAACCGTGATTTTGTCAATAAGAAACAATCGTTTTCTGGGTGTTAAATGTTTAGGAAAACCGCCGGATAAAGAAACGGAATACTTCAATTCACCGGCTGGAAAGCAACGGGAAACTTTGGATTGTCCTTTAACAAAAAAATTCCAGAAAGCGTTCGTATAATGCCGCTTTTTCCAAGATTAAGAGCTTATTTTCTGATCAGGTAAAAATCATTTTATTTGACACGAATAAATAGGCATTGATATTGAAATCATCTGAGAGCAAGGGTGAGACACCATAGTAAATCATATGATTGAACACCCCTAAAATGCTAGTTCGCAGTTTCCATAATTAAGATCGTGATGTGTAACCGCTCCGTAAGGGAGCTACCCAGCTTTCCTCATTGCTTTAACTGAAGTTTGTAGTCAGTTTTCTCAACAAATATAACCACACTTATACACGCGTGATTCCGATGAGGCTTTTTTTTTACGTACAGTAATAACATTAATCATAGCGAATTCAATAAAAGGCTGAGGAAACCATTAAACGAGTGAGCACTGCCTGTGCTGTTTCATTTGCACTTCATAAAGTTTCGTTCTTCGTTATTTCAGCCTTGACTTATTCAAGTGGATAACGTTGGTTTAAACGGAAAAACAACAAAAAACA